GGTGATACAGTCAAGTGTAAGACTTATGCAAGTGCTTGAAAATATCTTACACAGAAAGACATAATCTATCCAAAGCTTCAGTTGAAATTTCAGAAGATTAACAAGCACCACAATTTAAAATTCTGTTTGTCAAAGCAATGAGATATTACTCTTTTATTTCAAGACTTCAAATTTCTTGTACTCAGGAGTTATTTTTGTCCAAAACATGAGAAATGTCTGTTGGATTTCTCAGGGTTATTTCTATGGGATTTCTTTACAATTTTTTCAGTTGTTTTGGCAGTTGACCAGAAATTGCTATAACTCCACATGCCATTTTTGTAGTTGGAAATGGCCTATGACCTGTGACTGCTGAATTGAAAAAAATGGCACAGTAGCAAGTTCAGAATTCAAAAATGTCAATTTCAACTGATGTTGCTGATTTAACAATTTTTTGAATTGTAAAATGCATAAAAGTTTGGTAGCTCATACTCATGTAATAATCTCAGTATAATCTCGATTTTATATGATGTAAAAATGTAGTGGAAGACTGCAGAGAGGGCAAGTATTACAGAAGCAGGCTGGAGATCTTCTATACATGAAAACACAAAGGATTGATGGCTGACAAATTCAGCTTGATGTTACTAAGCAGTTCACACCCTCTTCTGAGCTGCATGAGCGGCGTTGGAAACTAGGATTCAACATGCGTACCAGGGGGTCCAGGGGGCTTGCCCCCAGCAAGCTGTGACCAGTGTCGAAGCAACAGTTGAGCGCAGCGAGCGCCGTGGCGTAGACACGGGTCTAAAGCTTGTCTATACATGAAAACACAAAGGATTGATGGCTGACAAATTCAGCTTTATCTTACTAAGCAGTTCACACCCTCTTCTGAGCTGCATGAGCGGCGTTGGAAACTAGGATTCAACATGCATACCAGGGGGTCCAGGGGGCTTGCCCCCAGCAAGCTGTGACCAGTGTCGAAGCAACAGTTGAGCGCAGCGAGCGCCGTGGCGTAGACACGGGTCTAAAGCTTGTTATGGCTATCACGTAAGCAAAAGCATAGCCACCTGCTATCACATAAGCATATGCATAGCCACCTGCTATTACATAATAGCAGCTACAAACACCAGTAGACTGCCTTATTATGACGTGCGGGGCGGGATTGGAGCGTTTGGAGCAACTACCGAAACGGTGCTAGAACGTGGAGCAATGGGCAGCGCGCGCGAATGCCAGTGGGCATCATGGTTTACATAGCCACAGCTTAAAACGGATGTTCACGCTTGGTTTACGCACAGACAAAGGCGCAAAGTGAAATTTCAGATGTGGTCTACGATTATGCAGTTAGCTGTAATACACCCCTAACTGCAATGTCCATAGTTGATCCTGCGACCACAATAGTAAATACCCACACAGACCCAGCAATGGGATGGCCAGTGCATTAGCATTGACTAGTGCAGCATCAGGGGGGTACTTAGTGACTGGCAGAAGGGCAACATGGAAAGTGTCAGTGGAGTACTTCCTGATGCAGAGCTCTGACTAATTTTTTGCTTTATGAAGCACTAGAGGAATTTGTCAATGGAGACCAACTCAACGAGAATGAGCCTGGTAATGGATTACATCCCCTCGACGGTCAGGACAGAACTTACAAAGTTCCATAAACAACCCCTCCATCAACTACGGTTGCCTTCACCTTGGCCTCCAAGATCTCATTTACAGGAATAGTCATAATGTCCCGATCAAACACCACAAAATCTGCCTTCTTTCCCGGGGACAGTGAACCAAGTTCCTTCTCCGCGAACGATGCATAGGCTGCATCCAGTGTCATACCTTTCAGGGCCTCTGCACGTGTGAGACGTTCATCTGGGAACCTACATAAACGTGTACGTTCAACGATAGGTTGGTTAGGAAAATAGGGAATGTGGTTCCCTACCATCCACCGTCGCCATGTGGTGAAGATCCGTCTACAGCGAGCCTGGAGACTGCGGCGTAAAAACCAAGGAGGGGATTAACACCCTCTACAGGAAAGTCCGAGCCAAGCGGCAGGACATTTGCCGGTGATGCTCTGGGTGGATGTTGCTCGATCATCTAAACAGCAGGAGACAAGAAAAACTCGAAGCGTACTTCAACAGCGTCTTGTAGGCATAGGCGCCTCTGATTCTTTCTGGACCCTTAAAGTAAATTATAGATGGACTCTTAAAATGGCAAAATAAATGAAAACGTACAAGCCGGGTTTCAGCGTACCCCATATCGGATGTGCTGTATTTCAACTATTCCCTTAGCGATCCTCGAGGAAAGTAAAAAAGAAAGACATACGCATGTGTTGGTTGAACACTTGCTATGACTGCAAGTCACAGTTAGTCACTCGCCAAGGGAAGAGTAGCGACTACCTACCGCCAAGCCTCACCATCCTCTTCAAATCGGCCTGGCTAAAAATTTGTGCATGTTCAATCCGAGGGCGCCATTCGGTGACATTCCCCCCAAGATTGTTAAGAACGTTTTCGAACACGTCTAGGATAACGTTGTTCGCCCGGTCACCGATACAGTGAATATTCTACACAAATTCTGGTCAGACAGAAGGAAACTAGAATGGTACACTTTACCGTCTGCCAACCATCCCTCCAAAACTGCTGCACGAGTTTCCCCAATGTTTCAGGAGAACTTAGCATAAGACCACTTGTGCTGGGGTTGTCTGAGTATGGTTCTAGCAACGCAGCGCCCCACGATCCCAAGGCACCTGAACAATACAAATCGGTGACCTCAAAGATCCGGGGAGATATGGGGCTCACCGTCGGCATAAAGCTTTACACCACGTACATTCAGCCTGCGGTGCTTCCCGTAGTTGATCAGGCGTGGAATCTGGTCGCCCCAGTATTCGTCTGAAGGCACATTTCCCATGGCGTAGATGCGGTTCTGGTATTACAATCAGAGCAAAAGCAAAGGGCGAAGGCGAGTAGCTAACAGGTAACTTCCCCCGTTCCGCCATCCTAGATAAGTAAGAAAACAGCGTATGTGGGGAAGGGTGTTGGACTGACTTTTTGAAAAACGCGAGGTGATCAAGTTTACTATCTGCATCGTGGATAGACGTCAACCCACGGGAGAGTGCCTCTTTGATAGTGGAATCGAAAAAGTCAGATATTTGCCTTTCAGTCCAATGTGGTATGGGTATCAGGTTCATTGCGTTGTCGACGAATATCCCTTTTTGTTGTCCCAATCAGCGTTCAGTGAAGAGGGAAACGAGAAAAGTGTACATACCGGTAGGCTTTCCCTGTTCACCCCTCACAATTTGACCACCTTCAACCTCTTTAGGCAGGTCGTTCATAAGTTCGAGGACGGCAGGTGATACCCAACGAGCATGCCCGTCGATACGACTTAATGAGATTAATCTTCCTTTGAGTAGAGGATCTTGGTCGAGATCTGACTGTAGACAAGAATGAGAAATATATCAAGCAGTATAAAAAATAGACTTGCGGCAGTGGGGAAGAGGCGTTCTGGCCACTTTGTCTGATCCCAGCCCATGCCCTCAATCCACCTAGAAGTATTATGGTAAACATCTGGGTGGGTCTGAATATATTGCTTGACGCGGTCAACGACATCTTTGATTGGACGTTTAGTATGTCGTTGAGTGACGAAGATTGCTGACCTTGAATCGAACTGGTCGCCGTCAATGGGAGCTGCGTCATATACCCGTTCTCGATGATATGCGCATGGGCATCTATTGTCGTATTCAACCATATGACACGGTACGTATCCGAGAAACGGACCGGTAAGTCCAGGTACAACGACGGCGTCTGGAGGGATGTGCACGACGCGCATGAGGTTAAGCCATTTATATATTTGGAGGGGGAGGAAGTATGTTTGAATATGAGCCTGGAGTTCGTCTAGAGGAATCAGTGGGGAGAGTGGGACGCATCATGGATGGAGATTACGGAGAGGTCCAATGTCGTAAACGCGGTCACCGCGCACAGATATGCAGGCTACCCGTGGTGCTGCTGGGTCTACAGTGTAGATATTGTTTGAAGGCGAGCATAGAATGTACGCGTTGGGGGCATGGTATAAGAGTAACGCGAAGGCAGCGAGTACAGCGGTGAGCAGATAACGTGTGTGTGGTTGGTTCATGACGGGTTCAGATTTCGGAGCGTCGGAGCGGTCCCAATGAGGAACAACCGTCATCGGTGTGACTGTAACACATATCTTCAAATATATTTTCCAAGTATATCAGCTTGCTTCCATGTCTGTCGAGCCACCCCGAGTCCGGACTTTGCACAGTAAACGATCGTTTGGAAAGTATCCGAGAATGATAGATTCGCCTGCATATGATGCGTGAGTTCTTTCCAATCCGTATATTACCATTCCCTGATTGCCCTCAGCTCTGAAGAAGATAACGACCCGCTCACAGATGACGGTTCTTCCGCCGTCTCTGTCCCGATTGCCGTTTCTCGTACTCGCGCCTCATATCTCAAGCCCTCCTCTGTATCGCGCACGAAACAACATCAACTTGCATCCAACCTCCTCTCCGATTCTGACGGTGTAGATTCTCCCACCTATGACGGAGACGTAGAATCAAGCACCACAGCTAATGCAGACACTCACTCGTCTCACAAAGCACATCACCATCACCACCATACGTCCACGTCTACTTTGAGCAACTCAATCACCCAAGCATTCACCATTGCCTCCTCCGCCAGCTCCACACCCAATGGCGAATCCAATTTACAAACCTCCCCCGTCCGAAGCTCAAGTCACCCCGTCTTCATATCTCACCCAGTGAACGTTCCGCTCCATGGTCAAGAAGAACCCGCTGTTGCTCCGGTCTCCCAAGCTGCTTTCAATCCCGCAGCACTCACTCCAGAAGACATTCAAGCCTTTGTTCAAAAGGCTATAAACGGCGAAGAGTCCCGAAAGTACAAAATAAATCCTCCCCCCACAGACCGACCCATTCGTATCTACGCTGATGGTCGGTTACTATATCTATTTCTCCCTACGTCACTATGCTCATTAAGATCACATGATAGGCGTATATGATCTCTTTCACTTCGGGTACGTTTTCGCTCTCTCAACAGTCGAAGTAAAATATTAAAGGTGCTACCAGTCATGCTCTCCAGTTGCGCCAAGCCAAACTATCATTCCCGTCTGTGTACCTCCTAGTTGGAGTTAACTCTGACGAACTGGTGCAAACCCACAAATTTCGCACTGTCATGACGCACGCTGAGCGGTCAGCAGTTGTTCGCTAAATTCTACGAAGCTTCATTCTGATGAAACGACAGACTAGAAGCTGCGCGACACTGCCGTTGGGTAGACGAGGTCGTCAGCGAAGCACCTTGGGTAATAGACGAGGCGTTTCTCCAAAAGTACGAGATCGACTACGTAGCGCATGACGAAGAGGCGTACGCCAGTGCTGGTCATGATGATGTCTACCAGCACGTGAAAAGCCAAGGTATGCGTTTTATCTCCGTCCCATCCATACATAGTTTTTTTTCTAACCCGATCCATACAGGAAATTTCATTCCCACCCGCCGAACCCCCGGCATATCCACCTCGGATCTGCTGGAACGCATCGTTTCTGGATACCGCAAACGCGATTTCGACGAGAAACTTACCAAAATGGGACATGCTGAGCTCCGTGCGGAAGGAAGCGACTACGATGACAGCAGTCGTTATGCCAGCCGCCGTGAAAGTGGAACCACCAGTCCCGTCCTCCCGAAAAGCGTAGAGTAGGAAGAGAAGAAACACAACTGAACAATGGCAAGAATTAATACACATGTAGTAATTATCTCTCCCTCCTTTTCTTCCTTCCCTATTGACATCTGGAATTATATCTTTCAACCTGCTTTAGTCCCGTAGATCGTTGTCACTCTGTAGTGGCAGGTATCATGACCTGGTCAGTTAGATCAAATCAACTTTCACTTCCTAAGTGAAAACCAGAACTTTCGTGCCCGTCTCGTTAACTACTGTATCAGTGAGGTGAGCGTACTTTCAGCAGCTGGCTTTCATCATTCTCGGAGAAGAAGAAAATTTTGTGGGCATTTTTTGATTCGAACACTATTTGCATACACGCCCTTCACGATCAGTTGGAGTCCCAACGAGACCTGCCACAAATGGTTTATCCTCATTCTTGATTGGATAAAGGCACAGTGTGCACTGACGGATTCACATGTTTTAAAAAAAATGGGTACGTGATAGGAAAACAGAGTCAATACTCATTGATATCGAACTTGAGTTTCGTATGACGGGAGATCCTCGTCAAAGGCACTGGAACTCCCGTTCAATTTCCCAACGTGACCTTCAACCCTCCAAGCCCACTCATTGCCTTCCTTCCATCTGAAGTGATCACCTCCGAAGTTAACCTGAAAGTCACAAACGCCTTCGACACCTATCGCGGCGAAGACATCATACTGTTGTCGCGGCATATATATTCCAGTGAAAGCGTTCGGGAGACGCATGCCGTTGTAAGTGTAGAAAAGCACTCCAGTGCCGAATTCATATCCACATCCAATGGTATCGCCATCATTGATCCGCCCAATGGCGTCTGTGTAGTCCCGCCCACCATCGCCATCCTCAAAGAACTTGCGGAAATCATCGAGATGGAAACCTGCGCTGAGTCTATTCCAGCCTGGAAGTCGCCAGGCAGGATAAGGGCGACATGACGTTCCTGAGAAAAAATGAAGGTGAGGAGGTTTGGCGATGATCATGGCAATATGTGGAACTTGCCGATGGCTATGATTCCTTCCATCTTACGAATGAGGATTTCAAAGTACACGCCCGTTTTGCCGTGGATGTCGTAAAGACCCGCCATGATGGGTAGATCGCTTAGCAGGGTCACATCCTTGCAGTCCGAGCCCGTCTGTACGGTGATGACACCTGGGCCGCCCTTAGAATCGTTCTTTATGTTTCCAACGAAACGGGGCGAAATGGGATATTCTATTCCCCATGCTTTGCACCCAATTTCATCGATTCTTTCAACTGCGTTGGAGGGAAGAAGTTGGGGAAGCTGAGGTGGGTATTCCTGGCAAAATTGCTCTGCGGCGTTGTACTCCTCTCCTGAGGCCTCGTTCCATCTACCATACTTGTGCTACGATGATTTGAGTAAATAAGGAGAACTTGGCGCAGTGGACACTTACGGATATCTCCGGAGCAGGAGTCCATTGAGGAGGGGCTGAGTGGCTCGAGGTTGACAAGGAACTGTGGTGATGTTCACTGAACTTGTCCTTGAGGTGCTTGAAGAAACTCATGCTGTGCGCGTCTCATTAGGAGTGCTTGTGAGCTGTTGAGCATGATCACAAGATTAGAATAAGTGCCGATTGTGGCTGTGCACACACGATGCTCTTTTGTCCAACTTGCGCAAATCTTCTCGTTATTTCATCGGAAACGGGCTACAACAAATGGGCGTGTAACACTTGCGCTTATGAGTTTCCAATCTCAAAGCAGGTGCGTTTTACGAGGTTATTCGAAGTTCAGAAAGGTGTTGACTTTCTTGCCTTGTGCTAGATGACCTCAAGGACGCGGCTAGTACGAAAGCAAGTCGATGACGTTCTGGGAGGCGATGAAATGTGGGCGCATGCAGATCAGACGCAGGGTAGGATTTATCTTTGCTTCGAGCGTAAAACACCTACGAGTCTTCTCCGCAGCATCCTGTGATAAGTGCAATCACGACCAAGCATACTTCTACCAGCTACAAATCAGATCTGCGGATGAACCTATGACTACTTGTATGTTTTTCTACCCTCCTTTTTTCAAACGGGAATAACGTTGCTGGTATTTTTGTTAGTCTACAGGCAGGTCATTTGTTGAACGATCAAGGTGGAATACTGATGGCCTTACCTGTAGATGCACTAGTTGCGCCCACCAATGGCGCGAAAATTAGTTCCAGGAGCTTACCTGCCCATCGATGATTTCAGTATCATTCAGGGCCCTCTTCGCCTTGTTGTTCCGCTCACCGTGTGGAGTGAAGGTTGTTGTTCGTGTTTCTCCATATCAATTATTCTGTCCTCTCTGAATTATTTTAGTATGCCCGAACTATACAATCTTGCTTCCAGTATTCACCCGGCCATAGGAGAGACTCACAGCTGTGTAAGTAATCCAACTTGTGCCCGGAACTCCAAACTTCGACTTCTTGCAATGGAAGGCTGAAGCATAGCCCTTGATGCGAGCGTTCGCCAGAATGTGGCCTTCAAGCTTCAGGGCCTTGCTTGTCAGGGGAAGTTGTAAAAAAAATGGATCCTCCATTTCAAGTCGGAAGCATTCGGTTCTAATGGGTATGCAAACACAATGGACTTGTTTCACTAGTTACAAGCTCCGAATTATAAACCAGAAATTGCATGGCTCTTGTCTACCGCGCCTCTTTTTTTTCGAAATCATGAGGGGCTTGCCCGCTTGCTTGGATGTGTTTGCAATGGGGGATGGCACGAAGCAGAGGCAAATAGCGTTCGGTACCTTTATTGAGTTTTATCGAAGTTCACCAAAGTTTTGCGGCAACGGCATCAAATTGTGTCCCAACTGTGCCCAACTTTGACCACCTTCCTTTACATCTTCCAACCTGGCGGCCCTATCTCAACGGTGTATCCGGCTGCACAAGAGTGCGCCTGTCTGCACCGACAAAATTATAATTCCTAGTCGACGGAGACCAACAGCGCAACTGCCCAGTTTTTCGCGTCCGAATGTATCAACGCGGCGCCATTCTCTCTCTGCCGTCCGCAACTTTTGTTTTCAGTCATCCCCATGTCGCGCTCAGGCCGAGGAACGGGTACGATTTACGGCCGAGGAGGAAAATGACGTGTTGGCATCTCTGGCACTGGAATCCTCGCACTTCTCACGGAGAACTGGGAGAACTATTCCCCTGCAAAGTAGCGCAGATGTGGAAGGGATGGATTATAAAGTTTCGACTCCCAAGAATCGCTTTGATTGGCGGCAGCGAGCTGTGTCGCGACTTCGGAGGAAACCAGAATCTTCTGTAGCTCGCAAGGTTTTTAGACGAAAACCCCCTTTGACCGAAGTTCAACCCGGTGAGCCCTACTATGACGCGATTCAGTCATATTCCAAAAAGTCAGCTTTCATTCATTGGCGTGTATCATACGCTGACTTCGTCTGAATCCAGCTTCCTGGAACTCCTTGAAGCAGAAGAAGCGGAAGATGAAGCGGTACTCAAAGAGAGACTGTCGACTTGGAGTTTAAACCGTCTCACAGAAGAAGGATATTGTCTGACTGGCATGTCCGCTTATTGGCTACAGGCGAATCAATTTGGCCGGCCGGTTGCGTCGTTTCTCCTTGGTCCAGGGATAAATCTTCCAGAGAATCGTCTCGAGTGCGTTCTTACTTTGTTCTCACTAATGTTGCGTGTCTAATTTACACTCATTTCTAGGAACGGGACAAGCGTGTTGGTGTCTCGTATCGACCCACTGCAGGAGAAGCCCATGCGGGGATCTGTGCTTTCCCGAACTTCGTCGCAGATACGGATATGTTTTCCGGAGCTTTTTGACCTTGACGAAGGCTATTGGCGCCTCGACCTTGGTCGCCCAAATCTCGTTTTCGAACGTATGAAGACAGCCGTAGCGCATATGAATCATGATCCCAAGGTCTTAGAAGAGGAGCCAATTACCGACAATCGAGAACACATCCTCCACGGAACTCATCTGAGGGACATCCTCCTACGTGCATTTCAGCCCGATCAAGAACGAACACATAGACAGGTAGTCCAACAGGCGCCGGATGATGCGGACTTCGACCCTACTGCACTGAACGCTGCGCATTCTCGGAAATGGGATTTTGAGGAACTGGGGGTCTTTAGAGATGATATGCGAATACAGAGCTGGGCAAAGCGATATGCTCACGCCGATCCCTTTGTTATTGAAGGAGATCCACCGTTAGATGGGCTGAATCGTTCGCAAATAAGAGCGGTGGCTACGATGATCAAGCACAGGCTCAGTTTGGTGCAAGGGGTACGCGGATTGAATAAGGTGCATGGCTAGTACTGAGTCCTTGATGTCTAAAGCCTCCAGGAACCGGAAAGACGAAGACCATCATTGAAACTATTAAGCTACTCAAAGTATGTTGGTTCTCTGGGTCGTATCTCCTTGCGCTGAAATACTTTCGTCAGGTTCATTTTGAGATCCCTCATCCAATACTCGTATGCACCTATACCAACGTCGCTGTTGATAATCTTGTGGAAGGTCTTGTGAATGCTGGTGTCAAAGCCTTGCGTGTTGGATTCGGCGGAAGTATCAAGGAGTCGCTTCGACCGCACTCGCTTGATACCAAGCTCGAAGAGCATCGTCTTCAAAAAACACTCAAGGCTCAAATCAAAGAAAAGGATGATCTTCAAGTCAAAATGGATGACCTGGAAGCCAGGCTGAGAGACGTTCAGGATAAAATTTCGAGCACCTCTACTGGGAGATTGGTTGAAAAAGAACAAAACATGAAGAAGGCCCTGGTATCAATGCAGAAGCAGTTCGCGGTCACGAAAATGAAGGTTTACTCTATCCAGCAAGAGATGCTGCGAGATGTGGTCAACGCTGCTGACGCTGTATGTATCAATATGTTCTTCAAAATTAAGTCTCACCTTTTTTGAACAGATTTGCACAACTTGCATCACTTCAGCTTGTATGGCGCTGAACGTGACGGACTTCCCTGTAGTTTTCTTAGATGAGGCATCAATGTCAACTGAACCAGCATCTCTGATTCCAATTATGAAAGGGGTTCGTCCACAAGAAAATTCTTTATTTCTTGTTGACGTTGACTTTATATTCCAGTCTCGACATGTTGCCCTCATCGGCGATCATAAACAGCTGCCACCTGTCATTATTAGTCGGGAAGCACAGGCGCTTGGACTGGGGATGAGTTTATTTGAGAGGTTAACTGGGGAAGCAGGTAAAGCGTCACATATATTAGTGTCTCGCATGGCTGACGCAGATACATCTCAGCTGTCCCCTCTGTGATGCTGGATGTTCAGTATCGCATGCATCCAGCGATCTCCCGCTTCCCATCGCACGAGTTTTACAATCGAGCTCTGCTGGACGGGACCGTCGATGTGTTTGGTAACGCCATCCCCCGACTTTCGCCTCCCGACTCCCATTACCTCCGACCTCACGTGGAAACGGGCGCAAGTCCCTCGATTGTTTTTCTGGATCATGCCGGTGACGAGTCCGTGAAGGACCGGAGCCGGGTTAATCGGAATGAGGCGTACATTGTAGCAAGTGTTGTGGAAGATCTTTTGCTCAACAATCCTGTGGGTTTTTTGTCCCTTGGAAGTGGAACAAAAAAAATTGATGTTTCTATGATTTAGCATCTCCGAGGGAGTGATATCGGTATAATTGCACCCTACGTGGCGCAAATATCCTTGCTCACTCGATTATTCAATACGGATGCGACATACCAAGCCCGTTTTAAAGAAGTTCTTGGTGATCACCGTGCTATGCAACTTCCCCATATTGAAATCAAAACGGTAGACGGCTTTGAAGGACGCGAAAAGGAAGTTATTATATTCTCTACCGTGCGGAACAACGCTGGTGGATATATCGGCTTCCTCGCCGATAAACGGCGCTTGAACGTTGGCCTGACGCGTGCGAAACGGGGTTTGATTGTCGTGGGCAGCATCAATACTCTGAAATCAAGCAAGATGAGTGGGGGAGAGAATGCTGTTATCAGGGTGGGCAAGGGGGCTGAGTCGTGGAGGCGCTATGCCCGCTTTTTGACGGAGCGTGGATTGGTGTTCACTCTCCACGGGGAGACTTTGCAAAGGGCGCTCACTGGCAAGAGGGCGACTCCAAACGTGTTGACGTGCTGAAAGACGGCAGCCATACCAGGGTAACTACTGACAGTGGGTGCGTATTTGCGGCGCGGACGTAGGACAGGTGTCGACGTTGTTACATCGACCCTCAGGTCTGGGTTGGGGTTTGGATTTATGGGCGCTGGACCTGGTTGCCATCCGGCGGTTGCGGGGATGCGAGCGTCAACCCTGTGTTTACAGGGTAGACTCGGTTCACCCTGGCCGCAGCTTGGCCGACCTCGTCGATGGGCACGAGAGGGCGGCGCGATTCTGACTATTTTACATTACGATATACCCTACTTTATTTCTAATTTTTGTTGCCTTCGTCATCGGTCCTCGTCGATGATTTTGTGGTCGTGTGCCGCGCGCTCATGAGCGGATCAAAATTGAAGGCGTGTCATTAGTATTTTCAAGAAGGAATCAGGAAACCTCGAGGTAAAAGACGGTGCGAGCTAGGTATAACTTCTGTCTGGAGCAGGTAAGATGTCGAGAACAAACGCGGTTTATATATGTATTTTATTCGTTCAGGCAGCGTACCCAGTGTCGCGCTGACCGGTCCGTTGTTGAATACATCCTCGGCAATAGCATAAAATAGATTTTGTTAAAATAGCGGAAGAGACCGCGACATCGCTCTGCCGAAGCATCTGGCAAGAGTCGGATCTGAAGATAGCCTCTGTTCCTGTGTTGAGGATCAGGCTTTGGATCCACTGAAGGCTCTGGTGCTGGGATGGAAGGAGTGCGCAGAGGCATGCATGGAGGAAGATGGATGGATATGACCTGAAAAGGGAATATTCAAGCTTTTATTATTGAAGTAAATTGAATTAGTGACGGTAACCTCGATCTTGGCTCGAACCCTGTCCGAGAGTTTAGGCGCCGTGATATAGGCAGATCTCTGTGACAGCACTGACCTCAAACATCCTTGTTGTCCATTCATGAAGCTGCCGATCCAATGGACCCTGCATCCCTCAAAAGGCCGCCTCAATCCCGCAGTTTCTTTTGCTGCTTTTTCGCTGGCACAAGTACGACGCTGCTCGCCTTCTTCCTGCCAGGCGCTATCAATCGTATCCACCTTCTCGACCCGACACGGTCACCCCATAACTGTCAAGAAGCTTCTGACCTCAGCATCACCCTTTCCAATCTTGCTTGCACCTCTTTCGATATCAGTTTTGGCGACGATCTGCCATCTTCGCAATACAACCTCTTTCATCACTGCTTCCTTTCTCTTCCGCTTATTAGACCGTGCTGGCTCCTCGTTCAACCAGCACCACCATGATCTCATTAGAGCTCCCATCATCCTTGCATTCGACTGATTATGAACATACGTTGTCGCGCCTACAGCGGCTCGCCCTCCCATCTCACTTGGAGTCATCCCTGACTTCGCCTGCTTTGTTCTCCGCCACTCCGTGCTCCGGACTATCCTCGCACAAAGTCCGCTACAGCCCTCCTTTCTCGCACTCGTATTTCAAGCCAAACGACGCATACGAGGACAACGCGCAGATCATCATTGATACCTTTGCACCGCGGCCTGTGCCACTGGACTTTTCACCCACGTCCTCAGCAAGCAGCGACCTAGATTCTACCTCGTCCCATTCATCCGCTTCTAAATCGTCCTTTGAAGCCTTTTTTGCTACCCGCTCTCGTGTGGTTCGAGTGAGTGGCGCTGCCGAGATTGCTATAAATTAAACTCTGGCTCAACGCGTTTCTTGAAGCTGTACAATTTACCTGCATTGGCGGCGTCCTTCCTGTCTGCGGTGTTTCGTCCTCAGGGTGTACGAGTGTCTTGTCTTTGATACCTTTCACCAAATCTCACGGTTGAACAGGCGTCAGATCATTCCCTCGGACCAATTCCCATTCCCACCACAATGTGGGAGTTGCGGGAGGAATATAACGATGCTCGCTCTGATAGCGTTTGGGCGGTGTTTAGGACACACGAAGAGGTACGTATCCCCGACAGTCCCCGCCCCGAATTTCCAAACACTGCGTCGTTTGACGGACCCACTTCGGGCATTTCTTTCCATTTCATATCACGTGGTATGGAGGCACAGCCATCGATACTACCCTAATTAATCTGTCAAGGCACCGTATTTCCTGCCACGCATTTCACGGAGGTTGTTTCGCGCATCCACGGCTCCATATCCCTTTGATTGCTTCCTTCACTTGTTATCCGTCTTTTTTTATATCTGATCATCATGTCTTTCAGGCTTGCGCCGCACTCTCCCTTTGTGGACCTGCCATGTCTGTCGCAACTGCCCTTGAGGGTGACCTTGAGCCCTTTCATAAGCTAAAGGCGTTTGTTCTAAAGTCTATCGTAAGCCATCAGGCCTTTCTTATTACGTGGCTCGCTGCTGATTAACGGATTCTACTTAGCCGCCAACTTCCTCTCCATCAACTCTTTCCTCCCATCCACCACTTGATCATTCCCGGTCACAAATGCTGCGCACTTCGTCATCCTATCCGGACCTTTATACTGGCCATTCATTTGAAGATACTGTCGACTATACTATCTCCAGTAATCCGCCCAATCCAAAAACGAGCTTCAGACTTGGAGACTGGATGTAAGTTTTTGCATCCGTCCCCCGTTTCGCCCTCCTATGTTTTGAATTACCCTCGATATCCGAGCAATTGGTTTATAATTAGAGTGGTGAATGTCTTGTTTAGATAAGACACTCACTATTTTAAACCTACACCGATCGATATTCATTCGTTGAACTGAATCTAATGTTTCCCTTTGCAGATGCAACTCGCCGAAATGTGCCGCCCATAATTTTGGGTGAGTCTTCTCCCTTTTATAGTCTCGAGACGCAGACAACTTCTCCTTTCCACGTCTCATTCCTACGACAAGCATGCTGACAGAGTCTTTCCCCTGTATGATTCTCCACAGACGCAACCTATCATGTATTGGCTGCGGATGTCCCAGGTCTGCAAATAGCAATTCTTCCGCCCAGCAGTTCGCGAATCCCACCAACCCACGTGCCGCGCCATCTCCGCGGTTTAACTCTCAACCCTCCAGCAACGTTACATACTACTCTTCCTCTTTGCCACCTCATCAACCCTCGCCACAGCCCTCGTACATCAGCCATCCTCAGCAGTCCCATTCCCCAAGATATTCTGTTTCTCCCGTACAACCGCATGCCTCGCAGCCACCCAAGTCTTCGCATCCCCTTCTTACGCCTTCTGGCCGCGCATTCGCCGTAGGCGGAAAGGTGCAGAACATATCAAGCGATCCTTTATCTCCCTGCATCATGTACTGGCCTGATAACGAACCGTTCCCGGAGCAGGGGCAAATTCGTCCTAGCGGTCTAGTTGGAGTTCCGGTAAGCACAACAATTACGCTTTGGCGAACTAGCGGCTGATGTATTACCCAGCAGCCTCCCATCTTGAACACGGGGAACAGAGGGCCTATTTCTCACGTATGTCGTATAGCATGTCTTGCGCTTGTTAAACTCACATCCTTTTTCAGCAACCTGGAGATTGGATCTGCCAAAAGTGTAACTATCTCAACTGGAGGCGAAGGAAAGTTTGTCAGACCTGTCTTCCGTGTAGGTTTTTTAAACACCCTTGAGCCTCTCGCCACATATGCTGATGGTTACTTCCCAGATGCGGAAGGGAATGGTGATTCGATTTCCGCTGCCGTTCAAGCTGAACGCATAGCGCTTCTAACATCAGTTCTTACTCAAACTCAACTGTCGTCTGGTGGGTTGGCCCCTCCCTCATCTGCTCCACATCAGCAGGCAGCAGGCTCGCATTCCCCTCCTCAAGCGCGCCGCCAATTTGCCGACCTATCCCCCCCTCAAGCTCGACCTGTCCATCGTTCTCAGTCTCACCTCCAGCTTGGAGCCCAGTATAGTAATACGAACGCAGCCCCAGCTTACAATGCTCCAAGTCCCATATACCAGACGTCTGGCCATCGCGAACGCCAGCCTTCTCCACTTTACACCACAGGGCCAGAGGTCACCTATTCGTCTTCTTCTATGGATATCCCAGCACCTTTGCTTCCGTCTTTCCTGCAGGATATTGTCCAGTCCCCGGCTCTATCGCCTACCTCAACGACTACGTCATCAGCAGACTTGTCCTCTATCGAGGAGTTTGAGGAACCTCTACCACAACGCTCAATGTTCCCGCGCGCTCGTGGTAGCAGCGGCGCCTCGGACAATTCTCCCATCTCCAATATCTGGAGGTTGGACGGCGAAGAGAGCAAGTCTTTGGCTACGTTCCCGCTTACTACGCGTCAGGACGTCATTGGCACCCGAAAAGATCCTAGGGAGAAACTCCATGTTCGAGTGATGTGATTGCGGATTGATCAATGTGGGTGACCTCACGTCTTCGGCGTCATCCTCAATGACTGACGCTTCTCAACACCAGCTATTTACAATTTACTTCAAGGGTTAATTTCACTCGCGTTTCGTATGGACAAATCATCGGCCACCAAAAATGGCCGACATGAGGATTCCGAAACGAGACAGCTGGAACAAGTAAGGTACTTGGCATCAGAAACGTATGGGACGATCTCACTTTGTTCATGACTTACATCATTCGTCTTTTTTTTCTCTCTCTTGGAATTCTTTTTTGCATTTCTACGTTACAGATATTGACGGCCGCTGATAATCTCGCAGTCTTGGAATTCTTGCCCCGTTTTATCATCTCCTGGGATTACTTACATTATTCGCGCTCTCTCCCCTCTTCGACCTTCTTATTTATTTCGTTTTTATGTATCGTCGTACGGCTCAATTTTGGAATTCGAATATGTATGGCGGCTTCTGTTGGGCTTCTGAAACAATTAACTGCAAACAATGCTCACGACGCGTTGAGAAAGTGAAAGGTGGTCAAGGCTTAGTAAGCCATGCCCATCTATGCCCATTTGCCGTAGCACACACGAATTGCCCTCCAGACGACTCCGAATTGCTTTTGAAACGATCTAGAGTTGCTCTATACGCGATCTGGGAGCTTCCAGGATGGCACCCATCACCCTTTACAGCCAAGGTCATCAGGCTTCCTCAGCGCATGAATTTCTTACTCGAACTTCCACTGCTTCAACGTCCGCCAGCAACGAAACACCGTTGTTACAGGCGATCAGACTCGCATTACGCGGCTCAGACACCGACCTTTTGTCCTCGATCCAATCGACGTCCTTTCAGTCCAAATATGATACAAGACCACGCGATCTTACGTGGAATGCGCACACCGTGATTATTAGCTATGGAGGGGTGATGGTGAAGAAGTGGAACTTTCAAGAGGAGGGAGAATCGATCCAGTGGGCTTGTCTTGGGGAGCTGGAGCAGAGTGTTATGGACAACGGCACGCGGTCGACCTCTCATAGCACCGCGTATTACGCGTCGTACGAAACACCATCGACTGCGCCGAGTTCAAGCAGTCGCGATCGACCGACATTTGGACCGTTTTCTAGGGACAGCGTCAACTCAACTTCAAAACCTAGCCATCCGGAAGTCGTTCCAGCTGTGTTTGTATTTTTGCGCAGCGTTGGAAAGATATATCTGCAAAATGGACTAGAGTTCACCTTCTCATTACCCTTCATTGTGAGAAAGGCCTGGCCGATATCGCCTCATGGAGTCATGATGCAGAGGGTTTTGGAGCCCTCGGAGTTGTTGGAAGCTGAGATGATGGGAGACTCAGTTCTCCCTACCATCTTCAGCATCACCAGTCCCTTTGCAGAGCCTGCTGCAGTCGGTCTCACGACAGGCATCATAGGCAGCGATCCCCCGACGCTAAAGGACGAGGACGAGAATTCATCAAGTCCGCTGAAGTCAGTGATCCCCACAGAGATGGTGGTATGGACATCACACCGACATCCAGTCTCGTCAGATGACGTTCTGGTGACTGTAGATGTCGAAAAGAAGTCATTGTCTATATGGCGGTATGTTTACATCAAGCCTAAAGATACGCCTGTACCCCTCACTCGTACTCGTACTCGTGGCTCAGCTCGGAAACGCCAATCGCTATCTGGCGTTGGGAGTCGCAGGACGTCTGCGATCTTTCCATTATCTCCCCATATTCGCTCTCGAGGGCATTCCCCCTCTCCAGACTTCGATCTACCTGAAATGCCTCCGCTCTCTTCTCTTCCTGGAATGCCCCCCACACTTTCGACAACCACCACCATAGCATCTCTCATCTCTGGTACGAATTCTTCTCAACGATCGGGGCACACGAAAGGACGACGAAATTCTTTGACCCGAAATGACCTGAGCGTGACTCTGGACAGAATGGCGTTGGGTGGACGTCTTGATACTGACATAATGTTGGCGCCGATTGAACATGGCAGAATGAAGGCCGCTTATTGGATGGAAAGTGTACATTCAATGGAAATACCCGCCATAGAGTGAGTTCAGTTCTTACGGCTGTACTGAATGTTTCGCTCACAAACTTCATAGTGCCAGCTCTTGGCGAAATATATCTGTTTGCCTTTTCGACAGTCGCAGCGATGGTAATATACAAAGATGTCTAATGGGTGTTTGCCTCCCAAATAGCCAGGTTCTTCTCTTGTTCTCTGTGTCGTATGGAGAGGACAAAATGATGAAGATCACTCGCATATTTGAGCAACCCGCGCTTTCCATTACCTCCGTCTGTGCAACTCGAGAGCGTGTATGGGATTTACTTGTTCTTAAACCTGGTGGCGATTTGACTCTATTGACACATGGGACTCGTGAACTACCAATTCAAGTTCAACACTCTGCGGTTGAGATGGAAGTGGATAGTGGCTCATCCCCGCAACTGTCGGCTCTAGGAGAAGCTGACCTCACCTTGGTTACGCTCATCTATCAGGATGGAAGAAAGTCAAGCGTTAGCTTTGAGTTGTTCCCAAAGGACAGGCTTACAATTGAATGCCTTGAACTCTTGTCCGTGATGCTTCCATCTGATGCATCCTTTTCCCTTCATAAAACATTCATGGAAACATGGTCCTCCAGAAATTGCTCAACTGCAGACTTTGTGGAATTTCAGTGCTTTACTGAAGCACTTTATTCCGTTTTTGACGTGCAGAATGAAGAGGTAACAATGCCCTCTAACCCCTGGCTAAAACTCGCGCGTTCCTCAGCTCATGATCGCCTCCGTGAGGATCCTGCTCTCAGACATATCAGAACACCTCCAAATTTACCTCAAGCACGTCCTATTGTGTCAATGCAAAAACCTCATCCACTTCTTGCACAGATTCTATACGGTCTGCATATTCTTGGGGAGCAGCTTCGCCTCTCGGTTCATCGACACCACCACTTAGTCAAGTTGGTAACTGTCATATGTCGGATAGCAATTGTGATTCGACCCGAATGGGCTGACTTTTGGAAGCGGCTGGTGCCCGAGGCTCTCTCCGTGTGGCCATCTCCCGCAAATACTAGCAAGTCTCTTTGTTTTTTTACTGGGATAGCCTTGCTTACACCAATCCAATAGTCCTCGATCACGTCGATGACCGCCTCCCTGTTTGGCCTGCCGACGAGTCGGCAATCTTGTATGGACGTGTCAGCAATCCAGACTGCAAAATTCCATGGAATGACATTCTAAATATTGCTAGTCGTTTTGACATCGAATCATCATATGAGTACGGTAATTGTGGTCCAATAATGGCCATGAGCGAGGTAGCGCGACTATACCAGTGCCTCTCTGTTGGCGGGGTGGCGGAAACGCAGAAAAGGGCAGAGAATGCGATATTAGCGATGGTTGAGGGCCCGGAACTATTGGAGCATTTACCCTTGGGTATTGCTGCCCCCCTCAGGGAGGCAGCAAGAACATGTCAACTCGCACCTCCCGGAACCTGGCCCTTGTCTGCATATCGGGCTATTGGACGAAATGACTTGGCGGCATCGGCCAGTGACGAACCTGACACCTTGGTCAGGCATGGTTACCAGCCTTTGAAGTATTTCACGGTGAGCGACGCTCCTCTGCTGTTTTCTTACTTTGCTGATGCTCGCAGAACTCAACCACACCTCGGCGAACAGTTCAAGAAATCGTCAACGAAGCAAAAGCTTCAGCGAGCGGAGAGGTCGACGCGGTCTCTGGAGTTGAACTTCACCTCGAAGATTTTACAGACATTCGATTTGGCCAGGATCGCAGGCTGGAGGAGGTCGCACGCATTCTCTGTTCCTCGACGATTCCATCAATTAAAATTGTGGAGCGTCCCGAGCTCAGTGAACATGACCAAACCAAAGAACACCAAAATCAAGTGGTTCGAGTTGCAGAACGTACTCTTGCTCTGCCTTATGGACGCGCAATGTTCACCTTTGGTTCAGTTCCCACCGTTACTCGAGAAGCCTACACAATCCCCAAAATTGAATATACGGTTCGAATGCAACCGCTGAACATCACTGTTGCGCCAGAAGTTGGCAAATTGGCTCTAGATTCAATAAATTGGGGAGAGTTTCACAATGGTGTCGCTGCCGGTTTAAGAATATCTCCAACAGCTACTGGTGTAGAGAGTTCTTGGATCGCGTTCAACAAGCCATCCGATTTGACACCTGAACATGCAGGATTCCTCCTCGGCCTTGGCCTTACTGGCCACTTGAAGGAAATGCTGACCTGGCATACTTTCGCTTATCTGACGCCAAAACATGACCTTACATCCATCGGGGTACTTCTTGGGTTAGCTTCTGCAAACTTGGGAAATGGCAATCAGCATGTCACCAAGCTACTGGCTGTTCATACCCCTGCTCTGCTGCCTACACCCACTGTGGACTTAAATGTTTCACTTCTAACTCAAGCAGCAGGCTTATCGGGCGTTGGCCTGCTTTACCTTGGAACAAGAAATCGACGCATGGCAGAGGTTTGCCTCAACCAAATTAGTCGACATGATCTCGTTCAACCTGATCTCAGCAACGAGCATCGAGAAGCATACACCTACGCCAGCGCTCTCGCCTTTGGAATGATCATGCTTGGGAAAGGCACCACCATCCCTGCTGATATGGCTATTTTGAAACGGTTGACTGTTCTTATTCATGGCGATGAAAACTTGCTCCTGGGTAATACGGCCCGGCCGCTATTCGACACCAACTTGACCTCACCAGCTGCGACCATCGCCCTTGGCCTCATGTATTTGAGGACAGAACGACAGGATATTGCTGATATTATGACGATACCTGACACCGTTCTCACATTGGATGCCATTCAGCCCGGCTTTTTGTTGGTCCGCACTATTGCGCGCTCCCTTATTATGTGGAATAAAATTGCGCCCACGAATGAATGGTACCTCCGCCAAATTCCGGTGAACATTTGTGATGCATTAGAGGCTCGCCATAGATATGGGAAACCGGTAGATGATGCCATGGAGCTGGCTCATTATAACATCCTGGCTGGTTGTTGTTTCGCCCTCGCACTCAAGTATGCTGGTACGGCTCGCCAAGAAGTGTATCAGATTATAGTGCGGCACTTTGATAACTTTACAAGGTTAGCCTATGCTAGTGGTGAGTCGTAACTTTACACCTTTCTTGGTATCTAACCAATGAAAAACCCCGTTTTAGGGCCTGCATTCGATCATAAAATTAAACGGTCTGCGGTACGAGAGGGTCTCAACTTGATCTCGATCTCACTGAGCATGGTTATGGCTGGCACGGGAGAAATCACTTGCCTGAGACGTATCCGATACGCGTATGGCATGTACCAGCAGGTGATGTACCATCATGGGTACAAGTACGGTGTGCATATTGCGACACATATGGCCATGGGGCTTCTCTTCCTTGGTGGTGGACGGTACACTCTTGGGACCTCTGACGCCGCCATCGCATGCATGGTCACTGCCTTCTTCCCCCGATCTCATCAAGTTTCATCGGATAACAAAAGTTTTTTGCAAGCTCTGCGGCATTTATGGGTTCTGGCCGTCGAACCGAGATGTCTAATCGCTCGAGACGTTGATACGAATGACGTTGTGTATCTGCCGGTGAAAATTTCGGTGAAAGAGAGCAACAAGGTTGAGACGACGCAGCTAATCTCGCCGACACTCATACCTGACGTGGACAAGCTTATGTCGATCCGCGTGGATACACCGAGGTATTGGCCGTTCTACCTTGACACGGCGGCACTTCCACGACACAAAGAGGCTCTACTTCGAAGTCAGACTCTATACGTGAAACGGCGAACTGCGTTTTTGAGCTATACTGAGGACCCCAAAGGCAGCCGAAGCCTCTTTGTACGCTCTGGCTCGTCCGCAGGAGACGCTGCCATGCTCGACTTTCCACAAATAACAGACGCCAAAACGCACCCTGCCGGGGACCTATCAGAATTCATCACTTCGTTCTCAAACAATACACTCTTCCTGGCGTTTGCAGATCACTTCTCCAGGGAAGAGGAAGGCGTTCCCGAACAGGAGAAACTCTTTTACATGTATTGTCACGCGGCGTTGCTAGACAGCATCCTACAAGACAAACCACAAACGCTCCAATCTCACCTGACGCTATGGTTATACCGCAACATGTCACCACGATCCCGATACTTCCATCTGCGCCTGCAGGATCTCAGGTTCGCGGCTGACTTTTATGGCAAGGTGTACGATCGCCGATTTAGCGGCCGTGCCGAAAATAACCCGCGCCCGCCTCTTTTGAGGGATACGACGGTGCTGGGGGCCCTGCATGCTCTGGACCGGAAGTTGGACGTTGTCAGGGAGACGGCGAGCTTTCAGGCTGTTATGGGGATGTATGCACGGGGGGAGGTTATCGACCCACAGCTGCACGCGGACTGGGAGCTTGTTGACAAGCATTTGGCGTGGTATCTGCTGAGGGACGGGGTGCCTGCGTCCACGCTCTTGGTCGTGCTTCGAGGGCTAGCGAGGGACGCGCATGCGCAGTGTGCTGGGCTGCCTGAGCCTGAGGGGACGACGGACGTGGGTGCGCTGGACCTAGGTATCAAGGAGGTGTTACACGCGACAGGATCAAAAATGTCCACTACGTTTGGTTCTGGATGGAGTGTGAGAAGTTTAGATGAGATTATCAAAGCTTGGAAGGTAGATGTGAACGTATAAGTAGTATTGAAAATGTAAATGTAAAATGCGGTTGTTGAAACCGTAGCGCAATAATAAACTGGTGGTACAAAATACATGCACGCTGGGTGGATGCCATTCAAAGTCAATATATGTATAAGCAAGTTCCAGCTCGAGATCGAAGGGGGTGAATAACTTAGATTAACAGCATGGAGTGACGAGTGGACGAAGGGAGTCCAAATGCGAGCAGCAGCGAAGGTGAATTGTATCAAATCAAGTCAATTCCGGTGCCCTGAGTTCTCGAGTTCCTCTCTAATCATGAGGTTGACACTGGAGCGTCTAGAGCTTGTGTTTGCACAGTAGCTTCTGCGGTTTGGGGTGGGGCAGAAACATCTGCGGCCTGCGCGAGCTCGAAAGCAGCGGGACGCTTGAAGCCCTCAGCAATCAGGGTTTCACGCCGTTTACTCACAGCCTAAGGATCAGGTTGTTAGCAAGATACATGAACACCATAGAAAAGAGACCCACTTCGTCCAGTTCTGTGAGCATCTTGACGGTTGTATCCCAGTCGACACACGCGTCCGTGATACTCACACCCCATTTGAGCGCGCTTGGGCCGTCAGCGGGGACATCTTGTCGGCCAGCGTGGATGTGCGACTCGATCATGACACCCGTAATATTCTTCTCACCGGCGGCAAGTTGCTCTGCGATGTCGGAAAGCACTTTGGGTTGGTTGTTGTGATTCTTGAGTGAATTTCCGTCTAAATCTAAACTTAGCAAACATCAAGGATGATGAATGGGATGAACATACGACTGCAGTCGATCATAACGCTGGGTATTTTACCATCTTCCTTTCCTTTTGATTTTTTCTCAATGACGGCGACGGCTTTGCGGACGTGTTCTGAGGCGTAATTGGGACCACCAGTTCCACCACGAAGGATGACGTGCACGTCCTGATTCCCGCGGGTTTTGACGATGGATGCGAGGCCCTGCTCTGTTACACCCATGAAGGCGTGGGGATTTGAGGCCGAGGACATGGCATCGATGGCGACGGAGACGCTCCCATCTGTTCCGTTCTTGAAACCGATGGGGAAAGAGACGCCAGATGCGAGTTCGCGATGGAGTTGGGATTCGGTCGTTCGGGCACCGATGGCGCCCCAGGAGATGACTGTGTGAAGGTTAGGGAGATGTAGATTAGATTAGATGATCGGACGAAAACGTACGATCGGCGATGTATTGTGGCGAGATTGTGTCCAGGAGTTCTGAGCCGACAGGGACGCCAAGGTCGGTGAGGTCACAGAGAAGTTGGCGAGCGATGCGCAGGCCCTTGTTGATCTTGAAGGATCCATCAATGTCTGGATCGTTGATGAGGCCTTTCCATCCAACGGTGGTACGGGGTTTCTATGATCGGAAGCATTAGATGCGAGTCAATCAAATTTTTGCAAGTGAGGTCACCTCGCTGAAAGAAGAGATTGAGTCACGGTGGCGGTAAAATTTTTAAGATGGGACAACGTACAAGTAGGCGCGCATGACGATGAGGAGATTAGGCCAGTCATTCAGCTTTGCTTTGAGGAGGTGGGCATACTCGAGCGCTTGTTCTGGCGAATGAATTGAACAGGGCCCGACGACGACGAGGACGCGATCGTCGTGGCCTGCGAGGATGCGGGCGGCGTTGTAACGAGCTGAAGCGATTGTCCTTTGTGAGTTCTTTGAAGAGACGATTTCATGTCTTAAGAGAGCAGGTTGGACGAGTGGGTCGTAGCCGATAACGCGCCTGTCCTGGATGTACTGGTGGACTTTTTGTGCATCCTCAAAGTCTGGGAAGGGGGAGACGTTGTACATGTCGTCTGGGATGGCTGTGGAACGGGGTGAGTGGGGTGGTGGTAGTGAGAAGAGAAGGGGGAATCACGGAAACGAAAGGGATTTTGAGCCATTGTAAGAACGTTTTACGAGTTGTAGATATACTGCTCAGAGATAGCCCATATTAGGTAAGCTGGGTACACGCACAAGCCTGGGCCCCAACCAACCTAGCAACTGCGATTAAATTTTGTAGCCGAATACTGTATTATTGCTCCACCTTTGACCATGAAAACCCTTGAATACTGACCAAAGAGCCTCCAGAGAAGTCTCGAGAATATACCGAGAGTACATGTGAGATTACGTAAACCCGACCATCTTCCAAGAAACTCCCGTTGCCGCGAATATCATGTCTCTCTCCATCTCCCTATCACCGACCCCAGGCTTTTGCGTTAAGTCCAAAGCACTCACCCCAGTAGCAACAAAGGTCTTTATCAACATCGCATGGGACAAGAACGTTCCTTCCCCACCCAAATCCAGCGAAGAGGACATTCAACGCGCGATGAGCGGCGATGGTAATGAGCGTGGTAACCCGTGGTATGTCCCCGTTGTCGTTTCAGAGCCTAGGCAGGACGTGGACAAAGGTAAGCCTCCGTTCAATTCTCCGATCATCCCAGCAGTTTCACCTGTACATATTCAGCCGGTAATCAGGCACTCGTTTTTGACTGCGTCTATAACTCCACCCTTAGATCACGCTCTGTCCGCGATCCAGATTTCAAGTCCTTTCTGGTCGGTTAGTGTCATCCCACTTACTCCCCCGGTACACTGCTTCCTATCTCCACACACACACACATATACAGAACTAGCGATCCAACGAATAGAAGCCCAGTCTAACATCCCTTTGTCGCGGCAAATCGCCACTCCTAATATCGCTAGCAAGGGGAAGCTTCTTCCACGTACCGTCAACATCCCATCTACACTACTGAAAGAAGATCCTATCAGCAAGAAACCACTCATACAAGAGTTGCCTACTGATGATCATGCCAAGCCCAATCCAAAGGGTATCTTGAAGCGCTCTTCTCCTAGACCAAATTCGCTACCACTCGAATGGTCCTGGTCACGGCTCGATTCAGGAACCTTGAACATTGTCTTTCGTGTCCCTAACATGGTGGGCGCACGTTTCTAACCCATATCTGTCATCCCACTGACAAATAACCTGTCAAAGACACACACTCTGATTCCCAAAACGACCCTCGATGTTGAGCCGCGCAGGATCATCCTTGCCATCCCATCTCACCCGGTTTTGGATATTGATTTAAATATATCGGACGCCGAAATAACATCGCGCATCCATAACAGCGAAATCAGGGATAAAACTGAAGACACCACTCGAACCTTGCTGTTGAAACGACAGCGAGATTTCGATGTGGACAATACAAAAGCAGAGTGGAGGGTTGCCGAGGGCGTGCTTATTGTATCTGTGTAGGGACTGTGTGGGTGACCTTACGCGGACATGACGTACACTATCATCATGCCTCGTCCACTAAACTGCATTCTGGCCGACTCGGTTTTGAATTGTAGATAAGGTAAAGTACACACAGGCTACACAATGGCTGCGCGCCAAGCAGAAAAGAAGAAAAGTTAGTAGTGTCCTTGGCACAATCAATGGAGTACATATAGGCTATAGATAGCTACTCGAACCATAAGGTTCATCGCGGGAGGACAAGAAGGTATCGCATCGAAATGAAGGAAAGTACCTCCTCATCGCCAAGACCACGTATCCTGAAGGAGAGAAGAGTCATTAACGCGTATGCCCTACCCCTCGATGCTAACCTCGTCTTTCTCCTTGCGAATGTGTCAAGTACAACCCATGCAATACATCGGTCATACTCTTCAACCGCCCGCCTTGCCAAGAAGAGCATAACCACCTCCTTGCGGGCCGTGTAACTGCGAAAGATAATCATCAGTTCAGTCAGTGCAAAGCACAACGTTGAAGATGGCGACCCCATGCTGACCTTGCTATAACACCTTACGCAAAATGGAGACTCATCATGATCGCGTAATTTGTTCGAGTCAAGGGTGGTCCCACATTCCGTGCACCGCAAACAACCCTTGTGCCACGTTTTACCAACCGCTTTCACCTATTCACCAAAAAATTAAAAAACAATCATTACGGAATTCCGGCAATTGCGGGATGTTTTACCTGCTCGGCGAAATAAACGCTTTTCGCACAACGGGGGCAAATAGGTGTGCCTGCTCCCCACTTGCGCGGCGAGCCAGTTAGCTGCACACCTATTCCGCCTCCCGCGCCAAGGGCAGCGCCGTAGCGTGTCCCTGTAGCCGTCCGCTTGAGGGGACTGAGATTTCCGCCTTCCCTCTCTAAGAGGGTGGCTGCCGCTGCTGCGGTGCTGTTGCTTCGCGCGAGCGGCAAGTCGATGGATCCAAGACTCTGAGTGGTGTGATGTGTATACCCTCTTTTGGGAGTACCGATATTCAGGTTGAGGGGGATCGTACGGGGAATCGTGCCGATTCCCGGCCGGCCTGTGTTGGATGGGTAGGAAGGGGAGGATACGTCGTTGTCCGTTTCTAGTTGTGCGTCGTCATTCGCTTTGGTGTCCAGCATGTCTTGTACTTCGGCTTCTTCTTCCGTGATGGCGCCGTTGTCTTCAGCAGATGCTGAGACATTAGTGGCGCTCCCGTTGTTCGGACCCGGAAAGGTGAAGGGAGGTGAAGAGCGGAAAGTGGGGGAGATGGGGCTTGTTGCCAGAGAACGGGTGGGTTTGAGCTTGGGCATTGGGCCTGGGGAAAAGCTGCGGCGTGTCGGTGAGGAAACGGGAGATGAGTCAGAGTCCAAGGGGGGTGGGGCGTATGGTAGGTTAGCGTGCCGAAGGTCGCGGGTGCCAAAGTTCTTGAGGTGACATGATTTGCTGAGGAGGTGTTAAGGATCCGGGGTGACTGGAAGAAAAGAAAAAAAGGGTACCAGTAGGGCTGTTATTGGTCGGTTGAGTTTACTGATCAGTAGGATTTGTTGGGACTTGCCTGTTCGTCGTGCTCGAGTAGGGTAAACGAGTCCAGTCGCTTTCGACACGCTGTGCACGCGAGACATGGCTAGATAAAAATATTGACTTTTCATCAACGCGATGCGTATGTCTGATGCGCACTTTATGATATAACTGTCAAGGAAGATGTCAGTATTGAAACCGATACAAGTCCTTTGACTACACACCTTTCTACCTGGTCCCATTACCTGATTTTATCAACTTAAGCAATTCTTATGTTCAAAGCTTAACTTACCTGTTCTGCTGCATAGACAGCCTTCTTGCAACTTGGGCATATTGGAATTCCACCAAAAGGATGCATGTTTGGGTTGAGAGGGAGATGTAGTATTACATAAGCTGATTAGTGAGTCGGAGATTTAAATTACGAAATCTGAAATTTTTGGAGAAATCTCATCTTGGGTTGATCACCATCTCTTCTCTTCATCGCCGGTCTCCTCTACCACCTCTCTCTTTCTTCTCCCACATACTCCTTACATCTACCACTACAAAATGTCTGAAGAGGAAGAGCATCAAACTTTCGAGGCTGTCAGTCTACTCACCGTTCTGCATACCTTATCGATTAACCTTTTCTACAGGTCGGTGCGGGCGCCTCGTTGACCTTCCCTATGCAATGTTCTGCTTTGCGCAAAAACGGTCACGTTGTCATCAAAGGTACCAGCCTTATGTCTTATTTTATGACATGCTAATCGATTCACTTAGGCCGCCCTTGCAAGATCGTTGACATGTCCACCTCCAAAACCGGAAAGCACGGTCACGCCAAGGTCCATCTTGTTGCTATTGATGTATGTTATCCCTCATTTGCTCGAGTCACCCGTTTCTAACTCTCATTTAGATTTTCACCGGAAAGAAGTTGGTGGGTATCTGGCTCTCGTGACTTTTCGATTCGAATTAAACTTTGTGAACAGGAAGACATCTCTCCTTCCACCCACAACATGGATGTTCCCAACGTCCACCGCAACGAATTCCAGCTCGTGAGTCACTTTTTGTCAAATTTGAATCGCGCTGACTCATTATTTACATCCACAGGTCAACATCGACGACGGTTTCCTTAACCTCATGACTCAGGATGGGACCCCTAAAGATGATGTTAAAGTCCCTGACAGCGATCTTGGCAAGGATATCCAGGGCCAGTTTGACGATGGCAAGGATTTATTGGTCACCATTATATCTGCTATGGGCGAGGAGCAGGTATGATTGTTTTATTACCAGGGAGGAAATTGCGCACTAACGGGTTCAACTTGTTGCCAGGCCATCTCTTTCAAGGAGGCTCCCAAGGGCAGTTAATTTGTGAGTCCTATTGCAATGATATTTCATAGCCAAATTATTCACCTGACTTTGTTCTCCAGTTTTACTTGTGTGGTTCCCCTCGGTGTGCTTGTTGTTATCGTTATCCCCCTCTTATTTCCTGCTGTCCGAAACGTCACATCTACAGCAAGCTCTTCTCATCCACCGATCTCACATACTCCTCCTCCTCCTCCTCCCGCCCGTTGTGCCTGTGTTACATACATACATATCATTACATGTCGATCTCTGTTGTTGTATTCCAATCAGGATGAAATGAAGAAAATAAAACGATACGAAAAGTTGGTAGCATTACGTAAGTCGTAAATTCCAGTCAGTCTCCCTCACGACATAACGACGAGAGGAAGATGGAAGGCGCTTCAGCGACACTAGAGCCCCTCTTCGCTTTTTTGGCGCATGCGCTGGCAACGGCTGAGACGACGTTCAACAGACTCCCTGGCTCAGCTGTCATCCAGCGATATGTGAAGAGCTCTCACCAGAACGATCCTGGCAGAACCATTTTAGAACTTATACTAGTCGTATTCGCGATTAGGACGCTGCTTCAGTCGCGTACACGAGCAGATAGGAATGGCAAACATTTTATTCAGTTCAGCGACAAGGTACGCAGCTCTCTAACATGCTGACGCGGGAATACTCATCGTCTATTTTGTACCTCCAGGAAATCGACGAGCTCGTGGACGAATGGTCACCTGAGCCCCTCGCCCAACCCCTCACGGCCATCGAGCAGGCTGACCTGGCTGCTGTGCCCATCGTGGCTGGTCCCAATGGCCCCAAACCGAAATTGGTGGCTACGGGAAAGACGGCTACGAATCTGACGAGCTTCAATTTCACGGGCTTGGCGGGGAACGAACATATCAAGCAGAAAGCCGTCGAGACGCTGAGGAAGTATGGGTTGGGAAGCTGTGGGCCGCCAGGGTTTTATGGAACTCTTGGTACGTTTCCTTTCTGCTAGTTTCTTTTTTTAGTTCTGAGTTTTGCGTGTAGACGTGCATATAGACTTAGAGCGTGACATTGCGGACTTTCTCGGTACAGAGGCCGCCATTTTGTATTCGCAAGGCTTCTCCACCATTTCGTCCGTCATTCCGGCGTTCTGCAAGCGAGGCGACATCATTGTTGCTGATCGTGGAGTCAATTTCGCGATTCAGAAGGGCATCCAGATATCTCGCTCCACTGTCCGTTGGTTTGATCATAACGATTTGAATAGCCTCGAGGACGTTTTAATTGGTGTGGAGAAGGAGAGGAAAAAGCGCAGGGGACCTCTTACTAGGAGATTTATCATTACGGAAGGGATTTTTGAGAGGGACGGTGTTATGGTTGATTTGCCGAAATTGGTACGCGATTGATTTCATATTCGTTGGATCCTAGACTCACGCGACTGTTCTTTTAGATTGAACTCAAGTACAAATACAAATACCGCCTTATCCTCGACGAAAGTTTCTCGTTTGGAACTGTTGGACGAACTGGCCGCGGCTTAACAGAACTGTATAACGTTCCTGTATGTTTCCCTTTTACTGCCTCACACTTTTTCGTACTCATGTTTTTCTTTTCAGGCAACAAAGGTAGACATGCTGCTGGGTTCCGTCGCCATCGGTCTCTGCTCTTCTGGTGGGTTCTGTGCTGGTTCTCAAAATGTAGTCGATCACCAGGTTTGTCCCTATCTGTCCAATCACTCGTCAGATGCTCAGTCTGTTACAGCGTATCAACGGTCCCTCGTTTGTCTTCTCTGCCTCCATGCCGGCCTTGCTTGCCGTTAGCGCCTCAGAAGGCATCAACATCCTTCGCTCCACCCCCTCCATCCTCACAAGCCTTCAAGAAAATGTACAAGCGGCACACGCCATCCTCGATCGCGTCGACTGCATCACCATACCTTCACATCCCGCGTCACCCGTCATTCACATCCAAGTCCGTTCCCAGCCTGGATTCTCCTTGCACCCATCCACTGCTGCTACCATCGCCATTCCCGGGAAACAATCCAACCCACATTCTATTTTGGGGAAGGACTCTGCGAGTCAAGATTGGGATATCGATGTGGAGGAGAGGCTTCTCCAAGACGTGGTGGATGAAGCACTTGCACAGGGGGTTATTTTATCTAGGGCGAAGAGGTTGAGGGGGCAGGAGATGGTGGATGTCAGACCGAGTATACGGTTAGCTTTGACAAGTGCTCTTACGAAGAAAGAGACGGAAAAGGCGGTTGGGATTGTTAAGGCTACGCTTGTGAAGGTGTTGGGGAAGAGGAGGTGATCATTTGCCTCGGGAAACAAACTCAATCTACAACAAATGCTCCATCTACATAGAAACTAGTTTTAATATACCTCGGTCGTGGAAGATGTGTCTATATAATCCAACCTTTTGGCTGCGATTTGATTTTTGATCTACTGCTTTGCTATATCCCCTTGCAGGTTCACAGAGTTACAATTACAGCATATATATATTAAATAAGGAGATAGTATGAATGACCTCTACCGCTTCGTCTTCTTACTCCTTCGTGTTGGTTTCTTATCTTTTCCTGCCCCTCCTGCTTCTACCCGGTCCTCAGCATCCGCCTTCCTCTTCTGCCCGACTTGAGTCCCAGCCCGAAAGCTCACAATACTCGACTTGCCCGCCCCAGTTCCAAGTTCCTTCACCTGCGCTTCTGCAGTGCTCCAGTCTACTGCTGCATCATTGATCGCATACCTATTAACCAAGTTAAGTCGATCTGAATTAAATGGATCGATCCCAAAAAACCCAAACGTCTGGGGAAGACATGACAACAACTCACTTTTTGAGGTCCAGAGAATCCAACATCTCCCGTTGTTTTTCTCTCAATGCCGATTTGACCTTGTCGCCGGCCTCATCGAGCTCTTCCGCCACTATCTGGGTCATAGGCTTCCAGTCATCGCTAGGAGCGGGAACATCTACTCGTGACGTCCCGGTCGGGGCTGGGCCAGAAAGCCTCATCTCAGCACTGATGGCTTGCTTCTGGATGTCAATCAATCGTTTTCCAATCTTACGAATCACCTTGACAAACAAGGCAAGGGATTGGTTTACGGGCAGTTGGAGTTCTGCCTTTGAAGGTAAAGTCCCAGTTTCAGAAGGAATAATTTGAAAGGGTGAGAAATACGGAGGCTTACCTCGACTTCTTCTATCGTCTTCCTCTGCAGCCCCAGAGCAAGCAAAATGGAACTCTGGACAGCACTGAGCCTGACTTCGTCCCCAAGCCGCTTCTGGAAGTATAAGGATGAGACTGAGGGAAGGAGGTCAAGGATAACGTGATAGTCCAGCATATTGTTCGCATAGGATTCGAGTCGCTTGAGGTCGTAAGGCGTGAACAGAATAGAAAGTTCCTCTGGACCTAGATCTATAGAAGATGAAGATTTCAGAGAGACCGAAACACACGGAGATTTGGAACATACCTATTGACTTTGACTTCTCGTCCGGCTTTTTAAGACCTGCATTCGTAGCTTCGAGTATGCTTAAAGCAGTCACACTCCCAAACTCCCGGAATTTGTAAGATAACAAGGTGAGGAATCGCCTTCGGAAATCTAGTCGGCTCAGTAAATCGATTTTTCACGCCATGGAACGGATAAAGCACCTTTCGCGAACTCTCCAAGCCACTCCAACTCACTCTCAGTGGAGCTATTCAACCCCCGCACCATTACGCATGTATGTTCTCCCGTCAGCTCGCTCGTCGTTTGCCGCACATATAGCGGTACATAACCAGCTCGCTTCCAGAATCTAAAGTCCATATAGTGTCAGCACCTACGATGACTTGAATTACGATAGGAATGCACCTGAGAAGAGGTGGTGTCAGACCATAAGATACGCCCAAGTAATCCAGGTTCTCTGGTTTTCGCTCCGACAGACGTTGGAGGAGTGGTTCCATGGCTGTTGGTGCTCGCACCGTCGGATTTTCCGTCAGGAGATCTGTCGTCTGGAAGGGGAATGAATGAGCAATGATAAAGAGTAGAAAAGAAGGTTTTAAAACAGACAGAGTCAACGGTGGCAGTATCGGCGTGTTCGACCTCCTTGGAGGTGACGTTTTCATCCAAGTTGAACAACTCCCCACTATAGAAGGAGTTGAGGGCTTTTAAGGCCCTAGACCCATAGCCCATCTGTGACTCAGTCAGGCTTACTACAGATGATGAAAATGTGGCACTCACATTCGCATAATCCGGATGGCAAGCAATCCTGACCACTCGAGCCCCACTCAACGTACCGAACCTGTTTTCCTGGAACTGCTGGGCTACAAGCCATGGGATCATATCACCCCCAGCCCTCACGCCCCTCCCTATGCCGTCCATGATAACATCCTTGCTGATATTGCCCTCCAACGCGACCTGTAGCACTACCAAGGGCTCTGGGAGATGACTCTCGTCATCTTTGATTGGAGGTAATAGCACGAAGAGGTGATGAGCTGGCGCATCAGACAGGAGTTGCAAGTCGTTTGGCTGGTTCTTATAATGCGACGCAACGTAGAGTGCCATCATCCGCTGAAGGAACACCTCAGATGCAGGATGGTAGGAGAACAGCGTGTCGCGAGAGACGTAAAACAGCTCGCATGCAGCGGGAAGCGGGCAACCCTGTACATTAGCTTTTGGTAGAATTGTGGCATCCAAGCAAAGTAGACCGTTGAGCCATTTCTCAATCCCATCACCCGCAGAATATCGAATCGGGGTTTCGAGCTTGATCTCGCGAAGTGTACGGGCTTTTGGAGGCGCTTTAGCCAATGCCTTTTTGGATGTAGATGTGCTGGCAGCTTCGTCATCTTTTGCGTGTCCAGAGACGTCCTTGGTTAGCGAGGGGCGGGTACTTTCACGAAGTTGTTGAATGAGCTTGAGAGAGAGGGAACGGCCAGTTCCTTCATAGCCGTTGATGGTGGAGGCGAGGAAGACAAGGTAAGGTCCAATGAGTTTGCGTACAAGGGGTAGGGGAATGGCTGCTGCTTCGTCAATAACCACTAACTCTGCTTGGCCAAGGACGTGCGCGTCTTCCGGTTGAATATACTATACATCTGTGAGACACAACGATGAAGAAGGGAGAAGGTACATGCCTGGATGGTCTGCCTGTGATCCCTAAACACGTTCACCCTTACAATGGCCTTATTGAAATCCGGATTTGTGCTTTGCGCAATGTCATAATCTAGATGCTCCTCATAGCCCAGCGCGTCCATTCCCTTAAAGACAAAGTCAAACAATGTTTTTAAATTCTCCGGGCTCGGGCTAGTGACGAAGATGTTCGAATAACCGTGCGCTAGTGAAGCAGCAATCGCCAGCCCAAGAGCAGCACTCTTTCCCCGACCTCTAGCAGCCGTAAGTGTAACCGTCGAGCTCAGAGTTTTCTCCGCGATGGCGTCGATGAATGTAAGTATGGCTTGCGCCTGGTCCGTGGTCTTTGCAAGTTTAATCAGGTCGCCAGCCGGCTTGGTATCCTCTAGGGTGGCCTTGAGTTCCTTGAGCTCTGTTTCGGCAGCCTTTTCCTTTCCAGGTTTGTCTTCAATGGGAGTAATATCTTTCCCGCGGGAAATAGGGAGTACGTTTAGTTCATCGTCGAGGACAAGGCAATCAGCGCAAGACCCAAGGGAGAGAATGAATCGCTCATTGAAGCGAGCAACGACGGAGTCATGCGAAGAGGTTCGATACCGAGCGTGAACATCCTTTGAGATGTGTTGAATTGAGATGGGAATGAAGCAAGGAGTGAACGCACCATGGTCATCGTGTACAGTTGCTTGAGGGACGTCATCGTTTTTAACAAGAGGACGACCAGTCCTCCGCCCTCCACTGTCTCTATAGTTCGTGCCAACAGATTGGGCGTAATGGCTTCAAAGTCTTGCAGAACGCACATGCCATATGTGTTTCCTAGTATTTTGTGCGACTCCTTGTAGTAGCTAAAGCCATGATCAGAACTGAAGTGCAGTCAAGGCAAGAGAGCGTACGTATAACGGATGTCGGTGACCGTAACGAAAATTTCAAACGGATTCTGCTCGTTCGGCTCACGAACGCCCCTCTTTACATCTCGTTTGATTTTTTGTTCTCGTTTCTTCCGATGACTGACGCGGTAAAGTCAGAGGAGGAAGACAATCAGGTTCAAAACGACTCTTACCTTGTAAAACCAAGCTCTTTTTTGTAACACCACAACACAGAAGGCCGCGCAGAAACTCGCGCTTGAGACAAGAGGAAGTGAAGGTTAACGATCTGGGACAACGCGTCAATGGATCTGATGTGAAGAAAAATTGCAATGGAACATGCCTGGTCTCTGCCCTTGTCTCCTACAAGGACAATGAAAGAACGATGATTTCGCTTGACATTATTGTTAATGAGAATGGGTATTCGAGGGTCTAGTTGCTTCCTCATTCGATGATACTTACGGCGAAAGGTGTATGTAGAAACTTGATCACGCCGCTACGGTGGAAACGAGATTTTTTTAAATCCCTTCCCACGGTAATCATCATGACTTCACATCAAAGGGAATCCTTGGCCGATCCATTCAATAATTTGACCAAGTCCAAAGCAATGAACGGGGCAGACAATGACTTGACGGAGACACTCGAATCTATTACGGTACGGTGCTTTCGCAACGCTCAGCTTGTGCTCTCACTGAATAGGATCGCATTTTTTTATTCAGTAGAACTGTTGGAGCTAGTATCTTTGCCAAAGATAGCTCCGATTCTCTGCAACGTTCAAGTTTTCTGCCAGTCCCTCCGAGGGAAACTCTACGGGGGCAACGTCTTGATTATCCGCCCCCGAGCTAAGCCTAGGGGGTCTTTTCGACCTTAAATTGGCGTTGGGCTTCGGCGTTCGCCAGGTATTCACAACACGAAACAGCGTTGCTCATCAATTTTAGTGATTGCTCAGCACTCCCTTCAATACCCTCACGATATACGCCAACGACGAATGGCATACTGTTAGTAGCAGGATGGATAAGATTAAATTTGATCAGCAACAACGTTTTCAGCACGCCTTGGAAGAGACTGCGTAAACTACCTCGTGGGGCACGGTGCGTATTTCTGGGCCAGTGGCGAGCTATACCTCCCAGATGAAATTCCGCGTCAGCGTAGTCTTAGAAAGAGCCGCTCGCAATCTTTAAATAAGATACAGAGGCACCCAAGAGGCACCTCTGTATGACATCTCTCGGCACGAGCAATTTTGTTTGTTGATTCGTAAACCACGTGTATGTATGTAAATTCTAAGGTTAGGGTTATTCGGCTCATCGTTTTGTTGCCACTGTAACTTTCCCCCCAACGTCCAGCCATGCCTGCTCCCGCTCCCTTCTCCCCTCCTCAGCCGTCGTTCCCCGCTCTTTACCTATATCCTCTCAATGATTCTTTTGTTCCGAAACACATAACTCTCGCTCATGGCCAACACGTAAAAATCGGACGACAAACTAATGCAAAGACGACACCAGGGGAGCGAAACGGCTACTTCGACTCAAAGGTTCTAAGCAGGCAGCACGCAGAGGTATGGGAGGAAGCAGGGAAGGTTAGTCACCCGAATCGTGGATTCGGTCGATGTCCTCGTCTCTACAGGGCTGTAAGCTTACCTAGCGCCCATTTTTCAACAGATCTACATCAAAGACGTCAAGAGTTCTAATGGCACATTTATAAATGGCGAACGTCTCAGTATTGAGGCGGTAGAATCTGAGCCATACGAACTGAAAAGTGATGACATAGTGGTAATTCCAGTGTCTTCTTACTCGTGTGATTGATGTAATGTCTGCTCTCAGGAGTTTGGTATCGATATCGTCGGCGAAGACAACAAGACAATTATTCATCACAAGGTCGCTGCTCGTGTGTTATGCGTCTTCTCTGAACAAGATGCCCAAGTCGCCGCTCGTGCAGAGCAACATCAACAACAACATCAGCAACAGTTCCAACAGTCTGCTCCATCTTTAATGAACCAGGCTGGCCCTAGTGGTATCAACGGGCAACCTTCAACATTTAACTTTAATGGTGGTCAACAACGGCGTCCGCAACCGCCACAACAGGGACTCGCTGGCATGGGTGGCATGGGAGGAAGTATGCGACCACCAGGCAAGAGCGGGCTCAGCTTTGATGTCATCTTGAGTCGACTTCAAGGAGAGCTCCAGAAAAGCCGAGAAACGGGCGCTGAGTTGAACACACTTACTGGGGCGATGAATGACATCCACGAGACACTTGGTGGCGGTGGCCCTGTATGTATTGGTCACATATTCCCTCTTGACTATCGTATTCACGATGCCGATCTCTTCAGCCCGCAAATCTACCCTCATACCCGGCCCTTCCGCCCGTTCGTCCACCACAAGATCCATCAATAATGCCCTCTAGTTCTGGGTCGCCTGTACATCCATCGACGGCAGCCTCTGCAGCAGTGTCGACCAGTGCCATCATCGATCTTCAATCGCAACTACGCGAGACCCAGTCCTCGCTCTCCTCACATCTAGAGAAGATTCGTGCATTGGAGGGTGTACTTGCCGAGCAGGAAACAATGAAAAGGGAGGTGAAAACCTTACGTGAGATGGTGGAGTCGAGGAGAAGGGAAATGGAGATGGAGGACACACACAAATCGCACCCAGAAGATTTACGCGGCGGTTTTGACTCTGAAGATGAAGGTGAGTCGGGGCACGGTGACGACGACGATGACGCTCGAAGTATCAACACCGTCGTTCCACACGAGCTCGAGCGGGTGGATGAAGAAGACGAGGAACAGCTTGCAGAAGAAGAACGTCGACATCGGGAGCATGAAGAGGCTGAACGAGAGGAGGAGCATGAAGCCTTGGAAAGGGAGCGCCAGCACACCGATTTGGAATCGATGGGCCGTCCCCGCACACCGGAACCCATTCGTATGGGATTGCGTGACGGCAATGCGTACGACCTCATAAATCGATCGTCATCTTCGCTTCTCAACGCTCCTCGTAGGGGTCCTGGATCATCACCTCTCTCTAAGATTGCTGCTGCTGGGCCCACAACAAACGATGTTTACGAACAAGTAATGCAGCTGTCCATTCAAGTGAACGCAGTAATGGCTCTCACTTCGACCTTGGAAGCACAGCATACTGCCGCGCAGTCAACCATCCAAGCCCTTGAGGGTAAGGTGGAATCTCTCGAAGCCATGTTGAAGGCAACGCAAGAGGCCCAGGCTCAACAAGCTAGGGCTTCGTCGCCATCCCCGCCGTCCTCACCCCCACCTTCTACTCCCGCTGCAATTGAAGCTGATCAGAATCACGAATCGCTCACGGAAATGCTTGCAGAGTGGAAGAAATCAGTGGAAGGCCAATGGAGCAGCGTACAGGAGGAATGGAAGGAGGAACGGGAACGATTGAGCAAGGCTCGGGAGGAATGGGAGACCAAAGTCCGCCAGGTCGATTCGGGGTTGGAAAAAATGGCAACTCTCCAAAGTTCGACGATTGCCCTACAGCAACAGCACCTCCAAATTCACCTTAATTATGCTAATGGAGACGCCGTGAAACACAACGGTCTCGTCACGCCTCCCAGCCCAAGAAGTCAGTCGTCAGACTCGGGAAGATATCGAAGGAGAAGACGACGATCCTCAGGGTCAAATAGAGGCAGGTCTCCCTCAAGGTCACGGAGTGGCTCAAGGGAACGAGGTCTCAATGATGACGATGCTGTTGGGGATTTGGATGTGGAATCTGATGCTCCGCCAGAAGAGACCATCGTTTCGAAACTGGGTTTGTTCAGCTCTCCTAATTCTCCTCGTGGGTGTCTATGTTTTATTATATCTTTGTGATCGCACTGACAGGATGACTTGTCTGCAGGTAAGACGGCTACAAGGACTACAGAGCACGGCCAAGCTGCAGCGCGAACACTCGTCACGCCTGAGCCTACCCTCTACAACTTGTCAACATCGCCGTCGTCGTCGCCAGGTTCAGTCGACGCAGAACGACCCGTCGAGGACGATACGATAGCAACCACGGAAGTCGTCACGCACATCCACAACTCGGTTCGTATTTTCTTTCTTTTCCACTTTGATCATTTATATTTTTTTGTTACAGCAGACAATAAATATGCACACTGCGCTTGGCGTGCTGGTGTTGAGCGTTGCTGCTGCCGCTGTGTTTTGGAAAGTCAAACCGGAATAAAGGCTTCTATTTCCTCCTCCTCCCGTCACCTCACAGACGATGTCTCCATACGTGCCAGAAAAGAGGCCTCTCAAAACGAAACGGAATTATTCTATGATATGAAAAGTCTGCGATCGTCGACGACCCCATCCCACTACTGTAGTCAACTCACTCTTTATTTTATTACCTTTCTCCACTGGTCTTTTTCGCTCTCTATATTTTTGGTGTCAGCTCTTTCTCGCTGTCGCTTCTTTGATGATTCTCGTTGTAATATGCACGTATATCATGTCGTCTTCTTTACCCTCTTTATTTATTTGATCACGATCAACGACGTTTGTTCCTTGCGATCCTTTGCGATCGCGATGGTACCACGGAAAATATGACTAACGCTCATCACGTCAGAGGATGAGAACTCCGTTGTGCAATGAACCCACCCATTCAAGTTGTAAAATTGGAGTTGTCCTCTCTTCACCTTTCTCAGCTCTCCGATGGAAATGTTCCGATGTTGACAACTAAGAATAACAGCAGTTATGTATGTATGTATGTAACTGAAAATGTTAGGCCCCACGCGCCACAGGCCACAAGGCTCTCATTTTCGGATAACCAAAACGAGCCAAAACGTCCGAGTCATGACCGTCGGATGTAAATTCCGGGCATCGGAGCTCATTCTGTCTTCAATTTTCAAACCTGTGCTGTGCGACAGGTGGAGCGGAGAGATGTTCATACTGTCATAAATGACACGCATGTTCCGTAGACTGAGTAGTAGAGGTGTGTATGGACATTACAACGCGCAAGTATTCTTATAAGTTCCGAGCTACTTCATCTCTTGATATGTGGTATGACATGTATGCACAGAAGCAGGCCGGAAAAACTTGAGAGTTCCAAGAGGTTCCAAGGATAATCGATAACGTGTGGTAGCTCCGTGCTCTGTAACAGCAGTGTTTTTCCCCAAGTAGAACAGTGCTGTCACCAGCCGCTGAGATATAAAAAAAAAATCTCGCAAGATCCAGAGTTGTAGAAGAGGGAGAAAAAAAGCTGGAGAATGGAGAGAGGGGCGGAGGAAACGCAGGGATCCGTGCCGGTATGGCAACGTTTCAGGGAGAGCCAAGTTGAGCCAAGATTTGGGTGTCGTCTGACCATTGGCGGTGAATTGAAAGTGATCACGTTGGATGTCAAGCAAAATACGCCATAGAGCGAACAGTGGGAAGCGGCATCCAGAGACGGCTTCAAATTTTGTTCAAAACCTCCCCCCTTTCTGCCCTCAAAGGTTCCCCCACATCCAGCACATCCGCCCCCACATCCTATCATCAGCCATGACACTCCTCGCTGACAGACAGAACTCACAGTCTCCCTCTCGTCGTCTTTCCCTCTCTGATAAAATTTCTGCCTTGGGCGCAAAAATCAGCCGGTCGCTGTCCACAATAGACCCATCTTTGCAGGACGAAGATCGGGATTCTGTTGTCAGCGACCTCCCAATGATAAATGGACAACGTCAGTGAGCTTTTCTTTGAGATTTGGGCTGGTGGTGGTTCGAATTCAAGAGGAAAGATAAGAGAGATAAGGCGTTGCCATACCGCTATCTTATGGCAATTCCTTATCTCTGACCATGGGTCTAGTCCTATCTTATCTTCATTCGTGCTCTTTCCCTCATTCTGCTATCTGATGGCTCCCAGCACGAGCTGTCCTCCGTGTCTATTTCCCGAGTACCCGAGAGGCAGTGGTTGGGCAGTGGGTCGGGGTGTGGCCCCGATACTGCTAGATTGTGCCTAGTATTCCGTCATATCCTGTCACTATTTTCCCCCTTTATATAGCCTGTCGCATTGCCCCTCTTTATCTGAACATCTCTCTTACTCAACTTGACATGGCAGAAAAAGATCGCTCTTTGTCTCGCGGACGGGACGCTTTCGTAAGTGCAAGTCGACTTTGATTGGAGTGCTACTGACTTCTATCCAGCAATCAACAGGACGTGGTGGATTGGGAAACATCCGCCAGGCTTCTCTTTCTCGGGATGCTCGCCCTGACTCTGGCCCTGATGACTTCTCCACAACTCGTGGCCGTGAGCCAGTTCCAGGTGCCCACAAGGATGTATGTTAATTAGGAAAGATTGTCTAATACCGTCCTCTCACTGTGTCGTTTCATAGGTGTACTCTACTGGTCGAGGAGGTGTAGGAAATCTCCGGTCCCCATCGCGCGATGCCAGCAGGCCGCCCGCCGTCCCAGATATTGCTGAACAGGAAGCCCTTGAAAATTACGCTGCGACACATCAGGACGTCGTTGTATGTCTCCTCCCATACATATTAAAAATCTTACTTATGTTCTTTAGCACTCCACCGGGCGTGGCGGCGCTGGCAACTTTAACCGCTCTCGCTCTCGTGACCCCGCTGGCAATGCTGGCAATTTTGACCGCTCCCGCTCTCGTGACCCCGCTGCCCACCCCGTCCATTCCACGGGAAGAGGTGGTGCTGGGAATATCAAGTCAGGCGCGGGATTGGAGACGGACTCCATCGACGAAACAGAACGAAGAAAGCACGGACACCATCCTGAGGGATAGTTCGTTATTTTCTTGTACGATCACAGACCTCAAGCTAACTAACCCGCTTCTTAGTCACTCGACTGGCCGTGGAGGAGCAGCCAATTTGACTGCGACCTCCGAACCAGCCGTCGAACACCACCAGCACCACGCCCATGGCTTCGAATCTACGGGACGAGGTGGAGCAGGCAATATTGTCCACGATTAAGCCTCTCTTTCAAGACTCACAAGGAAACAAATCGGATATGTATCATTGCGGAAATTTCGCAGATCATTTATTTTTTTACTGCCATTTGGCGTCTTTCCCTCCAATGAAACTATCCTCCCCCCCTATACTGGACAATATGTGTTTGTAACTTGTAGTGAACGTTTGACTGTCTATCCGGATGTTACTTTGTACATTACTGTCACTATTAACGAACGTGCTCTCGGCCTTTTGTGACCGAGATGGATTTATTCCGGAGCGGTCCCAATAAGGAACAGGCTTCCGACATCACAACCAGTGTAGCGTCTAAACACAATTGTGCTACGGAGTGCACCACACTAGACCACGCCGACTGACCAGTACTAAACCCCACCCCGACCAGCATGGCAGGGTCCACGCGTACGGCAACCTAGAGTGTGCAGTGGCAGGTCCCAGAACCGGCGACGAAAACTCACCTCGACCCAGGATGATGAGCTCGACTAAGCTCGACCGGCTCATCTGCAGCAGATATAGCACACTACAGACTCAGGACTCAGAGCAAACATATGCAGCGCAACACGAGGAGAGAGCCAGGAGGCCTCGTCCTCAACTATAAGACCCAGAACATGACGTAATGGCAGATCGTCATAACTTAAAAGCATCATAGGTCTCATCAACAGTCAACGTCTCATTCCACCACATCATGGAGAAATTCAGAGCGAATTTTGCAGCCAGCAGACATGTAAACCCTCCTGGCGCTGAACCCAGGCTTAGCGAGGAGCAAGTTTGGAAAGGGCTGGAGTTGAAAGCTCGACAACCAGAAAACTTCGTCGCTGTGATCTCTTCATGCGATGTTCTAAGTGACACTGGAACCAAGGTACGCACAAAAATTCCAGGGCACTTAGATTTCACCCAATTTAGAGCTACCCACTCAGGTGACCAGGGAAGTTTATTTTGGTAACAATCCACCGATGAAAGAAGAAGTCGAACTTCATCATGGCACCATCGTACGCAATTCTCGTCCTTGTCGATATCCTACGCTGACTGAGAGACCCTAATAAGGCCTATTTCGATGCTGAGGCTGCCGGCATTCGCATCACGAATGTCCTGTCTTATGACGCAAACAATGAACTGGTCCTTACATTCTCCTATGCTGGAGGTATTCCAGGGTTCACCCCCGTAGGCGAACTTCACCCATCCCCGCATGAGCTTAACAGGGCTGTCGGGGTTGGTGTCGACCTTACGATTGAGAGGATCAGAGAGCTGGTCAAGGAAGGTGAACTTGTCGTTTGAAATGCCAGAGTATTTTTGGAAAATGTAAATAATTTGTGACGACCCTTGTAATATAATTATTGAGTTTGAAATTCAATTGAAATCGCTTCACGCGGCAAGATACGCGACGTTCACCTCTGGTTCGCCTTGGGTTCGCCGACAACTTTCTTATCTTCCTACAATATACGCCCTTGACGTTGCCCGTACGTAGGATTTCGACAATACTATCAAGCTCACCGTGACTTTGCAGGCTGGAATGTCCAGACAGTCCCAAGACGTAGATCCTTGGCAGAATAGGTCCCGACCAAGGGCGAACACAACATCATTTACCGTACCATTTGCATGGCGTCGGCAACGAACTGAGCATCCGGTACCCCCTGTCCCTCAGCAGCCTCTTCCGTTAGAAGCCCTCATTGAAGCTTTAACTCCTCCAGCTGTCCCTAGTCTGGCTCACGCTCGCATGCTGGCAAGCACGCTATCTACCGCCTCCCCTCTGCCTCGTAGGGAGGTCTTCAACCCTATTTTGACCTGGCTCTGTGACGTTCAAAAACCTGTGGCTATTCAGGCTGCTGGATACGACATTTTATCGGCTTATTGCGAGAATAACGAAGCCTTACCTCTGACCACCAATGAGAGGCTTTTTTACTTTTCCCTCTTCCCTGAATTGGGTCTCGCATGGGGAATGGAGTTGTGGGAACCGAGATTTAAAGCGTTGAGGGCGGTCACCAAGTATGGAGAGGACGTTTGGGGAATAGAAACTAATCTGATTGACACCCTTAAACGTTGGATAAAAGGTGCCTTCGATGGTCTTCTGCAAAATGACTCCGCGATAGAACGAACGGAGAGGGCGGAACGGGAACGAAGCATTGATGTACTCGTTCAATTTCTTGCAGATATTCTGCAAAAGCCGGAAAATATTTCGAGGATTCCCGAAGATGTAGCGGCTGATGTTCTTCAGTTCTATGCGGACCTGGTGAACCGATCAGTCATTTTGCCGTTGGGGCCCACAGCCCAGGACAGGATTTTGGCTCCGGCAGTTGTGCCAAACCCACCTTCCAACAACAATACACCCTCCAAGACACTTCACAAAAGGAACACCTCGTCCCTTTCTATTTCGTCGATACCCTCCGCACACTCCGCCCCTAAGCCTCCGCCATTAAAACATCCTGGAGAACTTGCGATCTCCCTTTATTTATCTTACCTCTCCTCTCAGCTCAAAAGTTTGTCGCCGGAATACTTACAGGATATACACCCTGTTCTTTTTCGGGCATTGGCATTTTCGGCCTCTCCGCTTCCTCGTCTCACCGTTCTCCCACGTCCTCACAAAGAATCCTCTCGGGAGGAGGAAAAAATCACCGAAATACTGAACGCTCTGCTGGCTGGGCCGTACACTACAATTTGCATGCGTATTCTTAAGAGGCATCTTTTTCCGCCCAACGCATCCGAGATTATTAATGAACCATTCCCCCGACGGTCACCTGAAGGGTTGTCTGAAGGTGCTTGCCAGCAGCTGGACATTATGACCTCGCTTGGAGCGCATCGAATGTTGAGGAATTTTATTAGACGTGCATTATCGACGCGTCTCGCAAGGGCTTATATCCAACGGGAATCGTCTATCAGTTATTCACATACTGGTGCGCCTGGCCACATCGAACTGGAGCCGGACCTGATGGAAAGAGCGTGGCCCAAGGACGACTATGCCTCATCAGCAGGCGGTAATGGCTGGGATGCGGGCCGCTTGGGTAAGGTTTTGGCTTCTAGTGTTCACGCCTGGGTGGCTTGGGGCTCGGATATATTACGTTCTCGTGGAGAAGAAGACAGGTACCAGTCCTGGGAGAAACAAAGAGAGGGTCAAGACACAATTTTAGAGGAAGCAGCCGGAGTCTTAAAAGATATCCTCCAAGAGATGGATTCTAGGGAAGACGATGTTATGGGTTTAGACGAAGAGGAAGCCATAGTAGTGGGTGAAACCCTTCAAAATCTCGCGGGCTATGTGCTTCTTTTGAAGTGAGCTTTACCTCTGTGACAGAGCTCCGTTTCCTAACATAACCTTTCAGAAATCCTGACGGATCTCCCTACATAGTACCCATTGCAAACCCAAGCGATGCTCCCACGCCCCTCCTTCGGACGATTACGTCGCTGCTGGCAAGGGATCACTCGAGAGCCCTCATTCCTCTGTTGTCCAATATTTTAGTTCATATCGCTAATAATCTCACGGATGCGGATACCGCCCGTCTGCCAGCTCTTATGATGGAACAACAAGATCTCTCGCCAACATCTCCAGAGTGGCTTGATAATTGGAAAAGGTTACTCTGTGACTCAAACTTGGTCACGGCAGACCGGCCTGCCACAAGACGAGCGGTGATAGATATGTTATACTCGGTATACGACAACGTCAGGGACATGAAATCTTACCGACGGCCCCTTGCTGACCTGGTTTTTACTTTCTGCTCCTCATTGCCTCCCTCGGATGACGGATCTGAAGGGGATGCCACTTGGAAGATTTTAGGGGATGAGATTGTGTTGAGGACCGTTGAGCAAGACACCGAAGAGGTTCCAAAATATATCGATCTATTGGTTTCTGTTGCATCTGCGAATACCGACGATGATGACAATGATGTTGCTGAGGATGCTTCGGTGCACACGGCTGAACAATCCACATCTCCACCCATTTCGAGCGCTTCGTCTTCTACTATCATTTCCCCAATTTTTTCTAGGATGCAGAGCGATTTCCAGGGCGTACCGAAGGAGAAGGAGCCAGGCTTCATGTCCATGTTATCATCCTTGACCACAGGAGGGAGCACATCCCGTTCGCAATCAATTCACCCCAGTGTTCCTGATGACCCCACTGAACACTCAAAAAGTCGTCCTCGACCAGAGTGTCCTTCAATCCCTCGGGTTGTCTGTGCCGTTTCGGCTTTCATAGAGGCTTTTAGCCAGCTCACATTTACGCCTTTTTCTTTGAAGCAAGAAAACCTCCGCGTTTCTCTTAGAATCTTTGAGATTCTTGTCAAACTTCTATCAGAAGGAAAATCTACGCCTGCCAGGTTGACGGTTCTGCAGTTTTTAATGCGCTTACGAGTAGATCGTGATCACCGACTTTACTTTATGGACTCGGGATACGATTCAAACACTCTTCTCGTTTCCCTCTGTTCGCTGGTCAATCGCGTGCGCGACCGTAGTACAAGACCTATAATCACGTCGGAAGATGTTTCAGAGGTTCGTAAGGCTCGTCCGCGCGTTCCACACGAGAGGGACGGGCGGCAGCCGTCAAAAGGCAAAGCTGCCGCGCCTTCCCACTCAAAAGCCAGTCGAAGTCGCTCCCGAGCAACAGTTCCCCCGCTTGCCACACCCACACCCAAACTTCCTGATCCTATTTGGCACATCCCCGAAACACTCCCTTTTAAAGTTGTAGGGCCTGATGCTCCGAGTGAAGGGTTGATATCTTACGATCCTGAAGGGATTGGTCTAAGATTAGTCCTCCCAATCTCCATTTATCTCCAAGCGTTGACGTCAATTCTGGAGAAAGAACAGAGTTGGGAAGTCTTGTCTTACATCCTCTGCAATCTTCCCGTTCAGCTAGCAAACACACATATTTTCTGTGGTCCTAATTGCCGGGCCGCCATATCTAAATTGCAATCTGTTTTATGTGCCAAAATCCTTGACGAAGACCTTGGCTCTCGAGTTAAAGGGTCGACCACAGTCTTGAAAAGGGATGCACAAGGACTGGCACACCACATACTGTCTGTCTTAGTAAGCTATCGCCGATGTTTCGATAAGAAGCAACAGCATCTGCTTGTCGAAACCTTTTATACAGGTCTCAATGGCCAGCTCTCGACCATCAAGTGTTGTTTGCATGCACTTTCATTGTCAGCTTTCGAGTTGCCCCCATCGATGACGAAGTTCCTATCCAGGATTCTTGAAAAACTCTCTCAAATTATGTCCAACCCGGAAATGGCGGTTCACATTCTAGGATTTCTTTCCATCATCGGCTCTTTACCCTCTCTCTATGCTAACTTCACTGAGGCTGACTTCAAGATGGTCTTTGGTGTGGCTCTTCAATATCTGCAGCATTACAACCGACTCCACGCATCTCCGACGATGTCATGGGCGTTATCCCAACATGTAAGAATACTTTCGTATTCAGTCGTCTATGCCTGGTTTTTGGCTGTCAAAATTCCAGATCGCCCTCGTCATGTAGCATATATCACCCGACAGTTACTCCTGGCGAACGAAGGAAATACACAAGTCGACGGCCCCACTGAGGTTTGCTTCGATTGGCTTGCGCGTTACACATATGCAAGTGCCGATCCACGTCCTGCAACCTCATCATTCAGTGACCTCATCATGGACCCCTCTGGCACGCAGTCAGAGATGGCTGAAAAAACTTGGATTATGGGCAATTCAGTTGTGACTGTGCGGGCTATTGCCCATTCCGGTTGGGTTGAGGTCATGTCCAGAAGGCCGTCCGGTTATTCTAGGTTCATTTGCAGAGTGGAAAACGTACCTATGGTCGGAGCTGGAGATGTGGCGCCTGATTTACTGTCAATCCCAGCTGGTTTGGTGATGGAAAGAGAAACCGGCACTTCACAGGTATGTACTTGAGCTATCCCTATGACACTGTCATCTCACGATTGTGTAGGATGATATTCGTCAGTTCCTCACAGTTGAGCAGGACGAAGCTGATGTCAAACCACCGGATTCTATCACTGGCTATGTGTGGAGTGGCACAGCTCCGTCTCAGAGGCGGAAACAAGTTACCGTTGATCCATCATACCTTATTCTCCAACTCTCGCCCTTTCCTGATGGCTCACTTAAGACTCACCTCAAAAGAGTGACGGATACTTCGTCGCTCAAAAAATTCCTCGCTGGTCTCGATAGGATGCCTGTCATTGACACACACAAGGTGGGTATCATGTATGTCGGCCCTGGTCAACGTGACGAGGTTGATATCCTTCGCAACTCCCATGGTTCGCCGGCATACACTCGCTTTCTTGAAGGAATCGGGCGTTTGATCAATCTACGTGGCCAAGTGGACGTGTATGCAGGGGGCCTTGACCCCGAAGAAGATGGCGAATATGCCTATGCCTGGTGGGACGACATCGGGCAGATATTGTACCACACAGCAACTTTAATGCCCAATAACCCTGCCGACCCGCAATCTAACAATAAAAAACGCCACATTGGAAACGATTACGTTCGAATTGTCTGGAACGACTCGGGGATACCCTACCGATTCGACACCTTAACGACGCAGTTCCAGTTCGTAAACATCGTCGTGGACCCTCATTCTCTTGGTGCTATTGCTGCCTTTTCCAACAATCTCCACGAGACCGAATATTTCAAGGTCACTGTCCAGTCGGCGCCAGGCATGCCCGAGTTTGCTCCCCTTGGACATTTTAAGCTTATATCTGCGGAAAACCTCCCCCTTCTCGTTCGGCAGCTCAGTCTGCTGGCCGATTGGTTCGCATCTGTCTTCGCAGACACCCAACACGATACCATCCGTGTCGAGATGAAAACTAACTGGCATAATCGCTTAGATGCAATCATTCGCTTTAAAAATAATATGCCCAAGGAAGAACCAGGTGAATGTGTTGAAGGAATAATGGGACAGGAAGCTTTTCGAGACTTCACCACATCAATGTAACTATAACTGGGACAATTCTGTATCACTTAGTCGGAGCGTTATATCTAGCAACTGTATTACTGTCACATATTTCTTGTATTCCCTTCATATGGCACACAGATGGGAAGGATATAAGCTACTAGTAGCTGTTGAATCAAGTGAGATCGATGATATCCTCTACGATAGATTTCGCTTTTTCTCTAGCTACAGAGGTTGTTGGCACTTTCGGCAATCTGGCCTTGGCGGCAGCTTTGGCTCTAGCAGCCATCAAAGGGGGGAGGTTTCTTGTGGGCATAATCTGAAAGGGCGGTGGCTCGCAATCAGAATCACTTGAAAGCTCAATGACTTCATTTGAGAGGACATGGGCCACGGAGTTTATTGGTGTAGGCGATGGTGGTCGTGCAGCCCTTCGTCCATGACTACCATACTTGGAGCTCGGAGAACTATGTGCGCTCGACTTTCGTGGTGATTTTGTTATCCTTTGCGTTGGGGAGTCGGAATCTGAATCCGACGCTAGGCATTTCTTAGATTTTCTTGGTGAAAAAGTAGATAGATCCTGAAGATCGCCAATACAACGAGTCCCTCGGGAATGGAGTGGAATAGAATTGCTAGAAGACTCGGAGATATTGTCAAGATCGAGGAACGCCACGGGAAAGGGGGCAGGTTTGGAAGACTTGAATGTTTGTCGCTCCCCGTCAATTGTAGATGGTGGGGAGGGCTCAGCGAATAGGTCCTTTATTTTCTTCGACGGAGCATGTAGGGTGGCTCGCTTTGTAGTCGGGAAAAAAGTTTTCATATCGGTTACTGCAGATTTTTTCCCTTGGGTAAGGTCGCGTGGAATGGGTTTTGACTGAATAGATGATTGAGGGGGAGCTGATCCAGTCTGATCAAAAGCGATGGCATTCTTCACTTTAACCTTCTTGACTTTTGTCTTTGGGGGGGCTGTTTGTGCTACGCTGGCTGGGAGTTCGTCCTCAGAGGAACTTGAAGTAGAGGCTGGGTAGTTATGATCACTCTTGGAGGCTTTATTGGCGGACTTCGCCTTGGTGGGTTTCTTGGAAGGTTGCCGATCAGCATCGATGTCTGTCGCTTTTGCCTTCCCCCGAGCACGCGAGACCGTCCCGGCAGCCTTGCCAGCTTTCTTAGTTTTCTTCTTCTCCACCTTCTCCTCGAATTCTCTGACCAGATGTGGCTCCGCCACCTTTACCATGCAGGCTGGCATCCAGACGCGCAAATGGGTTTCTGGGTCTATAGGCGGCTTTGGTACGCGTTTGGAAGAACTTGACCCTTCCTCGTTATCTTCGTCTGAGGCCCATTCATCTAAACCCTCTGGAATACGTGTTCCTTTGATTCCTGACTCTGCAATTTCTACAAGCTGCCGAGGTGCGATCTCGAGACGATATTCGAGAACACCATCAGTAGACGCATGCATCCTTGAGGAGTGAATTTGAATAATCAGAGTTTCCTCCTCATTTTTCTCGTCGTCAGAATCCGAACCAATATCTAGAGACGAGAAGTGTTTCGCAATCATCTTTGAGGGAGTGCCGCTCTCTAAGCGCTCTCCTCCTTTCCTCGGTGTAGCGGGCATACTTTTTGCACTTTTGGCCTCTTCTATGTTCAGCACCGCGCGGCGCAGGATACGCAGGACAGCAGAATGCCAAATCACCGTTCTGAAGCGCTTGATGATGGCTTCCCTGTATCCCCACTCAAAGTAAAACTCACATGTTGCCGCCAGTTTCGCTAGATCAGGCTCTTTCGTCCACCTGAGCTCCGGTGGTGTTTTCCCCATGCTCTCGGAGGTGATGGGGTTCACATAGGAAAGCAGAATGTCAACATCAGGAAAATCCTCCGGAATAGAGTTCGCCAAAGTGGGTGATTTCCGGCCAATAAAACCTCGCGAATTGGTGCGCAGCTCATGGCGAAGTTCATTCCTCCAGTTATCAAGGAAGGCAGGCAATCTCTCGCGCGATAGATTTTTGGCAGCGGTATACAACGTATCTCCAAAACCACAGCGAGCTAGCCCATGTGCAGTTTTCGTACCACAGCGAGAAAGACCACCTTGCTGATAGTCCCCTCCACTCATCAATCCAATAAGAATCATGCCTCCACGAGTAAGGAGCACATCCGGATTCTGATTTATATCAGCTAAACGGTAGACACGAGTGTGATTCTTGTCGTCTTTGCCAGCAGAGTTGAGGGAGGGATTGGACTTATTGCCGGAGAGGCTATTACTTGGGCTAAACCAACGAGGTTACTGACGATAATGGATTTTTCGAAACCGCTGCACGCACTTGCGAATGACAGTTTTGGCCCCAAAGAGAAAATTGTCGACATCATCCGACAATATTCCATCAATAACACCTATATGATTGAGATACGCCAATTCTGCCTCGGCTTCTCCGGGAGCCTATTCAGTGGTATGAGCGGCACTCAAGAAACAAATGAGGTTCCCTCACCGTTATGCATTCAAAACCAAAGGCATCCACAATTTGTTTCATTCCGGGTATTAATTTATGGCTGGTTTTATTGATTTTCTTGCCGCGTTTCACATCCGGTCTCTTCGGTCCATCAAAGACAAAGAGGGGCAAAAAGGGGGAATGCATGAGTGTTGCACATCTGAAGAAAAGTGTGCGGAGGACAGGATTTTCGCCCTCGCGGCCATACTCTGCATGGAAAAACCAGATGCTTGCGTCAATGCCAATGCGGTACCCACGTACACCATGGGGATTGGCCTCGAATCCTTCTGTGACAGAAAGTTCCGTTAAAGAGCGTGTCGTTGCAGCGGGGCGTAGGATCTACAAAGAGTGGTGAGCAGCGTCCCTGGGAAATAATAGACTGCGCACATCCCAAAGTCCAGCGACGCCCATCTTAGGATGTATTCAAGTTACAAGCTTTGAGTTCGGAACGGAATAATTGAACAATGAAGCCACGTGACTGACGCGTAGATGTCACAACGCAGTGCGCGTGACAGTTCGACGCGTCAATTGAATTTTTCAATGAATTTTTGATAACCCTCCAGATAGTTTTTCTTTCCTGCTGTCCACAATCCGTTCATCGCAATATTCAAGAAAATAACAACGTGTTTTTGACATAGTACAAGTAGTATTTGAGTGTTACTAAGTATTCTCTTGCCGGTAAATTGAACGTGACTACTAAACTAAGTCACGAAATTCAAGAGATTCGATCGTCGACGGCATCCGCACAATCTAATCTACTGCTTGCACCATCCGTCGCTATTTGTGATGTAATCAATTGTGCCGTCAGGTTGAGTTTGCCCGCCCATGTTATCCGCGTCGGCGCTAGTGTGGCAACTCGTGAACAGCGAACAGGTAAGTTGTGTGCTGCCGCCCTGCAACGTATAACAATATGGTCAGTATGTAAAATGTGAAGATCAGAAATTCGCAACTTTGCCGTTAACGTCATGATACGCTTGATGAAAGATCAATCGTCAGTCATGATCAACAACAGAAGACGAGCCAGGAAAACTCACTGTTGACGAATTTGCATCCAGTAACGCTGTTACACATGGCTTTGCACTCTGAAAGCGACGGGTGAGAACGTAAAAGAAGTTATACAAGAGGATATTTACCAGGAATAGTGTCGACCAAGCCGTAGGTCATGTAGTCCGACGCCTGGGTTGCGCCAGTCAGGTTGCTGAAAGTCTGTGTATAGCCGTCTGAAGTTGTCGTGGGCGGCGCAGACGGGCAGTGCAAGCAGTCTGGGAACAGCTCAAGAATGGAGCAGATGATCTATCCAAAATTATAGTTGATAAAATCAAAGCAGGGAAGGGTTAAGCTCACTCCACTAAGGCAGGGAAGAGTTTTGAACTTGGACGGGCTACTCCCAAAGTACCAGCCAGGCGTAGCCCCAGCTACCCAAGGAGCTTTGGGCGCACCGTACTTGTTGCCGGACGAAACATCGATGCCCCCAAGAAGTGATGGAAGACTGATAGCAGAGAAGTCGAGCGCGGAGGCTGAGACTGCGGAAACTGTGGCCACAGCGAGAAGGACGGTGAAGCGCATGATGTATTCCTTGTGTCAGACGATGAACGACGTTTGTGACTATGTTAAAGGTGAGGCTTCGAACTGGGGCTTGGTGAGACTCCACCCCCCTTTTATACACTTCCTCGACATCAAAGGTGGGAAAAGACCACTAGACTGGTTCCAACTTTGTCCCTGGCCATTGCCAACTGACATTTCGGGCTGGTACCTGTCTGTCATCCCGGAGTTCACGCCTCGGAAAAACTTGAGAATTAATCAAATTGATGCCAAAGTCCTCTGTTCGAGGGAACACGCACTGTAATAATGAATGGATGTTGTATTAGAATCAGAGAGTTGGCAATGGTTGTGTGCGCACCTCTTGCATATCCCACAAGCTCAGGCGAGGACAATTCTGTTTAGAGAGAGACGAGCTCCATCTGTGATGACATGCACTGGCGCAAACAATGTCAAAAAGGATGGCCTGCTGCCACATCAGGAAGTTCAGTATCCTGCTGTTTCCTGAATCCAAAAAAAAAATTCCCGCTCAAAGCCCACTCGATCATCATTCGGGTAAGAACTTCGCCGACGTTGCGGAAGCATCCCAAAAGCAGCTACGAGAAATTTGCCGACAAGGTGAGAAGAAAGGGTCAGGTGAGTGCTCGATGGGGGGGAAGGGTGTTGAGAAGGTTCTGTCGTGCCCAAGTCGTGCCATCACAGGGATTCCTAGTACCTACTGTTTGTAAATACAACTCGGTCTCGATCAAACCAGACTCACAGACAACGGGAAAAAGGTGGAAATTGCCAGATATACGGTTGTGGCTGGGGTAAGGCCGGTTTTGGAGCTTGATCGAGCGGTCTCGACTGACGCGCGGGTTCTTGTCACCGCTCCCTTTAGTATCAAAATATTGATGATGGCGTGCCCTACTTGATCCTTCTCAATCGCCCGTTTTCGGTGTGAACGTTGGTCGAAGAACTGTACGCGCCCGAAATATCAGGAATAAAAGCCTTCTGGATTTCCACCCCGTGGTGGATTGGTACACAATCACCTCAGGAACGACTCTTAAATATAAATGCTGGTGTGATGGTGTGCTCTGCATGTTTTTTTTTTTTTTTTTTTTTAATGTCAAATTTATAGTCTATTGGGGCGAGGCCCCATGTCAGACTTTACAACTTTGTAGACTACCTAAGGCCCCTAATGCCTTATACCTGACCCCCGTTGACTGTCCCCTGCACTGGTGAAGGCACGCCCAAGGCGTTCATTCCCCCACACAGCCCGGCACAGAAACGCCGTTTGGGAACACGTCTGTATGGTGAGCGGGGTAGTCTCGTGTCCCTCTGCTTATCTGATGCAGTCTGTATGTGATGCGTTTCTTCTTCCAAGTACCCGATCGCAAAGCGAAGGGTACAGCTAATACGGGACGAGCGCGTTCAGGTGAATGAAAAAAAAATTGTTGGTGTTTTGTTGCTGTTTGCTTGAGTGACTGTTCGACGTGGTCGGTCTGGCTGAGTGTGATTAGTGCTTGAAGTCCGCAAGCTGAAATGCGGGTAAAAGATAGAGTGGGGTTTTTGAGGGCGAACCCGCCGACAGAACGTCGGCTAATCTGTCCATGCTTCGTTTCTCGGTGTTATAAGTCTGCTAAAAGGAAGTGCTATCTTTCAAACTTCCTCGGATTCTAATTGAGAGACGTCACCTATAGAGTCTCCAAGCGACTTCTTGAACCGCTTCGTTCTCCCCACAAACTTGAGCAGTTCCTTTATCCTTTTCATACTCTCCAGTATCCCCTTGAGGTCCCTCGAGTAGCGGCCCAGGGCTCTATCCATATCGAAGCGCTCTGCCGCGTAAGTTTGACACTCGAATAGGAAGTGTATCACCGTCTCCGTGATCTCCATCCTCCTCGTGCTCCAACACGTGTCGCATCTCCTGGTCCTCGACTTTTTGATGTTGTATAGGTAGCTGTTCAGTGGTATGTGTCCTGTACGTAGCTGCATCAATAGACTCGCTTGTGGCCTTGACAGTTCGTTGCTGATTTTCCGGAACTTGTTGAATGGGAAGTTTGCGTCGATATGCTGAAATTTTGCGTAGCGTGGTGAGTCCCTCCACGTTTCCGTCCACCTTGCCTTCAGCTTCTCCGCGAATTCCTGCTTGACCGCTGAGGCGCTGTATGGCAGCCGTCTTCGTAGTATTGGCGGTAGCTCCTCCCGCGGGCTTGAGTCCCCCTGTGCCGCCTTCTTTGCTTCTTCGTCCACCCTCTCGTTTCCTACTACCCCCTCATGTGCCGCTACCCACTTGAGTGCGAATTTGGCCGTGCCTGGCCTGATAGGGATGTCAGTTCCGTCGGTCATTACCTCAGTCAGCCGCAGGTACTCCATTACAAGGTATTGCCCTGGCTTCGTCTTTCTCGCGCCCGTTGACCTAATGAATGCCTGGCTGTCAGTATAGCTGGTAACCGTTGCCTTCCCCACTTCAGGCCGTCCCTGTAGCATCCAGGCCGCCAATATGGACCCCACTGCCTCGCCTTCATACGTGGTGTGCCTCGTCAACGGTCCTAGATGAAATCGAAGCGTTTCCTCTGGCTCTTCCACCCCTTTCCTGTATAACACCGCAGCTGCGCCAACGTTTCCTTCATAGCCCGACCCATCTGTATATATCCTTATGTCTGCCTCGTCTTTTCCTTCCTCCTTAATAGAGTCCTCCTTTGTTTCCGCGATCTTGGTTGAGAAGACCCTCTTGTAAGTCGGTGGCCTTGGGTCCGGCATAACTGTCTCGAACCGTCTTGGTCTGATCTTGAAGCACTCGACCAGCTTCTGAAGGGGGGCGAGGTGTGTTCTTGCCGGCTTCTTGCTGTATCCTCGTATCATGTCCCGTGTCGGATGGCCATCTGGTAAAGTCGCCGCTCGTACCGTTGCCGCGTGACATATCCTTTCAAGCATTAAGTTGACTGGCAATACCCCGGCATGTGCGTCCAACAGGTCGGTTGGTGAGGTCCAAAGACCCCCTGTGATCGCCTTTGTAGCTATCCTCTGTATCTTACCCATGGACTTCAACGCCCGTACTGACCCGCTGTTTTTCCGCATGCCCTCCTTCTTGTGCGGAGGCACATACCAAACATCGAGCGCGTATGTCATCTTCGGGACGGCCACCGAAACGTACAGTAGCCGCATAAGCCTGGGCCTGATACCTAAACTTGTGCGCGTTAGCCTGCGAAACATAAGGATGTAAGAGGTCGCCTTCGCAATCGCTTCGTTCTCCTGTGTTCTCCACCTCAATTGGCTGTCGACATGTACCCCCAGGTACTTGTAGCTCTCCACTTCCTTCACCACACTCCCCTCTAGCCAGAGTACTGGGTTTGGTCGATCGCCTTCCTTCCTCGCCGTTGGCTGGCAGTGCATAACGGCCACCTTGCTCAGCTCAAACTTCGAATTGTGATCCTTCGCCCATTCGAAACCTCCCTCCCGTCGTTCCATGTAACTCTTGAGTGCCCGCGTTGTCTGTTTGAATGTTTTCGCCGTTGCAATAACAAGAGCGTCGTCCACGTATCCAATAGCATCTTCCTCCAGTCTTTGTAGGGCTTCTAGTAGGTCCGCATTGTAGAGTATGTACAGCAACATCGATATGGGGTCTCCTTGTCCGATCCCGTTTTCGATGTCGATGAGTTCTGATATAAAATCGTCGAACTTTAGCCTTGTCTTCCTCCCCTGTAAGAGCCGCTCGATGAACTTGACGTAGGTCGTTGGGATTCGCCTTTTCTTCAGATTGTGGATTAGCCTGTCAGTAACCGCATTGGGGAAGGCCCCCTCGACGTCCAGAAAGAGCACCGAGGTGACCTTCCTCTTACCCCAAGCTGCCTTGATCTTGCCCACAAGGTAGTGTATGGCGTCCGTCGTGGTACGACCTGGTCGTCCTCCGAAGTGCGTGTCCGGCAGTAGGAACTCCTTCTCCACAAGGTGGCTTATGTTCTCCGCTACTATAGCTGTCAGTACCTTCGGTATCGTGCATAACAGGGCTATTGGACGATAGGCCTTTGGCACTTCGTAGTTCGGTTTACCTGGCTTCCTCAAGACCGCCGTTGTGAACTCCTGCCATCCTGAATAGTAAGTCCTCAGCGTGAAGACGCCTCTGAAGAGATATACTAGATACTCCGAGATGTGTCCGAAACACTTCTGGAGTACCACATTTGGGATTTCGTCTGGACCGCTTGCCTTGAACGGAGAGAGCCGCTTTATCTGACGTTCCACTTGTTCCAGTGTGATAGGGGGTGGTGGTGGGAGTGGCTCCAGGTAATCGTAGTTCTCTGGGACTCTGGACTGGTCAGGTTTCTTGGGAAAGAAAGCTTGCGCGAGGATTTCTGCCTTGCCATCGTTTGTGTTGATTTCCCGTAGTGGTCCACCTGCGCCTTCACTTGGGACCTTGAGCGTCGGTATCCTTGATTTGCCCCCATCGCCTGTTGGTTCCTTGAAATAGTGGTTCGCCGTCCAGAGGTCCTGCTCCGCCGCGTTCTCCAGAAATTCCTCCCAATGTTCACGTTTGGCTTCTACTATCGCCTCGCCGTACATATTCCTGGCCTTCCGTAGCTCTGTGTGCGACGCGTGATCTGGAAGGGTCCTGAATCTGTATGCGAGACGACTTAGCTTCTTTATCTCAGTCTTCTGACGGCTAAGATCATTGTTCCACCATCTTTTCGAGAACGGGCACGGCTTGTTTTCCGGGATTCTAGTGCGTATCGTGTCCTGTAGCACCGCTGTTAGGTCTTCAGCTGCCTCCCGGAATTGCTGCTCCGTTGTGATTGGCTGAGGTGGTGGGATTTCAAGGAGCCGTATTGCCAGGTTCTCTTGGAAGTCCTCCCAGTCCGCCGCTCTGAAGTTGTAGGACGTCCGTTGTACTGATCGCGCCTGCGGCAAGTCGATGTAGGTAGCTATGGGGAAATGGTCAGTGGCCGGCGGCCTTAACGAGGGATCGACCTCGCATCTGATAATCAGATCGAAAACTTCCTCTGTGCACCACACGTTGTCTGGACGTGAGTACCTCTTCGTTACCATGTGCTCTAGGGTGGGTTGACCTTTCGGTAAGGCCATCTTCAGGTTGTGGTCGGCTAAGATTTCGATTAGTCAACCCGCGTCTTCCAATGCCTTCGCCGTGAACAGCCTGTCATCCCCTTCCTCGTCCCACATCGGATGGTGCCTGTTGAAGTCTCCTGCCCAAATCAGGTGGTCGTCCTCCCTCGCCAGAACATCCGCCCGGTTTACGCGTAAGAACTCGCGGACGGAGCGTAATGTTCTGGAATGTGTGCAGTCATTGTAGATATTGATGATCGTCAACCGTCCATAGGCGCCTGTCATCTGTATAACTGTAACATCGTTAGTTCCAGGGACGTTCATGATCTTCCACGAGCTTGTTGCCAGTGCCGAGCTAACCCAGGTGACCGCTCTTGTTACCGGAGCGCCATCCTTGTATCTGTCTGCTGGCACCACTGACACAAATCCGTTCGGCGTCCTTATGTTTCCTGTGAAGGTTACATGCGGCTCCTGCACCAGAACAATGTCCCACTCCTTCCCTGATACTCTGTTATACAATTCCAAGTGCGCCTTTTGAGACTTGTTCAAGTTTACTTGTAAGATCCGTAGTCTCGTCGTCCGTTGTTCTGGTTGTTCAGACATGGGCAATATCTGTGGGGGAGGAGCTATCAGGGGGCGGCGAGCCGTTGCTCGACGCCAAAGGGGCTATCGGGGATTCTGGGTTGGGGAAATTTGGAGGAGGGGACTTAGCTGCTGGCGGCTTCGACCGTTGTCGCTTCCACGGTTCCCTGGTGTAAGGTCTTCCACCTGGGGCCGCTGGGTCGAAGTTGAGCTGCGTTTGTCTGTATCTATTTTTCTGTGAGCCTGCCTGGGCGTAGTTTACCTGTATCTCCGCTGGTGGGACTCGTCGGCCTTGCGACGGGTAGGATTGAGACCATGTCCATGTCTCTCTTGCCGGGAAGAAGGGGATGTCGTTTGCTGGGTCCCTTGCGTTGAGTTCGTCGACCTTCCTGAGGAAAGTCGGGCATCCGCGGTCCCAGCTGGTGTGGTCGTCCGTTTTGCACGACGTACAGAAAGTGACCCCTTGTTGGTTGCACTTGCTGGTCCAGTGGTCCCTTGCCCCGCAAGTACTGCATACATTTACCTCCTTTGTGACCACACACTCCGCAGCGATATGGTCCCATCCTTGGCATTTGAGGCAGCGAACAGGCTCCTTCCTGCACTTCGCTACCGAGACTCTCTTGTGGCAAATCGACAGACCGTTGACTATTGCCCTGTTTGCCGTATCCGCGTCTGAGAAGGTGATGATGACGTGGGCGAGGCGCTGGTCCGGACGCCTCCGCATCGGGGGCTTGATCCACCTAATTTTCGTCAGTACACCTGTTGGGATTCCGTTAGTTTCTTCAATCTCCTTCCTGTCCTTCTCGCTGCTGGGGTCCAGGCTCAACGGCACGTAGTAAGCAATAACGTTGTATGATCTCGTCTTGAAAGAGGCCTCTGGCTCCCCCAGCTCCCGCAGGAAGGCCTCTGCGTTCGCCTTGGAAGCCAACCACGCTGTGCCATCGTCCGTAACCATCTCCACCAGTATCCCCCCGTTTTGAAGCTTCAATGCCGACCTCATTTTGTGTTTCTGGCTCGTCGCCTTTCCCATCGCCTCCGAGAACTTGCCCACAAGAACCGTGTTGGCGCAATCTCTGAGTTTTGAGTCCCTGGGTAAGTCGATGAGGGCCTGTCGTTGTCGGATGCTCTCCTTCGCTGCCAGCCTGGGATTGGTATCTGGCGGTGCTCCAGATGCCGACCTAGTTAGCGCGTCCCTGTAAGTTGAGTTCCCGATACTTCCTGCCTGTTGCGCCGCCTTTTCCATCACCTCCACTAACTCCCCCGTTTTCTTCTCCAGCACCTCTGTTCTCTTCTCCAGCACCTCTGCCACCTTCTCCTTCAGACCCTCCGTGTATTCTTTCAGATCGCTCGCCATCTCGCCGAACTGCGTGTTGGCGATGCTTCTGATGGCCTTTGTTACTTCTTCCAGCTCGATTTCCTTCAATAGATATGCGACTGCGCGGACCGCGTTGACTGCTGGGCGTCCCATTCCCTGCATAGCCGCTATCTGGAAGAGGGCTGTCGATAGCGCGTCCAAAGTGGGCGTCGCGCCTGCTGGTACGAATGTGAGTGTCTCCTCGAGGTATATCTTTCCTTTTTCGGCGTCGCTAATCTCCTGGTCGTTCCCCTCCATCTCCGCCGATCCAGCCGCCCTCGTCCTTTTCCGTTCTTGTGGTTGTACTTCTGCTTCGACAGGTTGGGCCTGTCGAGTGATTGTCATTTTACCTTTACTTGTCAGAGTCGTCTGTGTCCTGGGTTTTGCGCCAGTCCCAGACATGATCTGGGCTCGTTTTCTATGGGTTTGAAACTAGTTTTAACGTTCTTTATGCTGTATCTAGACCGGGTGCTCGTTTTGTAGTCGATAAGTTGCCCAAAAATTTCGGGGTCCTAGTCGGGGTGCCACCTCTCTGCATGTAATGTTGCCTAGAATCCCAGATTCAAGTTCAAACCAAGTACCTTCTTGAATGTTGTCGAGATCTCGATGAATCAGGAAAATTCACCCACCCATTTCAGGTTTTGTGACCATGTCATCCAAGGCTTTGAGGCTCTCTAAATTTTGTCTCAAATCACAGCTAGCGCGTGGTAAAAGTGATCCATAATAATTATCATAACGCTAACGGCGATGGGGAAACACGAACCACCGATGCAAGGTCCTAAAGATAAAGATAACCCCAAAGCAGACCTGACCCCGGCAAATATCGTATTTACCTGATGGTTAACGTAATTAAGTATCGAAGAATAATCGGATAAGAGCTTTACCACGGGGGAATGTTGAGGCTTGAATTCTAGACGTTGCCAGGTTGTTCATGGATTTTGCTTCACGTCTTCGCCGTTGATCTCGTTCGAAGCTGCGGAATTGGATTCAAGGAAATCTTCGGCGAGGATGACTTGATCCATGAATGTCTCGTGGGCAGGGAACAACGTCGAGAGCAGCCAGTAGACTCCCGAAGCAGTGAAAAACTTGGTAAAGTGAGAAAGAGAAGATGGAGTCGATTAAAGAGGAATGTCACGCTCACCCCGAACATCCAGGCAATATTGAACAGAAACGCTGCATTGCCGACCTTGATATTGGGATTGATGTTGTTGATCAAGCCAGGTAGGTTTGGCACAACAGAGACCAGAAGCGTGACTGCAGCTCTCCAGTTCTATTTAACATTAATCCGAAGTTCCCACTGACCAAAATATCGACGCACGATTCCATTCCAATACCGGTAAATGCCCTGGGGATCATACATCGCAGGAACGTTAACATTTCCTCGATGGATAAGCCAGTACTGCAATAAAATTGGGATGTGGAAAAAAGGATTGAAGGATTGCACCCACATCAACAACCATTCTGTGCAATAATCGAGGTGGTTAGCGTGCTGATTTTGAGATCTAAGATAGCTTACATTCCGGCAAAAGGGCCCAAAAAAACCGTGTAACCAGACATAAAAGAAAGAAATTTAGGGGCTGATGCCAATATGTCCCAAGGGCAGAGCGCCCATCCACCCAAAATCGCGCAGATAACCTGGCCCCGTCGAATGTCGATAAACCGTGGAAGAAGGACTGTCATGTCATTAGCAGCGCTCAAACTATTGGCGGATATATTGGTCCCCAATGTGGCCAGAAAAAAGCTAAAGGCTGCGAAAAACGCTGCTGCCCGGTTGTCCCAGCGGTCTATGAGGCGAAGAGGGTCCCAAATAACCTCGCCATACAAAACTTGACCTGCGGAGGTGACAGCTATGCCTACCAAAAAAAAGGCGGTAAGAACTGAAAAACGTATACGTTATATTGGTTTTACCTGTAAATCCGATTAGGGTAAAGGCGATTGGGATGATGATGAGTTGGATAAATTGGCTATAATGGGGAGGTCAAAAATGCCCACGTCTCGCAAAAGAAAGTATGTTCACTTACGCGCGTTCATTCCTTGCGTAACGCTTTTAAATATGTTAGCAAAGGTTTAAAATCAGTTCATGAGAACTTACCGTAAAATCTGGAATATTAACGGAGAGAGTGGAATAGATTCCGAGTGCACTATTTAGTGCACTCAGCCACCCCCAAGCAAGTGCACTTCCACTCAAACTCGCGAGTTGCAATTCTAGATGGATCTTGGCGGGGACTTTTATAAAGGACCATATCATTATCGCCAGCCATGCAAAAGGTACGATGATGGACTTCGCGGTGAAAAGGTAGCGAATCCGCTGAGGAGAAACGAACATCAGCGGAAACTGAAATGACCAATATAAGAAGTAGCACATCAGGCCTAAAAAAGAATTGAGCTATTCTGCAGAGTAACACATAGTATAGAAGGGCTTACCGACGGTGCTAATGTTGGCTGATTCTGGTAAGCGATCCGGAATGTGCACAATTGAGGGCCAGATAGCTTTCAACATTTGATAAACGCATTCCGAGCCGGTAAACGTCTTCGTGGCAGATGTCAGCGGAGAAGTTAAGAGGAGCGGCAGCACGCACTTGAATTCCAAACCAAAACAAGGCTAAAACAACTCGACTAATCACGCTGAAGTAACTTAACCAGAACCCAAACGAGGACCGATTCAGGACAGGAAATGCGATGTGCAGACGCGCTCCAATCGTTCCGTTCAAAACCACAACAAACTTTGGAATAGACGGAGACTTTAATTCAAGTGAAAAGGACGTTCAATGACACTTACCGCTATGATAATGTGGCCAACTGCAATTGCAGAAAGTGCTTGTCGCCATGACAGCCCAACGGCCAACATGGAGCTCGCCAATTGCCATACAGCAACGTTGGTCGCATCGGAGACCCAATAAGCGATGTAGTTCCAAGTTGTCCACGTGCGGAGGTGAGGCGGAACGGGATCCATGTCTTTATTACTCCATCTTGACGAAGGCCCGAACACGCCTGAGCCTTGCGTGAGCTCTAGCTTGACTCGCATTTCCACTGAACTTAGACAGGGAGGGAAAGACAAGCCAGGCCTGCCCAAGAGGCTAACTCTTCTAGTTACGCCGCATCGGAACAACAAGACCTAGTTCGCTTCGCTTCCCCGCTTTCATCCGGCAGGGCTATTTGCGTTGTATTTGGGTCGACAAGACGTTGTGCTCGTCGCGCCATTATCAATGTGAAACTTTATCGCTGTCCGTGAATCGTGATCTAGGACGAGGTGTAAATTGGTTTCTTTAAACATGTTATGATTACTATTGAGAATGTTGTATATTTCCCCTACCATCTTACAAATAACAAAAAGTTTCCAATTTTCGTTCGGATAGTTGTTCGTAAGGTGTAGAGTGTAAAATGAAAGGAAGACCAATATTTCTTTGCAAGTGCTTGGTAATGACCTCATTCGGCAATATGTCATCGTTGAACGCGCTTAGGTTGTGCTACCTCTTGTTATGTCTTCGGATGTAGCACTTGATATACCTTCGGAGACAAAATCTCAAGGGGAAGAAACCACACAACAGGTGGAATCGGTCCAGGACGATGCCGCTGCAACGACAATCGCCAACCAAAATCCAGACGACAGGCCAACAATCAACTCCAACGACAGCAATTTAAGGATACCACCTCTAACAAACACCTCTGTAGCTTATTCTCGCCAGAGCACCGCTTTCAACAAGTTTATCTTGTACGAAAATCGACTGCGCTTCTACATCATCGCGTCAAATGCGGCGGACTCTCGCCACCGCATCCTCAAAGTCGATCGAACTACCCAGGATGAACTCGTCGTTGTGGAGGACGAAGCGGAATACAGTGGAAAGCAGATGAGCGCAATGCTCAAAATGTTGGATGACGGAAACAAGGCCTCAGGTGGATTGGGAAGGGCTAAAGTTTTCTTTGGAATTGCAGGTGATGTTCTCATCTTTTGTGATGATTTGACATGGGTCTGACTGGAGCGCGACCAGGCTTCATTCGATTTACGGCTGGCTGGTACATGATCTTAATTTCTAAACGCTCGGTTGTCGCACTGCTAGGCGGGCATTACCTCTACCACTGCGAAAACTCCGAAATTGTGCCTGTTTGCTTCAACCATAAGGTGGAAAAACCTGCTGAGGAGCAACGACTTATGAATATATTCAAGCAAGTGGACATGTCAAAAAATTTCTACTTCAGGTACCTACCCATCGATTTCTGTGTCAATAACTTCAGTCTTACAACGTTGAAGCTACACTTACGATCTTACGTCAACTCTCCAGTATAACCTGACGGGCCCCGCACGACCCGTGCATGGGAATTGGCCCTTTAATGATAGGTTCGCATGGAACTTCCATATGCTCTCCGTTGGATTCCCGGATCATGAGAACCCGCCCCTCAAAAACCACTGGCTGCTCCCCTTGATGCACGGGCACGTTGATCAAGCAAGTGTGTATTATTTTTGCTATATTTAACGCTTCTGAGTTTCGATGTACTGTTGACATTTCCCATGCATTAGAGCTCACGGTACTGGGACGTGTCATCTTTGTGACCCTTATTGCCCGGAGATCGCGCCACTTCGCTGGTGCGCGTTATCTGAAGCGCGGGGTCAACGATGAGGTTCGTGATTTTGAAAATCAACTCACGCTCACGTAACGAACTGCAGACAGGGAAACGTCGCGAATGAGGTGGAGACGGAGCAGATTGTCTCCGAGGCTTTGACAACTCCTTTCTATTACCCCGCGTCTCGAGAGGGCGGTGATCAAAGGCGTCCGAGTCCCAATTATACCAGTTATGTTCAGGTGACATATCTTCCTCCGACGACCTAAACCTTATACTTAACGGTCATCGAAGTATCGTGGCAGCATTCCAGTTTATTGGACGCAGGAAACCAATAGTATGAGCCCGAAGCCTCCTATTGAGAGTCAGTTCATTTCGCATGACCCGAATACAAGTAGGTTGATTTGCACGAACAGTCAGCGTTGTGGATCCGTTCTATACGGCTGCATCTCGACACTTCGACGACCTTTTTAGACGTTATGGTGCTCCAATCACCATTCTAAATCTGATCAAGAGGCGTGAACCTGTTCCCCGCGAATCGAAACTTCTCGATGAGTATACCCAATGTGTAAGATACCTAAACCAGTTTCTCCCCCGTGACAAGAAGATGGTATACCGAGCTTGGGACATGTCCCGCGCATACAAAGAGTGGGTCATTCCATTGGCCCGCTCGCATTGTCGTATTGATGAGTTATCAGAAAGACCCAAGACGTGATCAGCTACTTGGAAGACATCGCCGAGGAATCTATTCATATGACAGGATTCTTCCACTCTGGTCCTGAGCCATATTCACATTATCTTCAGAATGACGCAGCGTGAGTTTGGCCTCATCGTCTTCGAAAACATACCCTCAATATATGTTGAAATAACAGAACATCATGGAGAAATACGATTTCACTTCAGAATGGCGTCTGTAGAACAAACTGCGTCGATTGTCTGGATCGCACCAACGCAGCACAGTTTGTCTTTGGCAAACGAGCTCTCGGACATCAATTGTACGCCCTGGGAGTTGTTGATAGCCCCTATCTGGCGTTCGATTCCGATGCAGTCAACATGTTGACGGAAATGTATCATGATCACGGAGACAGTGAGTATGAAAAGTCACAAGTGACCATCTGCTCTTAACACTATGAAGCCATTGCCCTGCAGTATACAGGAAGTGCTCTGGTAAATCGCGTGGAAACGTACCGACGAATGCCGCATTGGAATAGCCATTCACGCGACATCATCGAGAACATTCGTCGTTTCTATACCAACTCTCTGCTTGGTGAGTCCCTTGCTACCTACCCTACGGCCTATGACTGATGACCTTTCAAATTGTAGACGCCGATAAACAAACTGCGATCAATCTTTTCCTTGGTGTGCAGACAGAAAGAACGATTACCCAACCCCCAGTACGAGGCGGATATCAGAAGTGGTTCCATGAGGAGCACCTTAAACCTGCGTACGTGGTCGGCGAATGCGATCAAGGGCTTCGAAACTTCGTCAAGACCAAGAGCGACTTTTGGGTGGAATACTATCGCCCGCTTTTATTCACCTCTTTGGGAAAGCATTTCGCATATTCTATGAACAGCACGCTCAAGCTACCTGGGTATGTGTCAAGTCAGCGGTTTGGATTCTAAGGTAAAACAATCCTCTCTAGGAAAACTGTGAAGGATATCAACCAAAGTCCGTTTGAAGCACATGGCTATCGTCATGTGGATCCCCAGGCAAGGTAATCATTGTTGTTTTCGTAGCCAGACACATCTAAAATTTATTTAGGAGTGTTGTACAGGGCGTCCGACGCTGGATGGGTTCTCACCCTCCTGTAAGCACTAAGAAGAGTCATGGCAAGGCTGCATCACGTCCTGAAACGAAGAAAACAACCCCCTATGTTCTCTTGGACAAACACTCCACCGAAGCAATTGCAATGCAGTTATTGGAGCCCAACGTCTCGGAATCCGAAGAGGCAGAATACCAGGGGTTAGCTGATTTTTATATATCTTCCTCCCGCTCTCCCGCTCACCTGCACTGCAGGTATATCGATCAATGTCAGGAGTTGTTGGATGCACCCTCGACCATGGGAGAACGCAAAGACTTGGAGATTTACATCGCGGCTGTTCGAAATGCAGGCGGGGAGGGGCTTGATTGGCCAGAAGACGCTCCCCGAGATTTGATCGCATACGTGGAGCGTGGGTCCCTCAATTACATCGACGGTAGCAAAAAAGAGCCTTTTCCAGTCACGTTCAATTATGAACGATGGTTGAGTGGAGCTGGGCAGTTGTAAAATTCCTTTTGTGTTTGCATCGGAGCTATTCATTCTATTTTGTCACGTCCTGGTAGCGATAGGAAACGTCCTACGGAGACCCACCACGCCAGAATACAGACGATTGTTAAAGTGGCGCCAAGTGCGACGTGTGTCAGGATGGGTGTCTTGAACAAAGCGAATCGTCCTTCTCTTTCCACTATCTGAATCACTCCTAAGAAATTTTCGCTTATCCGGATGAGAGTGGCAGATAGCCCAAAGACGGCCAGCAATTTCCAAGAAGGGATGGCTTGTGTCCACCGAAAACTTTGAGGCGGAGAGGACTTTGCGAAGAATTGCACGACGAAGGCGAGACAGTATATGATACGAGCAGAGAGGTTGATGACGTTGGCATAGACCAGAGAAGCATCTCCGATGTCTAAGCTATACAAAAAGATAGCAGTTGAGATATAGACCACGGAGAAGCCGATCATCCACCTGTATCGTGGTTAGCACCTTGCTTTGAAGACACAGTGGACTGACACTAACCGACTTTGCTTGTTGAGGTCTGCCGGCGTGGCTACACTTGATAAAAACGCTTCTAGGCCACCGTTGAAGGCAAGGACAGGTATATACCATACCCATGCTGCCAGCACGGTTGGGGCGCTAGTTGCAAGGTACTGTGGAGGAAGGAGTATTGGGAGGAGGATCGGTAGATATGCTGTCGCAAAGATCACGAAGATCAACGAAAACGACGTTTGGATAGTGAGTAAGGATAGAAGCGTGACAGACGACTGCTTTAAGGCTTCAGCTTTTATTCTGCCTTTATCATTGGTGACGGAGATGGTTTTCGAGAAAAACATGCGAAGGGTTTCTTCAATTGGCTGGAAGACAATGCGGGCAATGAGAGAACCTGAAGAGCCGTGGTAAGTTTTTGTTATAGATAGTTGTGTTGTCATGACTGACCGTAATTAACAGCGATGGCGTAGCCACCTTGATCTCGTAGAGGGCTATACCACGACAAAACCATTTTATCACCTTCCGTTAGGAAGTGTTTGATAACAGATTGCGACATCATCGTAAGCGCAAGTTTCAAGAGGTTTCCATCCAACAAATCGTCGCGTCTGCCATCGTCAATAGGCAAGTAGTGTTGTGAAAGGGACGAGAACATACTGATCAATTTTCGGCCACAAGCACTCGGTTCCAAAATGTGAGATGTAAGCCAGAAAAAGAGTGGTGGCGTATGCCAGTTGGCCGATGGCAAACGCCAGGAGAGCAAGATTGCCTCGTCCGCTCCTCGCATCGAGTAGCAGCACAAGAAAGGTGACGACACTCTTAATTGTGATACTAAACCCTTCTGCGCGCACCCGTACACCGGTCAACAACCGGGACATAGCTCTGATCAGCAAATTTTTAATGGGGTTTGTCTACACACGAAGGTGGTGGTAACGTACGTGTTGTGCATTGGCTCACTCAACAACTCTGTAAATGCTGCCAACGCATACAATGAAATCGCCATATAGAAATGTGGTTGCGCTTTCATTTCTTGGCTGGAAAATCGGGCGTACAAAAAAGAGGTCCCGAGCGCAAGGGGAGCTCCTAACACGATAGGAAGGAATGCCAAGTTCATTCTTTTCCTCATGGTGTCTGAGCTGTCCTTATTGACGCGAAGAAGTGCATTACGCACGCCCTCGCGACTGAGGAAGAGAATAGTGCTTAGAATGAGTTCGAATTGGATGGCGGCTGCTCCGAATGCGCTTGGAGAGGCGAGGCGGAATAAGGCTTGGTTTAAGATGAATGTGAATAAACGGGAGAAGAGTTGTAAAGCCATCAGCGAGGAAATGGACGAGAGTGAGGACTTGAGAAGTGGGTCTTCCGTCGTCGATGCCATTGTTACCGTACCAGCAGTGGTGGCGGAAAGTAAGAGTTAAGTGACGCGTTATTTGCATGAGATATGTTTACAGCAGCTATGTAGCTGTAAAATACAGTACTAAGTACAAATTCTGTAGACATAGAGAGCGGAGGACATGACTGTCGTGAACTATCGTAAAATCATCCAAGCCAATAGGTAGAAAAAATCAAGAACGACAACAAAAACAAGAGGAGAGCAATAAAGTTAAATATATAAGGGACTTCCCGTCTCAATCTACCTCTGCGGACATCAACGCCATCCTATCCGGCGTAGATTGCACATCGTCCTCTGTCTCTGTCTCTCTTGGCTTGATTGTCAGGCGCTGTTGTCGGAGGAACGTCTTGGAAAACATTTCAGGTGCCCCTGCAATTGCCTCAGCAAAAGCAAAGGCTAATCCAACAGATGCGTTGAGCACGCGCCATCTGAATCCCAGAACGTCAAAACCTAAACCAACGGTCTCTGTTGAGGAATCAAATGGGTACGCGATTTGAGCAGCAAGGCGAATGATGGCAGCTGTCAGCGGGTCAAATGGTGCAATTGGGTTTGGCGGTGAGCCTTCAGGTTGAGACCGCGAGGCTTGATTAACCGGGTTGAAAGATATGAGATTGCCGACAAAGGCTGGGATGATGAGCGTGGGCAAAGCCCAGTGTAGAATGACTTTCCAGAAAGTCGCAGTCTGGAATGTGGTCCAAGGAGGATATGTGAGTGGGAGGGTCACGTCTCCCGAAAGAGGTAACTAAGAGTTATTGCTCAGTGGCTGCAAGTCTGAGAAGGGTCGTAGCCTTACTTGTGTAGTTTTCCATGGAATTATTACATATAGTATGTATAATATCTCGCACAGAGCGGTTAGAGACAAGATGTTGCGAGAATTAGATAAGAACTGACAATTGTCAGGAGGATCGACGGTAAATTCTTAGCTTACGCTTACCTCGCGGGTTGCGATAAACATATCAGCGCCATTCCGTAGGATTTCATTTTGTTTGATTTGCTGAACCGAAATGTTTTTATCCTGTGGGCGAGGGGAATCCTCGATAAGGTTCGTCGTCGCTGGCGGTGGTATCGGGCTCTCAAAGGGCGTCAAGTCTGACTCTTTAAGGGGTGACTGATTCGGCGAAGTGTCCGCCGGAGAAATTGGGTGCTTGAGGAAGGTAGAGACGTCGCGAAGGTCTTTAATGGGCGTGGATTCGCGGATTGGATCCAAAGCGGCTATGCGGCGACCTACAACTGTCCTTGGTTTCTCTGTGTCCACGACCGGGGCTTCCACGATAGGGGGAGCAAAACGCCCGCTAAACGCGTCATTATTGAGTGTCCTTTGGACAGTTTGATCATGAGCGACTCACCTGGTAGGCGCTGGCTGAGGCTGGACGCTTCGTTTCCTCCTGCCGAACAAACCAGTGAACATAGGTTCATCTTCAAGTGTTGCCTGGTGGTTATCGAGATGTCTTTTAATTCTTATTTGAATTTCTTCTTTAGTTCCTTGGTCACTTAATCTGAGGGCATTGGCAATTTCTTGCAGCTCTGATTTCTTTTTGGGCTGAAGCGCGCCCGAGTATGCGGGCATGGTGGTCGTGGGTAGGGTTAGGTTTCAAACATAAACAATACGCGAATCTCCTGTTGTTCCTTATTTACGCGCAATTCATGTGACTTCAATACCGCCATCACCATGCAAACCAATTTAGACCAGTTTATACTTGCGCTGTAACCATCTTTGCCTTTCTTTTCCTTTCTTTCCTTCTTCCTTGTCCTCTGGCAGGATTTCTGGTCTTCCAGCAATGTTCATTTTTTTCATTCTCGCATGTTTGCTCTCAGGACAAGGTATAGTACACTCCAGAATTATAGCGACCGTGAACTGACTTGACGCGGTCAACGCGTAGTCTTCTCCTTTAGCATTACTGTTGGATCTCGCAGTTTGGCCGCTACAGAAATTTTACTGATTCCAGAGAGCCCGGTGGGACAAGCGGTGAGTGTATTCATGCCAGTAACGATTGTTGCCTCAACTACTCCTTCCAGTGTGCATCAAATTGCTCAGTGGCAAGTTCTAAGATCGCTGCTTGTGACGATGTGGGATCCTGTCTCTGCAGCGCAGACACCGTCGCCTCTCTATTGGACTGCGAGACATGCATGTTCCACTATCTTATCAATACCAACACGCCTGCACCAGATTTTCGCGCCGGATCTACTCCTGTCCTGCAGGGTATGTTTATGTTTTTCTCAGTTGGCTTAAGTGCTGCCTATCTCAACTTTTCTTCGTAGCGTACTCAAGTGCTTGTAATGCGACTGCCAACGTTGTCCTTGCGCCCAACCAGATTGCTCTACAGCTTCCAGGAACGTGGGATGGCCCTTTTGTTGCAGTATTACCGTTTGGTGGAGCGCTCTTCGTCGTGATTTTGGGTGGTATGATTGGAATGTCAGCTCTGTACATGTTCGCCAATTTGTTGTAAGTAGAGCAATGACAAAGTTGGCGTAGACACAATTACGTAACAATTAAAAAATTCAAGCCCCGCTTGGAATCATTAGATTCCGCTGCAAATATTCGTCACATCCTAACCATCCGTCGTCGTCCACCATGTCCCAGTACAAATCTGCAATCCGCGCTCAACCACCCTCAGACCTCCCAGACAACCCGAAGTATCGCCAACAAGCACGCCAACTTCAAGAGCTCTTTCCTGCTTGGTCAAACGATGGTATTGTGACGCCTTATTTCCGTCGGTACTGCTCTATTCATCATTTTTTTCTCCTTCAAAAACAGACCTCCACTCGCTCCTTACTGAAGTTGGAGGTGATGTTGAGTTAGCTGCTACGAGAATTAGTGATGGTTCGTCTTTTGCTTCCATCGTCCTTCTTTGTCATACTGACTTGTCACCACCAGGTGTCGCGGAACAGTGGGGTGAAGTCTCGCGTAAAAAGGACAAAAAGGCGCCCGTTTCCACCCAACCTCCAAAGGACTCGTTTTCCTCGCGGGGTGATTCTCGTGGGGGCAGAGGTGGTCGAGGTGGCCGAGGTGGGTCTGGGCGTGGTGGAGCTTCAGTTCGGGGTCGTGGTGGCCCTCCAAGAGGCGGTGCAAATGGGCACATCTCCCGCACTCAAAGTCCTCGTCCTTCCTCGGCGGCTCCTGTCAATGGAACTGGTCACACGGCGTCGGATAGTGCCAATAAATTAGGTGATGCTTCTCCAAAGGCATCGGAGTCCCACGACCACCCGGACAGCATTACACCCTCGACTTCAGGCTGGACGGAGGCTTCGTCTTCTCAACCTGAAACGTCTACTTCGGCTACATCACTCTCAACATCTAGCTCTGCTTGGGGTGGCACTAGTACCGCGTCGACTTGGGGTGGCGATACTGACATAAACGGGTCAACTTTATCTGTCAATGTTAGCACTCCCACCAAAGTTGCGAAATCACCAGCGACGTCAAAATTGTCGTGGGCTCAGATTGCACGGTGTGTCCATCAGTTTTTTTCTGTGTGTGTATTTTTCATCATTGACCCTTCTCTAGGCACCATGAGAAACCCGCCCCGCCTCCTCCAGTGGTTTCGCAAACGCCAGCGGCATCACTTTCCACCCCTCTTGCTCCAAGCATCAACATTGAAGCGTCCGAACCAGAAGTTCAGCATGGTTGGGAAGAACCCACCACCGTCCAGACTCCTACGTGGGACGATGAAACACCCGTGAAGCTGTCGACGTCTACCGCAGACGCGTGGCCACCAGCGACAGAATCAGTGCCGGAGGAATTGGCGCCTGAACAGTCAGAAGCTCAATTTACGGATGAGGTGAAGGAAAGCGCAGAGAACACGCCAGCCCCAGTGGAGGAAGCTGTGCCTGAGCCAAAAGTGGAGGTCAAGGCTCTTTCGCCAGCTTTAGCGACCCCCGCATTACCATCCCATGTCACTGCGACTCCATCGCCGAAACTTGCTGGCCGTTCACCTTCTGCCTCGCATAGGAGTAGTGCCAGGTACAAGGTCACTGACCAACCTGTTGTTATGCCCAGCTCTTTCGGGTCAGGAATTGAGAAGGTCGGAATGCAGTTTGGTAGTCTCGGTCTTGGAGGTGAAAGCTTGCTCGACTCCACTCCGTAAGCCTGTCGCATTTTGATATTTTTGTGAATGTGCTGACCGACTTTTGGTCAGAAGTGAACTTGACACGCCCAGTGTTGCACCTGAAGCCGCCCCTCCCGCTATTCCCCAAGCCAAACATCATGATGCCCCAGCCCCTCCACCCGTCACCACTCCCGCCACAACTGCATCGTTAACTTCCGTATTTCAGCAGCAGCAAGCAATACCACAACAGGCTCAACAACAATCACAGCCCTCTGCTCCTCAACAATCCACGCATCATGTCATTCCCAACTCTGTCTCGCAACCAATCCAACCGACACAACCTCAGTCTACACATATTGCTGCTGCTTCCCCCATTCAACAATACACCCAACAACAAGCAGCTGCCTCGCAACATCAACAATCTCTGGTAGGCGCTCAACTCCAGCAACAACAACATCAACATCAACAAACCCAGCCCCTACAACAGCACATCCCCCAGCTTCCCCAACAGGTACAACCCACTCCAGCCCACCATTCATACGCTCAACACGGACTCCCTACGCATATTGACCCATCACAGCAACAACAAATCCAATCCCCTGCTCAGCAACAGCCTCTCCAAACTTCTACTCACTCGAACTACTTCAGACAGAGCGAAACCGTACCTTCCGCACCTTATTTCCATACTTCTACACCTCCTGCCGGACAGATTCAGGATAGCCCCTACGGCTCTTTCGGCCAAGTCGGGGTACAAGGCCAACACCAACAAGGATCCTCGGCGTTCGGTTCCGCAGATTACAGCTACGCTGATTCCCAGCGGGTAAGCAAGAATTGATCTTTTCGGAGTTTTTTACTGATCCTTTGTACTCAGGGCTTCTATGATACGTATGCCCAACAATCCGGGTTTGGGAGTAGAAGCGTACTTGGACACGATGACGTCAAGGGTATTCCAGGGAGCCAGCAACAACCTCCCACCTCAGCCAGTCTTCAACCTTCAGGCGTTCAGGCATCCCAACAGCACGGCTCCTCGCAAACTACTGGACAGCCATCTGGCGGTCAAGGTCCTCAGCAATATCAACATCCCCCTGTACCATACTATTATCCACCCTTTCCACAGAGCCAGTACTACTCTCCACCTTACAGCTCTGGCTACGGAGTTCCTCAGCCCTTCGTCAAATACCCAGCCATGTTTCAACCTGGGCCTCCTGGCCCAGCCTCTGCGCCCACCCCCACAACTAAGCAGTCAGGTGCAAACGTGGGGGTAGGCATTCAACCTCAGAGCTACAACCAGGCTTTGTACCAGCAAGCTAGCTATGACGACTATCAGCCACACCCTCATCAACAACATCATCAACACCAACACCAGCAACACTCACACAACCTTGGACTTGGTCAGGGTTCCGTTGGTGTCGGCTCAAACGATTATGGAAAGCAGCTATATGGTCAAGGCCAGGGTGCCATGCAAGGCTTTATGGGTTTAGGAGGCCAAACAAGCGGAGGGACCAGCGGCCCCACTTCGAGTGCTGGCCCGCGAGGTGGCAACTCACCCGAGACTGCTTACAAACCCTACGCTGCAAAAGATGTGGGGGTTCCCTCTGCTCGCGGTTCTGGGCAACAGCAAGGAGGACAAGTGCCAGGTCAAGCCCAGCAAGGGCCAGGTCAAGGGGTCCAGGGTGGTCCTCAAGGGCAAAGCTTCTATGGAGGGAACAGATTCGGAAGTGGAGTTGGAGGTGCGGGTGTCGGTGGAAGTGTTGGTGGGCCCCAGCAAAACACACACCACCAGCAAAGCGGCCCACAAGGACACATTGGCTACCCCCAGGGCGCTAATGATGCCAGTTTCTACTCGTACCAGGCCGCCAGGCAGCAGCAGGGATACTGGCAGTGAATGAATTATTGCAGTAGTCTCTTCTCATCCGACTCGAATGATCTTGGTGCTTTCTTTGTGATGTTTACTCAGAGTCTCGTTGTCATACTTTCTCTCACTCTCTCTCTCTTATTCATTGCTTGGTATCTCAATACTTCTGTACGTTAGCTGTGATGCAAGCTGGGGCTGCTAATATACGTCTCACTCCGCAACACTTCCAAAACATATGTATATTACATACCAATCAGTCCACGAAATTCGAGATTTTCAAGGGAAGATCGTCGTCGACTCGGAACCAGTCCCTGGCGGCGATTTTCAACACTTCATTTATGTTAAACAACACATTTACGCACATGAATTTTGAGATGCGCACGTGTGGTGTTTTGAGGAAAATGCCGCGGGGTTCTATTTTTGGAGCATTGTGCCAGGCTGAGCAAAGGCTGAGAGTAAGTTATACCTGCCTACATACTGGATAAATACACGATGTCTACCTCCTCAAAGGCTGATTTCAAGGCGACTATGTAGGGGATTTGGGCTATGCAATTGCCCACCATACGCATTTCGCGAGGAATGTTGGTGATTGGTTGGTGAGTAGATCTTTCAAATCGGATAAACGAGAGACTGGCACCTACTGGCATGCGCAATCATCCCATCATGATCATAGGTTTACAGTTCGTTCAAACGAAGCGAGCAGAATCTGTATTCCCTTAACATTTATAGGAGAATACCGCTAACGTTGTTTCAAAACTCATGAAAATTTTGCGGAACCTCGTCACCTTACTTGCTAATCTGTATCTCGCTGATGAACCGGCTCGAGTACATACTACTACTAGTAGCTCTGAGCTGTTATACAAACCTATATAATACAAAGTTCATACAAACCACAGCAACGTTGCAGCCCCTCATACACTCCCTTGTACATCCTTTGCCGATGACATACGACTTAATAAGACTTCAAGCATGAAGAATTCACTCATCATGTTCTTGTAGGTCACTCTGCGAAGTCGGTTTCTCTTTTCCTCGGTAAAAACGTCGGGGGAGGCTAAGAAAGCATCCCGCTCGAGGGAGCAAGGCCTTGAAATGTGCGATTCGCTGTGAACGGCGTTGAGCTTTCTCCGCTGCCACCTTGGCTTCCTCTTCTTTCTTGCGATTCTTCAATACCTCGAAGTCCTCCCACACAGCTAAAAAATACTAGATGTCATTATCTTTATATAGGAGGTTGGGCAATAATTCTCACCAACGACGTCCAAGAAAGGGAGATCCGACCCGGCCTCATAAGAATAGTGCCCCTTGACCATACTCACATCGTAGAATTGGTAACACTCGCTTCGATTCCTTATGGGTTGTATGTATGGTCATAAAAAAACCCAGACGGGACATTTGTCTTGTGAGATTAGACGTACCTGAAACCTCTGACCAGGTTTTCCGAACGGCATGTGCGACATGTCGAGGCGATCCGTAGTAGCTTTGTACTGCGCCACATATTGTATTTTTTCAGCATAGGGATCCCGAGTGCGGCGAATTATACAGCTAACTATTGACATTAATAAGAACCAAGAATGTCATGGAAGGGCTCTCACTTGATTGCAGCACGAGACGGATCATTCACCAACCCCCAAACTTTGCCATTGTAAAAGATCCTGTTGGCAGCATACTGGTTTGGCTCCGGCAAAACTTTCTCCTGATCAAAACCGTATTTTTTCATGAGAGAAGTATCGGGGTTAGCCCATTTTGAAAAGTCGCCGTGGCGCATCTCCAAGATGCGGTTATTGAAAAACTCGATGTGATACTCATGAACCCGTGTCCACTCATGCAGTCCGGAGAGATATTGGAGATGACCTAAGTACCGGAAAAAGCCAAGGGGGATAGTCGGTTGGTTGCAAAAGTAGGTAGAAAGGACCGAGAAGTATGTGAAGAGGTGGCGGAAAACCAGGTTGGGTTCCCTAGACCATGTTATTGCCGGCTCCAGAAAGCTTTGAGGGCGTGGCGTCTGATGCGGAAGCCGTGGGGGTGTGGCCGCACCAAATTGCATTGGTAGGTTGTAAAGGTCTAAGGCACTGAAGTCGTGAAAGATCATTGACATTACAACAGTCTCAGCGATGTTGGGGAATTTTTGACAGATACCAGGGAAGATACTGTTGTTGCAACCTCGACGGTCCTGGTTCGCTGGCTGAGACATTGTGAAGGGCGGGTGGCCGGTTTTGAGGCGATGCGTCCGTGCTTCGATGCACAACGTGTAAGGTGGCTGGCGAGATGGAACGAGGGAGAAAAAGAGAGGGCGAGTAGCGATTTGGACTGGCGAAATTGTGTTTTAATTCAATGCTAGCAATCACGTGAACGCATTCTAGGATAACAGCCTGTGCCAGAATGGAGTCTGGACAAGTGTCTCTTCGTAATTCAAGTACCCACCCTTCTCAAAATTCTGTTCTCCGTCAGAAGGGGTCACCACCCAGTAGTTGAGAGGAATCTGAGAAGCCTTAGACCTGTATTAGAAGTGCCATGCGGTTGATTTTTGCGCGAGTACCTTGAGCGCTGCCGGCGCATGTAGTAGGTGTCTTCGCCACTCTTCTGTAAGACAACTTGTCATGTGAGTAATAATACTTTGCAACATTGCCCCCTTACCATTCCTTGAGGAATCCGGTGCTGGGGTAAAAAGTGGACCTGAGTTCAATTTGTTCGGCCCTGTGGTGCGGTCTTGTGTGTATCTCAGAAACAGGCAGAAACTCCACAATCACTTTGGACGACGGAGGCCACGAGATCCTCATCACCCCGCGCTTCCTCGCATGATTGCTGGGCGCTAGTCAAAGAGAGTAATTAGGTCACTGCCTCGCGTAGAGGGGGATAACCACCACGTACATTGTAGCTTTCTAGTTGTTGGCCAACACGTCTAGTCACGGCCAGGCGGCTTGCGTGAGAAATCATGTAACGTTTAACGTTTAACGTTTAACATTCACTACCCCAACACTACCTACCTCTACGTCACTCGTGCTTTCTAAGCATTTCATGTCTGCGCTCCGAGGTGAGCGACTTTTTCAAACCGCCGCATTGGAAAGGTGGCGTGGCTGTTCGGAGACCCGAGCCCAGGACTTTGTTCGGCCTCTCCTTTTCAATCGCTGCGGTACCGCCTCCATTGATCATGCGTTAACCAGGGCATTTGTTAACTTCCTAGGAATTTTCGAGACCGGACACGCGTTCTTTTCCGAGGCAAGTCTTTCCCTACGGTTAGCCACTGCTTTCTAATGGCTGCGTACGGCCCCGGCGTTGTGAACTGGCAGGGAAATTTTGTGACCCTTGGCCTACCTTGCTGCTTTGAAGCGCTGCTCAAAGCGACGGTTGCGGAAGAAGCCCGTCATTTTTCGCAAGGGTACGAGATTGACCCGTTTGGGGGGTCCCCGCTTTCGTCCGCCCCTTCGTCCGCCAACCCTTCGCCTCCTAGCTCACCTCTTTTACTTCCCATTGAATCAGGGGACGAGGTCATTGAATCTTCTTCAGGCAGCGGCCTTCAAGACATGGGCGCCCAGACTGCAATCATACTACGTTGATGGCCTGGGTAAGCTATATGCCCATAATTCACAGCTAAAGCGTATTTTCTCTTCCTCTGTCTTCGCTGCGGCAAGCATCAATTTTGGTCCCCGAACTGTATGTTTTCCTCATAAGGATCAGGGAAATTTGCCTTTTGGATGGTGTGCAATAACGGTTCTAGGCTCCTTCAATGCAAAGAAGGACGGTCATTTAGTTCTTCGGGAGCTGGGGCTAGTCATTGAGTTTCCTGCTGGGTCAACCTTCTTCATCCCTTCGGCGGTCATCACACATTACAACACACCCATTGGAAGAAATGAAACACGGTATTCCTTCACGCAATATACTGTTGGAAGCATCTTTCGTTACGTTGAGCATGGGTTTCAGAAGGATGCAGAGTTTTACGCTGGTCTGTCGGATGAGGAGATCAGGGAGGAACATGAGAAGGCCGCAAAGCGGTGGGAGTTGGGCATTGGGATGTTTTCCACGTTGAAGGAGCTTTCTGGTTCCACATAGATATTCATTGCAGTTAACGTAGAATAGAATAGAATTAGATTGGCTGGCTGTATTACATTATAAAGCTCTAGCCCTGACAAAAGTCGGCCACTTACCATACACATTGCATACACATCAAAAGGCCCCATATCAATAGCCGCAAACTTGACTCTTTCTTGTAACGACTTTACCTGAATATGACATGGTTGGTTATTGTGAGTACATTTCGGTGGGTTGCGGCCTTTTCCGCGTACTTTTTCAATATCGCCCAATTGTAGAATTGGGGAGTCGATTGCACCAGATTCGAGATTCAAACCCTCCAACCTGCCAACAGAGAAGTCGAGATGTGTTAATACAGCTTGATCCATAACGGCTGACTCCCATACTAATTTCGCAAGCGTCAACTGGAACTCCAAATGGAGGCAGAACGAAATCGTCGGAAGCAACTGCTAGACACCCAAGCCCAGATCAATGTCGCCGAGGGCCAGAAACAACGGGTCATCTTGGAAAGCGAGGGCCATGTAAGTCCATCACATGTGTTCACTGAATTTCATTTGATTTGGAAACGTCTGCGCCCTTTTTCTAGCTGGAAGCCAAGACACACACTTCAAGACAGTAGTGAGGGAAGCCGAGGCCCGGCAAGTTTTGCATTTACCTTTATCGCGGGCTGTTGAATACATTTTGGACAAAATCTAGGCAACAGCAAGCCCTTATGGAGTCCTGTGCAATCGCCCAGCAGGTCGAGAATATCGCGCGCTCGATCGCCGCGAAAAAAGATGACTTCCGGCCAGAAGAGCGTCAACGTGCTTTGGCGACTTTGGTTGAACTGAAACGCCTGGAACAGCTTAAAACTATTGCCCAAAGCAAGAGCAGCTCGACATACTTCTTTGGCGACAAGCCGGCGCTGGGCGTATCGAGCGATGTCAACGTCGATTATTCGAGTCGGGTCAAAAGGGTGTTATAAAATATAAAAAAACGAGATGAGATCCACCCTTGAATTCTACCCGCATTTTTTTTTTGATACCCACTGGCATGATTCACCTCTACTCAGCAAAACTCTTCTTTGTTCACGTATATTTACATATATCTCTACAATAAGCTCCCTTGAATGACAATGTCACTTGTCCAAACTCAGCGAAGTTAAAGGTCGGCATCAGCCATAAAAAACTAAAGCCCCAGTCTCAATTGACTGTCGCAATGGACTGTCCTTGGGCGTTGTGGGATCATTGAATCCGGTGTGGGGTGTGAAAATGGCCACGGTTCCGTCTTGAATAGAATTAAAACTGAGAAGAGCGGGACAAAATCAGGGAATGAACAGAAAAAAACATCCGTTAGTCGCGCACCACTTTATCAACACGACCTCCTTTGGCGTCATGCCACGGAAATGGTTCCACTGGTGATTTGGATTGTATTTCACCCCCAAGTGTCTCCTCCTCATGATCAGGATAGATCAGGGCCACGAGCACGACGTCTGGGGGGTCTACGCTTCTGTAATCGCATAGTTCCAGCGGCCAATCAAATGCTGGATTACCAATGGGCCGCCAGATACTGATGATTCGAAAGCGACGTTTGAGAAGTTCGGGAACATCAGAAGCATGGAGATGTCTGTGAACTCGGGCCACTGAGAATTTAGTTGTTTGATCAACGTGGACTTGCGCAACCGGTTGACGGCGGTCTGGGGAGTCGTCAAATTCTCCGGGGCGATGACGAATGGCTGGATTTCGAAAATTAAAAAATTCCTTTTCGAAAGAGGAGGAAATGATCACACCATGATCAAAAATCACGACTTTGCTCGCCCCAGTCAATTTTTTGAGGAGTTCAATAGTCTCCGGGTATTATTCTTTCTCAACCTCTGCATCATTGGAGAAGGAAGTGTATTTGGCCGAGTGGCGGTGAAACTGGAAGCCAGCGTTGTCAAGGGTCACCGACTTCTCCTCTCCTCGAAGATTCTTGACGACGACGTCGTGATCGGCTGGTGTGAAGTTTCTTCCCTGTTCCCCCGTCGCGAGGCTGAATGAGCCAAGGCTGAATCCAAAATCGGCTGACCCATTCAGCAACGTAGTCCTCCCTGCCGTAACCGAAGATTAGCTTACATAGATTCTGAGATATACCGAAGATTAGCCCAAACCCTCTTCGTTTGCTTGTCCGGTCGTTCGAAATTCACCGAGCTGTAGCGGGCCTTCATCCATGACTCGAAAAAGATGGGGTGGATGTCGTAAACCTTCCAGAGAACGTTTCCAGGTAGAAACTGTGATATCTGTCGCAAGACGTCCCTGTCCAAGTCTTGCAACACCATATCGCCTGTTCACGTCGATAGATGGGGACAGTATGGGTGAGGGAGAGATTGATAAGTAGCTGGGCTCGAGGCTCATCATATTGGTGGAAAGGTGAATAGCATCACGTGTTGCTGTATGACGGGTCCGAACTTTTGATAAACGATGGGTGGGTGGGGGATTGGAAGAGGACTGGGGAGAACGCTCAGGAAGGCCTGCGATTCATTGGCATCTCCTAGAGGGACATCGCCATCAGGCAACACTTACAATCAATACTTTAACTATAGCGACGCCAAGAAACGAAATCTTGGAACATTCAAGAAATTATGGCCTGGCAAAAAAGAAAGTAAATCCGACCATCTTGGCGCGACCTAACTGCACCCCACTAGCTTAGTAAACGAGGCTGGTGGTGAAGAGAGTGGGAGTGCTTTTGAAAAGAGACAGGACACAGGCGACCTTGGCAAACGAATTGACCGCGGAGAGTTCCTTGAGCAATGTTCGCAAGTTTGACTTACTTTCAAAAATAATCTGCGACCAATCAGTGTAAAAAGCGACCCCAAAGTCGCATTTACATCTTGTGGACCCGCGTGGCGCAGAAATATATTACAGATTCCATCCAGTCGACGTTCGAACCAGGGCGAGGTTGTTATTACACTGCCAGAACGTTAGAAACGACGTTTTGCTATCTCGATGAAGAGCAAAAAACGCACTTTCTTGATAATCAGCAGCTAAGAGTCTACCGAACCCTTTGTCATGATTCCGCACAACGAGGAGGTAATGAGAAAACGAACAATTCTAAGACTATTTCAGGCGGGACGCGCTCCATGAATTCGTTCGTTGGTATGTCCTCCTTTGATGCAGCACTCTCGTAGTGGGACTTGAAACACATATATTCGACGAGTTTCTCTGTAATGATGCCCCTGCAATCGTTCAGACTCTTGAGAAAACCCTATGAATACATTGGCGCGGGGAATGCGCACCTTTCTTTCATAGAGCATATCCGCGTTTTAGCTTCCGTGTACCCACCTGCGCGACTGAGTCAACATGACGGCCTCGAGGACAAAGTGGCGCGTTTCAAGCCCAAATGGACACTTCACTTGTTGGATCGAGCATATTCCTCATTGTACCACTGGCCAGCGCGACTTTGCGCTTGACGAGGTACGTGAAGCCATCAGTGGTCTCTAGCCGCACCCAATCCGAATCTTTCGGCTCGACTTCAGATGGTTGCGTCCTACATTGAGAAAGTCGCGTCAGATACGCGCGGGATAAGCTCAGAAGGAGGGTCGTACGTGCATTTCGACGTCGGTTGGGTCTGCCATGATGAGTGTTGTCCAGAAGATACGATATTGTTCGGGACAAGCCAAATTGGACCTTGACAAACAAGGTGATGCGTTTTGAGGAGAGTGCCGCCGGGTTCTATTTTTGCAACGGCCCAGGGTAAGTGATACCTGCCAACATACTTGATGAACACACGATGTCTACCTCTGATTTCGAGACGACTAGGATATTTGCGCTATGCAATTGCCCACCATATGCATTCGCGAGTATATTGGTCAGTAGATCTTTCAATTTGAATAAACGAGAGACCGGCAATCATCCCATCATGATCATAGGTTTTGCAACTAGAGTCCCCTGTCACCTCAATTGTCATGTACAACGCAGACAACCCCTTGTTTTCGATCCAACACGTTGTGGCTTATCACAACTCACGGACATATTTTTTTGCCAAGCATCTCTCCAGATCTATCCTCAGCGCTGGTGGATCACTATATGAATAGAGAGCCCATGATCAAATCCTTTGGTTTCCAGCCTTATCAACGACCTCCTTTGGCGCTTCCACGAGCGGTGGATGCTCCAAACAAACGAGGACTCCCGTGGTAAGCGTATAAGATGTCGGACTTCGAGCCAGGAATGTGAGTGACTTTCAGGTTAAGGTTATAAGGTTCGAACTTAAAACTCATCTATCTACCTTATGCCAGAAGCCTGAATTACTACTTTGCCCTCGCTTCCTTCAGTAAGCCTCCCCCTTTCCACCGATCCCCCTCGGACCAACCTCCGATAGCAATCCTCCTGCATGAGTATCTAGACACACTTCCCGTTGAGGTTGACAGGATGTGGTATTCAACGTTTCACGGCCCCAGGATGAGCTGGAACTGGGTCTCATTCTTCTTCTATCTAAACCGCTATTTCATTTTGGTCAGCCATGGGCCTGTGATGCTAGAATTCTTTTGGAGCACAAGCAACCCCAATAAATTACCAGTACGTTCACCTCCTTGTCATTTTCCCCATCTTCCCGAATCTCCCAGACCAAAGCTCATTAACCCACAAATTTACAGATGTCAGCCCTCTTACAGAGCTAACCTCTCCTCACTGACGCTTGCTCAGCTGCCATGCCCTCCGAGAATACCATCATTACCTAGTTATCGTCATCCAGGCTATCGTTTCTTGTATGTTGTCCCTTCAATTGATCAGGATCAACATTAACTTTTACCATAAAGGCATGTTGATAATGCGCGTATATGTGCTATACGAACGTAGTCGCAGAGTTCTGGCAGTCCTTGTCGGAATGGCGCTCACGGTCATTTCGTTTGGTTGCGTACGTTTAACGTTCATCAGCAAACGATTGAGTTTCCTGAAGTTTTCCATCAAACAGTGGTCAGTTCTCGGCACGAAGAATACAACCCCAGATATGGATCCAGTGCTTCCTGTGGGGTGCGCCGCTTCCCTCACACGCAGTCAGTTAGTGCTGATCATTTCGGCTTCTCGTTTGTGGGCGATACTGACGCCTTCTCCTACTTTAGGGGAATACGTGGGTCTATTAAAGTTTGAAAATGAATTGAGGATTACATTTTTTTTTGTCTAGACATTGGAGCTGCGTGGGGAGGCATGCTAGTGTTCGACAGCGTAATTTTCGTCATGACAGTTCTGAAGTCTTTCCCTCTCCGTTCAAAAAGCCAAGACCTAATAACTGTGCTACTACGCGACGGCAAGTCAACTATGTCCATACTGAGGTCGTTTTTTCTGATAATCTCCTATTTTTTCTTCTTTAGGCACTATATATTTTAGGTGCGTCCCCCCGACACAATAATAAGATTTCGACTTATTTCGTCTCAATAGCGTGATATTGGCAGTAAACTTAACCAATATCCTTATCCTTGTGGTAAGAAGTATCTTCTTAGCTTGGTGGTGTGGATAACTGATATACTGGGTTCCTAGCTTGGTGGGGTAAGCCAGATATATTCACTCACTGGTAAACCTGGTTTTCTGATTATTCTCCAAAGCCCTTTACGAGGAGTCTAGGTACAGTGCCGATGAACGTGTAGGTTTACTACGCTACTTTGCATTCACCAAGCACTTATACATTCGGCGTTTTCCTCACAGCATCTCCTCGGTGATGATATCGAGACTCGTGCTTAACCTCCGCGATCCTGCCCTTGTGCGAGGGAGACAGTCAGGAGAACCTGGTTTGAGTTCCACTGCGGGTGTTTGTCCCAATATTTCAACCATCGCCCAAACGCAATACACTCGAGATCCAGAGGATGGATGGGTGCCTACAAATACAACTTATAAGTTGTACGAGGAAAACAATGGATACAGGGGTTCTGGACGACCACACGGTGCGTATCACATTTCGATGCAAGTGACATGAACTCAATTACGGATATTAGGCACCCAAACCCACGACATACAGCTTATTCCTGTGAATCATCGACTCTGATTCTGTATTGATATGTTCCGTGTACCCATATAACTTATATATACGTGATAGATGTGCCATGCCACCCAGTAATATTGTTTGAATGTACTTGTAGCCACTCTCTAATATTAGAATACAATGATAATCCAAAGATTTTTGCCTGGCATTTACAATTTATCACTCCACAACTTTGCAACAGGATCATCAATTCTGTTTATGACCAGCGGTTCAACTAGGCTCCACACTTCGTTGGCCACAACCTTACGTTCCCGCCCAGCGTCCACGGTAACCCAGTTCGGCCTTACAGGTCTCTGAGTCTCGTTCTGCATCTCTGATCCCAACCTTTGGAAAATGCCCCTCACCCGCGCCTGCAGTTCCTCTTTCTCGTACCGCTCCTCCCCGTATCCGCCACGCAGCTTTGCTCGTTCAGGTGCAATATCAAGGAAAAGGACCAGATCTGGCGCTGGGAGACCTATATCTGGGGATCGGCACCATTCGTAGGGAAGTTTCGGGGATGGGGTCGAGGATGGAATTCCCTCTGCTTCGCTAGGATTATTTAAATGCACCTTGGATGCAGAAAACGCGATTCCGGAGAAGGCGTATCGGTCACAAATGATAGGTGTCCCTGCTTCTAAGAGCTGGGTTATGTATGATCTGGACATCGCAAATTGTGTGTTAGCCTGAAGAGAACAAAAGAAAAAACAGGTCGACGTACGCGAGCTCCCATCGGTTAGCGGAAAAGAGGAGATGAATTACATGGTCGTCCAGCTCTGAGTCTGAACGAAGGTATGAATCAATCATTTGGCCAATGACTGTTGTCCTATCTGCGTTTAAGATAGTATTAAAAAGTGGGAAGTCGGAAGATTAAACATCGGTACGAACCAGGAAATTTCATCAACTTTGCCTGAATTCCTTCGGCCTCAAGACGTGTATGAAGGAGTGACGTTTGGGTTGTCTTCCCTGACCTATCGAGGCCCTCTATGACAATAAATGGTGCGCGCATTTTCTCTTCGTTGGACTCTCTGCAATGACCTTTTAGTTCGAGTTGGTTGTACCAGTGGCTAACGTACCTGTGCGCGAACGATGATAGATTCTATTGAAAGTAGACCATACGGAAGCAGGGTATTGACGGCAACTGATTATTGAAGCGTTTTCCTGTTCATCTGACTTGAATGATGGTTGGTGTATGTAGATCTTCGGTTTGTGAGTCCTGATAAGATTGTAGCCATCAAAAGCAAGCTGGAACAAACAAAAGGAGTATATATTGATCGAAAAAAAATGTGAACCAATTGGCATTCAGCCCACCAAATGCCAGGAAACAACTACCTCGATCCAAAGTCTGCCCTTGAGCACCTCAAAACATACAGTCGCAGCGATGGGCTCTCCGTCGCAGAGCTTATCGACTCGAGAGTCCATGGTGGGCTGACTTATAACGACTTCCTTCTTCTCCCTGGAAAAATCGACTTCCCTGCCTCTGATGTCCTCACAGAGAGCCGCATCACGCGAAATGTCGTCCTTAAAACTCCCTTCATGAGTAGTCCGATGGACACCGTCACTGAAGGCGATATGGCGATTGCAATGGCTGTGAGTCTGCGTCTAGCCCACTGTTTCTGCACTCGTTGATTGCGCACCAGCTCCTTGGTGGAATCGGTGTCATTCACCACAATCAATCGCCTGAATCCCAAGCGGCTATGGTCCGGGCTGTCAAGCGTCACGAGAACGGATTTATAACAGACCCTATTGTGCTATCGCCAACCCATCTGGTCGAAGATGTCCTTGATATCAAAGCGAGGCTCGGATTCTGTGGAATTCCCATCACGGGTACGTTTTGTCATCCGTTTCTCCTCTTCACGGATGAATCAATTGTCATAACCTTCGTTCTGCCGAGTTAACGCGTGTATAACGTGTGACATGCGGATTGCTATTTATGTTTTTTTCTGACCCTTTTCTCTTGTTTGTTTTCATGATGGAGTACTCACCCAACGTTTGACCACCAGACTCCGGTGTCCTAGGCGGTAAACTAGTCGGCATAGTCACGGCGCGTGATATTCAATTTCGCGACCCCGCGACTCCATTATCCCAGGTCATGACCACCGACCTCGTCACCGCTGAACAAGGCATCACATTAAACCAAGCCAACGACATTTTACGAGACTCAAAAAAAGGAAAACTTCCTATCATCAATTCCAACGGCGCCCTCATCTCCCTTCTTGCACGTTCTGATCTTCTCAAAAATCAGTCCTACCCCCTTGCATCTAAAAATCCTGAGAGCAAGCAGCTGTACGCTGCCGCTGCTATTGGCACCCGTCCGTCCGATCGGGAGCGTCTAGCGGCCCTCGTCGACGCGGGTCTGGATATCGTAATTCTCGATTCCTCTCAGGGTAACTCTGTTTTCCAGATCGACATGATTCACTGGATCAAGTCGACATATCCTCACCTCGAAGTAATCGCTGGGAATGTTGTCACCCGTGAGCAAGCTGCATCTCTCATTGCAGCTGGTGCGGATGGCCTTCGCGTTGGCATGGGTTCGGGCTCAATTTGTATCACGCAGGAAGTCATGGCTGTAGGACGTCCACAGGCAACCGCCGTGTACGCCGTCGCAGAGTTTGCCAGCAAGTTTGGTGTGCCCGTGATTGCGGATGGAGGTATTGGCAATGTTGGGCATATCGTCAAAGCTCTTGCACTTGGTGCGGGCGCAGTGATGATGGGTGGATTGCTTGCTGGGACTGAGGAAGCACCTGGAGATTACTTCTACCACGAAGGGAAACGGGTGAAGGCCTACCGAGGAATGGGCAGTCTCGAGGCGATGGAGCAAGGTAAAGCTGTCAAGTCCAAAGGAGGACCAGGTAAATACCCCTCACCCCAGAAGTCCAACACCGTTGAGAACGCCGCGACATCCCGCTACTTCTCTGAAAGTAGCGCTGTCAAGGTAGCACAAGGCGTCTCCGGAGACGTACAAGATAAGGGGAGCGTGAAGGCCTTCCTACCATACCTTTATGTTGGTGTACAGCACTCACTTCAAGATGTCGGTGTCAAAAGTATCAATCAATTGCAAAGCGGTGTCAAGGCGGGCGATGTGCGGTTTGAGCTCAGGACTGCAAGTGCTCAAGTCGAGGGTGGTGTGCATGGACTGAACTCGTGAGTCTTCCCCTTTTATGCGTGGGATTCAGCTAAAACTATCATTATCAGATACACCAAGAGGTTGTTCGCTTGAACGCTTGTATATCGACAGTATCCCTTTTACATATATCTTCATGGCAAACGGAGGTTTTGGATTAGGATTGTATAACAGGACAGCGTAATGGACGAATAAAAACAATGTGCAAGTCGAAAGCTGGGAAAACGACGAAGAATTATAATCAAACTTTTGTGAAAAAGGAAGTTATCTTTGCGGCATTTTTCGTGTCTGCAGGTCTGGTTTTCTTCTATTGAGATCAATGAGGATAATGAGGCTAATGCATCAATTGAACGTGCCTTTGGAGACTGCGATTTCCTGGGTGATGATGGAGGTTTCGGTTTTCCTGAGTCCACCTTGGACTTTTTATGTTGGGGTAACTCGTTTTCAACAGGTGGAACCTCCCAGCTTGATGTCGGCGACTGACTTCGGCTCCTCTTCGAACTTGAAGAGGTTAAAGCTTTACTTTGCGATGATTTCTGCTTCGAGAACATGGCCTGGATGCCGTCCTTCCGACTCGTGATGGGTTCAATGAAACTGGGAGATTCGGTTCCTACTTTGCCGACTTCTTTAGGAACCTGATAACTGCGAAAGCAAAGTCAATCCATTGTGCAAGGAATGGACCGAAAAAAAACAATACCAGTCCAAAGGAGTTGACTTGTCATTGTAGGGTTTCACCATTTGTGTCAAATCTGCGGTCCACACCTGTGGAGAGGTATCAAGCCATTTATTAACGGCTGCGGTATTTGACAAGAAGACTGGTTGTCGGTCGTGGAGCCACGAGAATTCCTTGTTTGCGTCGGTGGTGACGATTGTAAAAGTCCATAATGTGCGACCTGGAAGAAGGGAGGTCAAGGGCGACATGCTCTGAATTATTGCCCACCTTCCAGTTCTGCAGAGTCGTAGAGTCCGGCCATAAGAAGAAGATTTCCGTCTTTGCGTTTTATGAAATGAGGCAGCTTGTCTTTGCCTCTAGTCAGCCATTCGTAATAACTAGCAGGGCGTCAAGGCATGGTTCTCTTTCTGAAGTAAAAGACGCCAAAATACCCCTGGCAAGGAATGGCACAGCGCTTCTTCCCTTTGATGCTGGCCCACATACCACCACCATCAACAAGGTTCTCGGAACGGGCGTTCGTGGTGCTCAGTGACTTGTCCTCAAACTTGCTCCAGTGGGGAACAAGACCCCATTTCATAGTTTGTAATATAATGGAATGTTGGCTGCCAGACGCAGACGGAACTGGATCCCGTCGACGAATGACAGGTGCTTGGCTACGGGGAGCAATATTGTATCTGGGCACAAACTCTTCCTCGTTCACCCAGTCCTCAATGTCCAGATCGTCGTAGCCGTGCAGAGCGCGTATTTCATTTCTCTAGAGTCACAGATTGGTATGAGTTGGGAGATTGTAGAGAGAAACGTACTTCAACGCGCAGAGAGAATCGTCCACACATGGTAGTCGTAGTATAGTAGCAAGAGTTTCTATGGTCCCTGAAAGTAATAATCCAAGTATGAAACCGTGGGAATATTCTTTCAGTGAGCAGTGAGCACTGCACCGACGACGACCTCAAAGTTCAACGTCGGCTGCTTCCTGGAGGTCGACACATGGACAGCGGCGCGCACAAATTGCTAGAGTCTGCAACCCAAAGGACTCTTCATGCCCATGCATTTTCGCGCTCATCCACTCAGGCATCTCTGGTCCTGACAGACCTGCTCTCGCGATACTTGGCTCTCCTCGTCTCAACGTCCACAAAATATGCTCAGCATGCAGGAAGGACCAAACTATCTGTTCGGGATATCGTTGGCGCATTAGATGAACTAGGTGTCGGCTTGGACGAGCTTAGTGACTACACCTCTTCAGAGGCCAAAGAGCTCAATCGTTATGCTCTTTATTCTGCCCGCAGAGTTGAGGATTTGATGGAATTCAAATGTATGTCCTCTTGCATCGCACTTTCTCTAGCGCTTATCTCGCACAGCACAACTGTTGGACGGATTACGACAGGATCGCGATGACGCGATCCCTTTAGAATACACGCGTTACACGACACCTCCTCTCGACTCTAGTGACGACGAAGAGGGAAGCGAAGATGACGAAAATGACATGGATGTCGATGAACCTCCAGCGCTTTGGTCAACAGGACCTTCAGGTCGCAAAAGACGACCATCCATACCTCCCTTGTCGCCCTCTCCTATATCAAACCCTTCTCCTCCTCTACGAAAACGACCACGGACGTCCAGTTGGCAGCCTCCATCTCACATACCAGACTTTCTCCCACCTTTTCCAACGGCCGACGCGCCTTCGACGCCAGAACTACACCATACACCACACACTACACAGTCTCTCGAACCTCCTCCTTCACTAGTGGAAAATGTGAAGATAGAAAAACCACCACTGACCCTTTCTCAGCCCATCACATCTTCAGCAGCTTCTGATATCCTTGTACAAGTACCTTACTCGCAGTCCACCCTCTCCGCCGTCCCAGAATGGCACCTACCCTCATCTGCACCTCCAGCAGCCCTTCCACAACAAAATAGACCTCCGCGATTGCCAGGCTTGCTGACAGAGCCTTCTCTTTTCGCAGCATATCACCATATTTTAACACACCCACCACCTGCTGTTCCCCCAACGTCAAACCCCGCAAGGCACAGAGTTGCCATGGCCCTTCTTCATCAGACGCAGACAACACCCCGCTGGGAGCCTGCTGACACGCTCTATGCCAGTGTCGGACCATGTCCGCCTCGAGTGGCAGTCATCGGGCCATCGTACCCGATTGCCATCGACGCTAAAGGCGAGGGTAAAGATAAAGACGTCAAGTTTCCTCCCACAATGTCGCGCCCTGTGTCAGCAAGTGAACGCTTGACTCCGTTGATCAGCCAGCAAGTCTCCCGAATACCAGATCTTGCGCGACACGTTCTCCCGGTAAGAGAAAATGTTTAGCACATATTATAAGCTCTACTGACCCCTTTCAAAGCCTACCATCTTAGCGCGCACAAGCAGACTGACTCATCCACCAATTCTCCATCGTGGAACTAAGCCGCTTACTTACGGAAATGGCATACCGGCTCCATGGAACGCCAACGTAATCCCATCCGTCGACGCCGTCCCACCAACACCGCTCGCCACCAAACTCAAGGATGCACCACAAACGAATGGAAAAGAGGCTCCACCGAAGCCCGTCCTTCCCGATGCGCGGTTATACGCTACATGGGATTACGAGCCCAAAGACTTCAAAGTTCCGCTGGCTCCAACACGTACCAGAACCAGACTGGGGAGCATCCACCACGGAGGTGGAAGTATGATATTGCCTGCTGTTTCAAGGAGCAAAGGGACAAAATGAACTTATTGTTGGACTGATATTCGCTTTCCGTTGCTGCTTTGGATGGTATTTGCATTTCGTCGTTGGTTTCACGCATCGTTAGCCGCCGAATAGGGGGGGTTTAATTGTAACCCAATATATACATTATTACAGCTCGACAGAGCAATCTCTAATAAGTTATACCTTGCCAAGGAAAATAGTATTATCGTGCGTATGGATGGAAACCGTGCTGTCCACGATTTGTCGTACGATTCGGTCCAGGTCCTGTGTTCATGCTAGCTCTCGCGTTGTTGACAGCGGCAGCATTCATCATGCCCAGTCCATTCATACCAGGCCTCATCCCCATGGCTGAGTTGGCCATGGCATTACCTCCCATCATCCCAAAGCCCGGCATTCCGCCACCGATTGGACCCATGCCTAACCGCAGGGCATTCACGTTGCCCATACCACCACCCGCAAAGCCATTTATTCCCGCCATCATATTCATCGGGTTCATACCCATGCCACCGAATCCGTTCATTCCCATTCCCATACCCATCATGGGCATATTCATCATTGGCATGGAGCCACCCATCATGGGCATCTGGTTCATTGATCGTTGGAACATCATTGCCATGGGGTTCGGGGACGGGAAAGACGTGTTTGTGGGTTGCGTGAACTGCTGCTGCTGTTGCGTTTCCCGCTCTGTTTCACGAGTATTTGTGATCTTTCCAACGAGGTTGCGTGTTTGTTCACGCTGACTACGTGGTTGCGCGAGCTTCACCTCGATCTAAGCAATTATATTCTGTCAATCTCCCCGTGTTAGTAGACGTAATCACAAACCTCCTTATCATCAAGGGTCAGGCCGATTTTGCCCACCATTTGTTCTGTGTTGCTGGCGTCCTCGAAAGTCACGAAACCGAATCCTTTTGATCTTCCAGATTCACGGTCCAGCATCACGGTTGCGTCAACAACTTTCCCGTACGCGCCAAAAAATTCGCGCATCGAGTCGGATGTTGTGTTGGCAGACAATCCTCCTACAAAATAACGCGTGTTCCGTAGATGTTCTTCCCGTGGTATCGCCCTTTTGGGGTCGATCTAGAAAAGACAACAAGTCGTCAGCAGCGCAATGAGCTGAAAAGGGGATCTCCTACCGCTTTACCATCCAAAACGTGTTCACGGGTAACGACAACGTTGACAGCTGCAGCATCTTCAAAAGTCAGGAAAGCGAAACCTCGAGAAGTGCCGTTTGGCTCTCGCATGATCGTGCATGCGTCAACCTTTCCCTATGTCAGGATTAACGGAACAAGGGGAAGAAACCGGGTAATACCTTTCCAAACTGTTGAAAGTAATCCCTCAGCCCTTCTGCTCGGAAGAAGCAACAGAGTAGGCGGTGATGATTAGTTCTGGTAGGTAAATGCGACATGTGTAAGGAGTAGATACCGTCTGTGGTGTCCCAGTTGAGACCGCCGATGAACATTTTGCTACGGAACCGAATGGAGCCATGACGTTAAAGGATAATGTAGGCAGATAGTAGTAGGTTGAGTAGTCGAGACGGTGCCAAGAACGATAAAGAATATCAGTATCGGCAAGAAAGACACAGAAGTCACGTAAGTCGGTGAGGGTAACGGATGTAAGACGGAGGCAGACGACAGATATATGTGAGCTATGATAGCTGGTGGGTTGTACGTGAGAGAAATACGTAGTCGCGTGGGTTCTCGATTCGAGTAAACGCACACACCACCTGGCTTTCAGACTGGGGTGAAGTGCCTCCTGGCGCGAGAGATGATTTGAACGTGCGGAAAACTCACCCAGCATCATGCATCTCTGAGGGTTTTTTCCCAAACACGCTATTAGGGTCCAAAGACGACTGACCAGAGTCGACTGATGTGGTCACGGTTGGTATTGGATTGGTCGGACGAGTGTCCCTCGGATTTCGAGGAAGTGGGATTTCTGTCCGTTGTTGGCGTTCTTGACTTGGAGTTTGTTGGTAGACCGAGAACTGCTTGGCTATTTGAGCGGAATATGAGAGCTGGGCAGCTTGCGTTGATTGAGCGGAGGGTTTGGCAGGCAGTGAACGATGCGCGTCTTGTCCTGTAAAAGGGGTGCTTTTTGAAGATTGCAGATCGTGTTCCGGTGAAGGCTCTTTCGATTCTTCTGGTTGAGCTTCTTCCTGAGTTTCTTCTTGTTCTTGAAGATCCGCATCCTGAACTGGTACCGCGTACTCGTTGTACTCATCACCGTAGATGTCTACACAATCCGTAAAAAGGGGATGTGAATGGGATGTACGCCTACCTCCATACAAATCTGAGTCGAGGTTGGCCTTTGACATGGTCCGAGTGAGGGAGGTCCAAAGTACAGAAGGTAGGGTAGAACCTGGTCAGAACGTATAAATAAGGAAACCTCAGGAATGTGACCCGTGACCAAAAAAGGGGCCGCCTAACCCCTCAATCCAATGTCCCTTTAAATTTCAATACGAAATTACACAAACAGTACGCTGCTGCACAAAAATCAATGAACCCCATTAACAACCTGTCCATGTTCCAGTCCTTCCCTGAGCCTCTGCTGTGTCCGCTCTGCCGCTGCATCGTAAACATACTTCACTGGAGGACTTCGCCAGCGAGTCTCAATGCTATCGTCCAAATCAGAGTCGCCAGGATCGTCCCCAGGGTATGTGTGATCCTTCTCAAGGTCGTCCCCATTATCTGACGCTGAACATAATCGTTTAGGATGGCACTGCAAGCGAAAAAAAATAATCACGAACTAATAGATTCCTGAGCCTCCTCAACAACCTTTCTTTTTCCAAGCGCTTTCGCACTTGGCCCTTCAGGATATCCTCCCTCATCGTCATAATTTCTAGGTGTTGGTGAATGGTCACGTTGGAGGTACAATGAATCTACGTCTTCATGCAGATGGTGGTCATATCCATTAGTTGCTGTGTAAGGCTCTGTCCCTGGAGAAGGTGTTCTTGAATGAGTAGAGAGCTGACCAGGCGGTCGAGGTCCATGCGGCGCTGGCGGTGGAGCGAGGTTATGGGCTGGCTCAAAATCGTTATTTGCGGGTGAGATACGATGAGGTCGAGGCTGCGCAAGGGCGGTTCGGTGAGGTGAATCTGAAGATGGTGGTGATGGAGAAGGGCTCCGAGATTTCGAACCGCCAACAAAATCGTCGACGCTATTTTCTTGCTCCAATTCCTTCATGGGACTGTCAGGAAAAACCTTCAACTTGAACGAGACCCTGCTCACCCTTCGATTCATTCGAGTCTCCTTACGGCTACGACTTTCAGCCTTTCGCTCCATAGCAACCCTTTCGAGGTCTTCATATTGCTTCAGAGCCTCTACCAACTCTGCATTCGCTTGAAGCAGCGCCGCAAGAAGTTTCTCCTCCACCGTCTGCTCAATCGGCAAATCATCGCCGTCATGATGAGGCTTATTCGACTCGATTGAAAAAGTACGCTTCCGCTCTTGGTCCTTTGCAAGCCTAGACCGTTCAGCACCGGCAGAAGCCCAGTCAATTTGAGCAAAGATAAGCTCTTGAGAGGATTGGCATTTTCCGTAGAATTCCTGATGAAGATGCGTCAGGAATTAGGCAAGAAACAGAGAACGAAACGCACTGGTATAACACTGCCCTTTTTCTTCAAATCTTGAGGCTTGCACACGACTAAAGCTTCGGCGAGCAGGAGAGCATTTCCTTGACCAATTTTACATTCTTCCAGCAACCGACGCATATCTTCTTCTGGTGGTATGATGCGGTTCCGCACCGGAGATCGCCTTTTACGCGGAGGATTCTAAGATGGGAAGTCAGGAATACCGAAATCATATGGGTCTGCTCGTAATGACTGACTGGGGGAGGTGTGGGAGGGATGGCATCTGCAGGAAGGGGACTAGCCTCTCGATATGACACCAATGGAACCTCATATTGAGACAGCCTTCCTGATGCTGGGGGCTGGAACATAGCATCATCAGTGTCAAAAGGAATGCCCTGATTACAAGTTAATAATTGTTAAAGACAACAAACGTCCAAGATACCTCGTCGGGTTTGTCGTAGGGTTTCACTCTTCGCCACAATCCCCTGAAGCCATCTCTATCACCTCTGCCATCCCGTTCTATAAAAAGAGAAAAAATCAGAAGATATCACAAGATCTAATACCACGACAACTTACTGCTTCCACTTGCATAAGCAGCAGCGGCAACAACCTCCAAGAGGCGCTCTCGAACGACGGGTGATGTCCGTGTCGACGACAGCAAATCTTCCAAGGTTTCTAAAAATTTACGAGACATTGATTGGGAAATAAAAACATCAGTCGAGTTTCGCAACATAATGGCCCATAGCTGGATTATTCGCATGTTAAAACTTATTCAGAACTAAATCAAGGAAGCACGTACCCTTGCAGCCGATAATTGCGCTGGTGGTTCACCGTACCTGTCAACGCGCCTCAGTTGCAAAACAAACCGCGTTTAAAGAAGACACGTTACTTGAATTCGCGTCTCAAGGCTCGAACGGCCTCTTTGGCGTTAGCTTCATTCGCAGATGCTCGATCGCAGACCTCCAATACGAGGCCCCAGTCCTCTGACGCTGTAGCGGTAAGATATCCTGTTCATCAAGTTAGTTAACCGACTTAAGCAAAAGAGAGTATTTCTTCATCTCACCAATCATCCGTGTAAGCTCAGGCTGAGTCTCCTCATCTCTACGGCTATCTCGGCCATAGTCACCCCTCCCATCTCTCTCCCTCGCCTTCTCCCTCTCCCGGTCTTTCTCCTTCTCTTTCTCCTTATCTTTATCCCTATTCCAGAAACTCCGCTTTTCCTTCTTCTCTACATGATGATCTCTATTGAAGTCCCGGTGCCCATGATCGGACTGCGTATACCGCTCAACCGAAACGTAGTCCTCTGAATTTGATCGCGAATTATAGTTGTTGATATCTGCGCGTGGGGGATCTAGCGACCGCAGGATACCCAACGCAACAGGTGCAGGGGTCAGCCCTTTCTTCAGCGTCCTGCCGTGATCTTTCTGCTGGTGACCTGGGCGACTGGATATGATGGACGTGTTGGTCATGGCCGGTGACGGAGATCGTACCGGGGGAGGCATAGGATTCGAGGAAGGCGGTGGCGAAGCGCCTGGTGGGAGAGAATTGAAGGATGATGAGCGGGAAACGGGCATTCCTGGCGGAAGCGGATTGGGGAGATGCCCTTGTTCTGAGTAGGGCGCAAGTACATCCCAGCGCTCTATGGATTGCGGAGGCGGAGGCAGGGGCTGTTCTCGATTCTGGACCTGATTGGTAGTTGTAGCATGCTTCTGGTGAATGGGGGTCAATACAGAGTTGTCCTAGAACGAGCGACGCGAAGACGAGGAGCGATGATGAGTTGGCAGCACTGTTGAACCGGTAGCAGACTAATAGCGTACCTCTGGACTGCCAGGCGCAGCGAAATCTCTGGATGCTTTTGTGGCTTTTGATTTGTTGTGTCCGAAAAACTTCTTCATGGTGAGTACGAGCAAATCAGCTAGAACTCGATGCTCAGAATATCAACAACGTCGACGATGAAAACAACCTCAGAACAACCTTAGGATATGTACAATTTTGGTTACAATTGATGAGAAAGCTGTGTTTCCGGACAACGCCACGTGGACCTGAGATGATACAGCAGTAAAGAAATATTCAATGCACTACCAAATTGTGCGCCTCAACTCCAGATACAACTCTACACACGCTGGGAGCACACATACTGTACAGCGTCGAGTTCATCGTCAAGGTCCATTTAATTCACCATCACCGCGGGCGCCTGGATCTCGGCGACTTTCGGTGTTTGGCCCTGCCCCTGCTGTCCAGTGCGTCCTACGGCGGCGCCGAGTGCCTGTGTCCGTAGTGCCAGACCGCGTGTCTTTTCAATGACCGTTTGATAGATGGGCAACGCGGGTCGGTTGATTTCAATGACGTTCTGCAAGATAAACATCATGATATGAGCCAGGACAAGAAATCAAACATCAACGAACCTTTTCCAAATCAATTTTAGCGTCGGCTCCCATTCGTGTCTCCCGGATGAGGTTGACTATCCATTTTTCGCCCTCGTCGCGTGAGAGGTTAAGTCGCTCTGACAGATCTCTGCGAAACGTCAGCCACGAGTTTAAATATACAAATGGCCTTACTCACGCAATGTCGATCTTTTGATGGATCCTGCAATACGCTTCGCTAATCAAATACCGCGCATTATCCAAAAACTCTTCCCTAAATTCATTCAGGAAGAAATCATTCGCCACGACCTCTTCAGCGAGCGCCAGCTCCCTCTGTGCCGCCTCAAAATCAAACTCGATGTACAGCTCCTTCAAGAACGACGTCACTGGGTCCTGGTACTGGTATTCCTCCGTCTGAATAACCTTGACGACCTCTCGGATAGCATTCCGCACACGGGAGGACAAAGGCGCTGATGACGAGGAAGATGTCGCGGTAGTTTTGCGTGATAAGATCGCAGCTGCAGCAAGGTATCGTAGAATCCACGGAGATGATGTCTGAATGGTATTAAGGTACGTGGGTGCAAGGAATGTCTCAAGCAGGAGCGTGCGCCCTTGTGGATGGTTGAAGTAAACAAAGAGAGACCAGTGGACTAGCCATGTTCGGGAGTGGAGCTGAGCAAGAGCAGGTTCAGGGGTGGCGGCGGCGGATGAGGGTGCAAGGAGGGGGGCGGGGGCACGGGAGTCGATGACGTCTCGAAGAGTGTTGAGTTCTTCGAGAGCAATATCCCATTTTCCTGTGAGTATGTCAGAAGCGAGTTTGCCCCAGTGAGCAGAGGTGTTGAGATCGTTGTCGGTGGAGAGGACGCGGAAATGGTATAGATAATCTGCAGCTCCGCTGTAGTTTCCGTATGAATATTGGAATTGACCAAAGTTGTAGAGTGCAGTGATTTGCTCGAGGGTGAGCTATGAAGAAAATCAGGGTGATCGATCGCTGTAGACGTTGATCACAACGCACGTTGTAATTATCCTTTAGATACTGGAGGTTCTGGTTTTTATCCTGACGAAGAGCTTGTGCAACATCCGGGTTTTCAATTACATCCAACACGGCTTGGGCCTCTTGCTGCAAACGCTCGTGTGTTGATACAGCGTTTTTGCGTTTCACGTCAAACTCTGGAACATGACATAAATCAATATAACACAAACTTGATTGGCAGAAACTAACCAGGAGGTACAGGTTGATCTGCGTAAATTTGGGTGAAGAGTTGGACTGCATAGTCGAACATGTTTGTGCCCTTTGCGAGCTCATACTGCGCAGTCTGGACATCCTGATCTGAAAAAATGGAGATCTCCAAGAGATGTGCGAGAAGAGGAAAAGAAAGATGGCGGTCGAGATATGGGATTACGGTCTTTGAAAGATCGTAGTCGGCCATGGTTGCCTTTGGCTAGAACGATGAATGCACAGAAATTTTGGAAGCACAGCCACCAAGTCCCTTGTTTGGCAGCGACGTCCGTCCTCAATAGTCTCCTCACCGTGGCTTGCACTCATGGCTCCCGATAAAGGCAGGCTACTAGATACCCGTCCCGCCAAGAGGCCACGTATTATGGTGGCTGCGGATGGCTTTTCCAAACCGCCCTCAAAGCCAAAGACTCCAGCGCTGAAGCAGAAGCCACCGACGTTCACCTCTGCATTTACCAGTTCCATAGATCATCCTACCCCAAGCAAGGCGACTGCTCTTCGTACACCTCTTAGAACTTTGAAGCCCCTTGCACCCACCTTTGCCGCCCCTCAGTCAGTCAACGATGATGCTCGGCGCCAGCTTCGTCCAGCTCCTCCGCCAGTATTGCATATACCTCACGACACACCGACCGTGACGCTAAAGCATAGACCACCCCCACTACTCAACTTGCAGGCTTCTACATCGAATATTTTGCTAAAGTCCCTACCACCTCCCATGCCAATCGAGACAACGCCTATTCGCAAACCTCCATCCAAGGTATTGAAGCCACTCATACCCCCTATCCTTCCAGAACTTCAACACACTCCAGCGTCAGCTACAAATAAGGAGATGCGGACGATATCCACAACTCATATCGCGCGGGCAACTGATATATCAACTGATAGTGGAGTTAGCGAGCTCGCCTCCATATTTTTGCACGACCAACACCCGGACATTTTACTTTCGAATGAACCCGGGGCATCTGTCCATCATATGAGAGGCCTTGATTTAAGTCCAGAGAAAAAAGGGAAGGGAAGAGCAAAGTTTATCCGGTACTTTTGCTCTATATGCTACTTCGCTCGCCAGCTGACATTTCCATTAGCAACGGATTAGCAGCTCGAGCTTCGAACCTCTTTGACCGATCTCATACATCTCTAATTTTATGGCAGAAAGAGCTCGAAAAGCACCCATCAACAATGTCTTCCCCGGACCTGCGTATGTGCATTGTGAAAATACTTCACAAACCTCTCCCTCCAAGGGGCAAATCGACAACATCTTCACCTGGTATTGCACTTTGTCAGCTGCTCTCAAATGCAACGAAAACATCCAAACTAGACGAACTGCACAGGGTTCTGTTTTCATTCTCTGCCACCTCCACTCACGGTTCGGTTCGCGATCCTGATCAATTCGTCGAAGGCCGCGTTGTTCATATATGGGCCCCTTGGCATGAAATAACAGCTCCTCAACCCAACATTCTCCCTGCTAGTCTGCCTCTTCCCTCATCGGATCCTTTTTGCACTCCCAATCCGCTGGATCTACCCGTCACTGACAAAACGCTGCTTTGCTCACGATTCCTCATCGTTACCCCATGACATTTGTATTTACCAGGATCACCTCATTGCTGTATTATATCACCTAACATTGTCTATCCTTACACATATTGTCTTCCCTTGTAGCTGTCTTGGTGTGATTTGAACAAGGTGATGGCATTTTACCGTATGATCCGTTTTGGGATGCAAACGGAAAGTGAGCCCTCCAGCTCTTTCTAATAACCCTCATCCTTGGTTGCACGCCGCTGCAGCTGAGCATGGCCATCTGACCGTCGTCGATCCCTATTTCACTGCGATTGAGCTTGTCATTCACGTCGTCATACGGTGAAGAGCGTTGTCTTGGTCATCTGACTGCAAATACCCATCCAAGATTCTCCATCGCACACCACCAAGCGAGCAATGCCCCCTTCAGATGCTTTCGATGTAATACCCTACGAGGTATGTCCGCGCCAGTTGCTCCTATCGCTTTTGGGACTCGCGTAGCTCTCCCCGCCGGCGTGCTTACCCCTAAGTAATGAATCATATCATTGACCAGTTCACAGGATATCAAAGGCAATTGGAAGAAGCTAGGTTCAGGTTCTTTCGGGAACGTCTACAAAGGTCTTTGAACAATCCTGCATTACAATCTCCGTCATCTAACTCCAGTCCTAGGAACCTATCTCGGCATCGACGTCGCGATCAAAGAGGTACTCCCCTCCACCGAATACGACGTCGGCAAATACTTTGAGCGCGAATGGCGGCTCATGAAAGAATGCAGGCACCCTAACATCTGCCTCTTCATCGGCCTCAGCCGCGCCCCCGACCCTGACAATCGCATCTTCATCATATCCGAGTTTATCGAGAACGGAAACGCGCGCCTCTACATCCACGACAAGACCAAACCCTTCCCATGGCGCCTCAGGATGTCTTTCGCCACGGACGTCGCGCGCGCACTTGCCTATCTCCACGCAAGAAAGTGCATACACCGTGATCTAAAGGGCGAGAACCTCCTCGTGACAGCCAACGGCCGCCTCAAAATCACAGACTTTGGGTTCGCGCGCATCGCAGCGCGGAACGAGGAAGAATCGAAGAGGCTCACGTTTTGCGGCACCGATTCCTACATGTCCCCCGAGATCCTCATTGGCGACGAGTTTGATCTACCCACGGATATATTCTCGCTTGGGATTATTTTTTGCGAAATTGCGGCTCGTAAATTGGCGGATGATAGTCATTTTAAACGCACCCCGCCTTCGTTTGGGATTGATCCGGACGAAGTGAGGAACCTTGCGAGTCCGGGGTGTCCCCCTGATTTCCTGCAGCTGTGCCTTGACTGCTTGGACGTGGAACCCGCTAATAGACCAACCACGCGGGACATCCTCGAACGTCTGCGTACTATTGAGGCTGAAGTTTTGTTACGCCCGACAGAGGGAGATGACACTAACGTTGGGAGTGTTAGATTTATCTCTGGAGGGAAGCGACCGCCTGCTGGACGGATACCCAGCTTCGGTGTGGGTGTCGGTAAAGACATTAAAGGCAGCAGCACCGATGAAAGCGATGACGAGCTCTTTGAAGCCGTCTTGGGGCTTTCTACTATCAAACTCAACAGTGACATGAGTAGCAGCACATCGTTGAGTAAGTCATCTACTCATTTTCCATTGAAAGCGTCAATTTAACAATCGCGAAAATAGGCAAAGAGCCACTTTTGCAGAGCAAACGTTCTTCCTCAGGTTCAGAATACAGCACAACCGTTATCCGCCACCCATCCCATCCGACCTCATCCGCACCTCCGCTTTCATCTATCCTTACCATCCGACCTTCCCCTGATCCGAATGACGATTCACGTCCAGTCCTCCCAGCAACACCTCCCTCTGCCTCGCCATCTCCAGGAGCGTCTTTCAATGGTTCAGCACTAGGTCGCGAGGATCACGACCCACTCGACACCGAGTCGCTCCTATCAATCGCCTCCCTAGACTCCTACCGCACAGCTGCCTCTTCGTCCTCTTACATCTCCAGCACATACGCAACGGAGGGCGGATCCACCATCCGCTCCCTGCAAGGGAACTACGTCATGCCAATGGTGCACCGATTCACGTTGTTGAAGCCAGGAGCCAAGCCCAAACGCAATAGCGGCGCAGTCTCTTCTGCAGAGGTCACCTCTGGATGGAACCCTCTGGAGATATTTTTTTCGAGCGGGTCCCTTGTGTCTAAATGTGATTTGTGCGCGAAGAGGTTTGGGTGGAAGCCCATGTTGGAATGCGATGATTGTGGTTTAAGGTTTGAGCTTTACCACGTTGGAATAACTATGCTGTATGTGCTAATCACGTTTACAGGACTCATGTCAAGTGTGGCGAAGTAGCCCCGCGCGATTGTGGTACCCGCCCACCTCGTCAAGGTTCTCCACTCAGTGCCATCTCACCCCTCTCCAGGGTCAAGCAGAACGCAGCCAACGCAAGCGACGGTGCTAAACCCAAATCAAGATAAACAAACCTGACGAATACCGTTATGAAATCACGATCAATACCACCAAATCAGCTGTGCACTTAATAAGTTTTTCCCCTTCAGATTGTCTTACCGATACCTTGCGATGTAAATTATTAATTCCCATGGACGATGGCAGCGTAGAGAGACGACGTAATGAGGCTCCATGGCCTTCAGCGTATACACCATCATTTTATACCAGCACGAACGAACGACTTCGAGTGCCTTTTTCCGATTTTGACCCCATTGTAGTTGACACTCGTACTTTCATGCGATTCTGTTTTACTTTGTCCTCAACCCTCTAATCTCTGACCCCAGTTCCAGGGCTCGTTTACCTTCCAACCATAGCATAGCCTCTGTATCAAATTCAAGTTACTCCAACAGTTTTCGAAAAATGACGAGACAGACCTTTGTATGTTTTTGGCACCACCTGACGAGGTGGAGAAGTGGTAACCTCCTCGGGATCCTGGCACCACGTAAATCTGAAATCATTCGTTGTCTGTTCTGACCCTGTTTCGACGTCGACTACATTGGCCTTGACACCGACATGCTACGGAGAAAGTTAGTGGAATTGAAACGATTTTTATTGTATGAAAATTCGCCCACAACGATGACGGGATGCTCTGGGGTCGATGCCGTGTGTAGGATACATGACCTGAGGCGCAAGATGCCGCCAATAGGAACGGGGCGAGCGAAGGATATCCCGTCGAGCGACAGAAATCGTACATGTCCACGGGTGAACATACTTGCGTTGGTGAAGCCAAGCTGGTCGTGTGTCAATAAGCAAGCATATTCAAACGGGCGAAATGAACGAGATACCTCATACGCCAGTCTCATCAAATAACCGCCGAAGACTTTTTGATGAACACTAGATGATGAGAGTGAGAAGATATGCTTCAGAAAAAGGTTTCAGTTTCAGCACTCACTTTCGTTCCTGCGGAAACATCAACATACACTTTTCTATTGTAGTATCGCCCATCCACACCCTCTCCTTGTTTTCGACATCAGTTCCATCTTCCTCCTGACCATGCTCAAGGTAAAAGGAGTGTAGATCCGCCGCTTCCGAAGAGCTCGGTGGTACACGCGACAGGGAACGCAACGCATTCGACTGGCGGTTTTTTTTCATATGTTCGCCTAGTGAGTACAGAGCGCGTTCCTCGGGGGTTGAGATTATGAGTGGATTAACTTTGCTGGCGCGATGGGTTGTAGCGTTCCTGCATACCATCGAGAACCGACCTATGAACCACCCGCCAATATCAGACAGGTCGTTGATGTAACTCGACTGTGAGATATACCTATCATGACAGTTTCCTCCGGAATACCGTTGCCGATAGATTCCATCTTTACAGCGACTTCCATTGAGCTAGTTCCGGTGTATATAACTTGCCCACTTATCCTCAAGTCGCGGCCTGGGTTCAGAGGCGAAAGCATGTCCAGTCTAAATAATGTGATAAAAGGGGGCACGAGCGCTAACAGAAAATGATCTCACCTGTCTACAGAAGCTGTCACAATGTAAAAGCCGCGATCTTGTATACGACCAAGAGCACGGACGCTGGGACCTAACATGTGCTTATACGCGATAGACCCCGCTAGAGAGTCGAGATTCTCCATTAATCTATATCCTCCATTTAGCCAGGTACGTGGAAAGTTAAGAGCAAGAATACACACTTTCCGGTTCGAATGCCACCTGATGCATTGGTGTACTGTTCCAAAATCTCGGATGAGGAGCCGAACGGAAGAACGAGCTCGGAGTAGGAGTCGTGCATGTTTCTTGGGGTAAGCGAATCCTCAGAAAAGGCTGGCGGGGTAGACCCACTATCCGACGGCGCGCTTTCCAGCGCTGTTTGCTTAACAAGTGCTTCGGACCACAAGATTGGTGTCCTCATCGGCATGACACTGCTCGCATGGGCGTTGAACAACTAATGGGTGAGGCAATTGGCTGGCACTCACCTGTGGTAAACTGGGTCGGATCTCTGACCTGTATAAAGACGAATGTGTTCATTTTAAACGCGAAACGCAGCAATGCGAGACTCACGAACCACCTTCAAAAGACGGTCCATGGAGGCGACATCTTTGTTTTCCTCTGCGACAGAGGCAGAGACAGCGGTGCCTCGCAAGACTGCTGACTGGTGTAGAAAATGTGCCGTGCGCACGAGCCTAGAGACGCGTTGAGGTATTCCGGGCATCGAGTCAAAGGTGGAGAGGGCAATCGTCGCAATTTCATGGTTGCAACTCGATATCGACCAAGGTCGCCGGCTCGGCCCGGGTTTCCTACTTAGGCGCCTCGTTGATGTCATTCCCCTGAAAAGTTCAAGCCTCTATAGAGCCAGAGGTTGTTCTAAGCTTGTTTTCATCGTTGACGTTGATATCCTGAGCATCTAGCGACTACGAGGTCCAGCAAGCTGATTTGCTCGTACTCATCATGAGGAAGTGTATCAGACAGAACAAATGAAAAGCTACAAAAGAGTTCACTGCTAGAATTCGCGAAAGAGGTACGCTATTAGTCTGCGGTGCTGCCAACTCATCCTCGCTCCTCGTCATCGCGTCGCTCGCATAAGGACAACCCTGTCTTTAAGCCGATTCACAAGAAGCAGGAGGAAGCAAGCTATACATACCAATCAGGTCCGAGTTCAACGGCCACTGCCTCCGCTTCCTCAATTATTTAAAACACTAGGCGCTGGGATACACTCACGCCCTACTCGCCATCTGTGTATCCTTCCAATCCATGCCCTCCTCCTCCAAACGTGGGTTGAGATCCTTCGCGCCTCTCGAGTCTCTCTCAGTTCCTCAAAAACCCTGGTTACTTTAGTGACTGGTCAAGTCCATTGGACTTCCCATTTGCTGTAGAGCCAATGTAGAGAATCAATCCAACCAAGGAGTTTCGGCGCTAACGAGAGATGACTGCAAGGGTCGGGTCTTGTGACTGCAATGATTGTTGTTGTTGATGCATGATGATCTGGACCTCATTTATATTTGCATCACCCCGTGTACTTTCTTGTTCTCATACCACCTTCCTCATGGCTCAAATCATGTATCGTCAGTATGTCGGGGAGTCTGATCTTCCCCAGATTATGGCCCTCGTTCAGAATGAGCTTAGCGAGCCCTATGTCATCTACACTTTTCGCTACTTTCTCCATCAGTGGTCAGTGCGCCGTGGTCGTGTGACTCATTCACATCACAGCTAACACGCATTTGTGCCCTTTTGCAGGCCCCATCTGTCTTTCTTAGTGGGTAACCCATCTTCGCCACAGTGCACTTGCCTCACGTCGTTATCAGGCATACCCCAGCGACCCAATGAGTTCAGACCCAATAGGCGTCATCGTATGCAAGCAGAGTATGCATAAGGATCTCACGAACAGGGGATACATCGCTATGCTTAGCGTTGACAAGGGTTGGCGAAAACGTGGTATAGGTTCGTCACCCCCTCGCCCCTCTTTTCACCCCTCACAGAATATCTTAGATTATGGGGAAACCACCTCTGGTGCGGACTCTCTTTTTTTCCCCCTTTTCCCTTTTAGCTAGTGCACTCGTTCGAAACTCCATTGAAGCGATGAAATCTGATGGCGTGGAAGAGGTCAGTTCTCCATCATGGGCCCGTATTCGGTTCCACACTGACTCTTTTGATGCAGATCGTTCTCGAAACCGAGTTCGACAATTACGCGGCGCTTTCCCTATACGAATCCCTCGGCTTTATCCGCGAGAAGAGGCTTTTCCGATTCTATCTCAACGGCAAGGACGCTTTTCGGTTGATTCTCGCTGTACCTCCCTCTTCAGACACTGACGAATCCGACTCGACGAGCTCCCCCTCCTCTAGCAGCCGAACTCGATACCGGCATCGCCCTTATCGTGCAATCCGCGTGTCATCCTATTCGGACGAAGAAGATGAAGATGACGTGTCTTCTCGCTAGTTGATGAAGATAATATTTTTCCTAATCTTGCTGCCCGTCACGAATTGTGTATACTCCAGTGTTACTTCCACTTCCCTCGCATTTCGATATCCCAGCGACCTACTTTACCTGTTTTGTTGTAATGTTATGTCATTGTAAATTAGCTTCCCCCAACGTCGATCAGAAGTATGGTCTCCCTTATGTAGCCAGATTATGTGTATTGATTGAGGCTATGAACACGACACTGATACAAGTAATGCCGGTCGTGGTGGAGTCCGGTTCTTCGCTGGGTGTATCAAGTATGTATGGTTCACGGCTCAGCAATTGGTACTTGAGGGATTATATTATTTAAATAAGGCGGCTCTGACTCTGCTACTTTGTGCTCAAGATTTTAAGGTGCCAACTCCCCGGGAATATAAAGTAATTACAGCTCGTCGTGGTCACGAGTAATGTCATCGTCATCTTTACCAGGTGCACCTCCAGCACCTCCCTGGTAGAGTTTTGTCGTGATAGGGTTAACAACGCCTTGCACCTCTGATGAATAAAACGATTGATTCAGTTCGTCAAGTCATGAAAAGCGAAACGTAGAATGGAACGCACCAGCCAATTTCTCCTCCAAATCCTCGACACTGGCGCTTGAGCCGTTCTCCTCAATCCAATCAGTAGTCTCCTTGACAGCGGCCAAGATAACCTTCTTGTCGTCGTCCGAGACCTTGCCGCCAAGACCTTCCTGATCACCGAGCTGAGTCTTGAGACCATAAACGAACGATGACAACGAGTTGAGGGCCTCGATTCTCTTTCGCTGAGCTTCGTCCTCAGAAGCGAATTTCTCAGCCTCAGCAACCATGCGGTCGATTTCTTCTTGGCTGAGACGACCCTTCTCGTTGGTGATAGTGATACTCTCAGACTTGCCACTGGATGATATTGTCAATTGACTAAGAAACCCGGAAAAACGTTCATAAACTTACGTTCCCTTGTCAGCAGCGCCAACCTTCATAATGCCGTTGGCATCAATCTCGAAAGTGACCTCGATTTGAGGAACACCGCGTGGTGCAGGAGGGATGCTGGAGAGTTCGAATTTTCCGAGGAGGTTGTTGTCCTTGGTAAGCGAACGCTCACCCTCGAAGACTTGAATGAGAACAGTAGGTTGGTTGTCAGCGGCGGTGGAGAAGCTGCGGCAGGTTTAGCCCATAGTCAGATCAATAGTAATAATAACTTACATCTGGCTCTTCCTTGTGGGGATGACCGTGTTACGGGGAATCAACTTTGTGAAGACACCGCCAGTTGTCTCGATACCAAGGGTGAGTGGGCAGACGTCGACGAGAACGACGTCCGCTGTGCCTTCAGCACCAGAGAGAATACCACCCTGGACAGCAGCACCATACGCGACAGCCTCATCAGGGTTGATGCCCTTGGAGGGTTCCTTTCCACCAAAGTATTCTTTAAGGAGCTGTTGAACCTTAGGAATACGAGTTGAACCTCCGACAAGGACGACCTGTTGTGATTCGTGAGCAGATACATCAATAACAAAGAGGACATGACATGTACTTCGTTGACATCTTCCTTCTTGACATTGGCATCCTTCAATACCTGCTCAACAGGCTTCATGGTCTTCCTGAAGAGATCCATGTTAAGTTCCTCGAATTTAGCCCGTGTAAGAGTCTCGGAAAAATCGTTGCCGTCCTCAAAGCTCTCGATTTCAATGCGGGTGCTCTGTTGGCTAGAAAGCGTCCTCTTTGCCTTTTCGACTTCGCGTTTAAGTTTACCGAGAGCGCGGAGGTTCTTGGACACGTCGGTACCAGTCTTCTTCTTGTATGCCTTGATCATATAATCAATAACGCGGTTATCGAAATCTTCTCCTCCAAGATGGGTATCCCCGGCAGTGGCCAAAACCTCGAAGACACCGTCGTCGATGGAGAGAAGGGAGACATCAAAGGTACCACCACCGAGATCGTAGACAATGATTTGGGATTCCCCGCCCTTCTTGTTCAAACCGTAGGCGATGGCGGCCGCGGTTGGCTCATTGATGATACGCAAAACCTGGAGGCCAGCAATAGTTCCGGCGTCCTTGGTTGCTTGACGCTGAGCGTCGTTGAAGTCTACACTCAAGGTAAGCTGGGCAGTGGTTAAAATAAGCAGGGGTACGAGCAGGCTGGAACAGTGACAACGGCGTGTGTAACCTTGTGGCCAAGGTAAGCCTCAGCGGTCTCCTTCATTTTTCCTAGAATCATGGCGCTGATCTCTTCAGCGGACTACAAACAACTGATGAGCGCTTGATTCTAAATCGACAAAAATGTTACTCACAAAGTCGCGATCCTCGCCCTTATGTTTTACAGTGATGGCGGGCTTTCCATGTTTCTCCGAAACTTTGAACGGCCAGTGCTTCATGTCACGAATGATATCCTGATCGTCCATCTTGCGACCGATGAGGCGCTTCGCGTCGAATACTGTGTTTTGGGGATTAGAGTGGAAAGCGTTCTTCGCGCTGTCTCCAACCCTGAGTTGTGAAAGTTAGCCAGAGTGTTCGTGCGAGTATTTAGCTGTAAACGCACAGTCGTTCCTCATCCGTGAAGCTGACCCATGATGGTGTTATGCGGTGACCCTGGTCGTTGGCAATAATTTCAACAACGCCCCCTCGTTGTACACTGAGAATGGCAATTAGTAAGATGTAAAGTTTCAAAGGGAAGAACCCACCCAACACATGAATAACTGAATGCCAGCGCATACCGGTCAGCGTTGTTGGATCAAGAGAGAATGAAAGCGTACGTTGTGCCCAAGTCTATATGTAACGTTGTCAGCGGTGTTCATAGGTCGTCATTGAAAATGGCACATACCAATACCAATTACAGTTCCATATTCTGGATGAGCCTCTTCGGCCTGGACGGCAGGAGGACAGAGACAAAGGAGGGCCAATAGGGCGAAGAAAACGATAGAAAAAGAAGAGAGAAGACGCCTTGAATCAGCGCGCGTCGGACGACGGGCGGGACCAGACATGATGGTAGTCGGGGGAAGAGATGTTGTGCAGACTAAATTTTGAGATGGGCTTTTCTATTTATTCGTTTTCGATCTGACGTGTCAGTAGACGTGGCTGTGTGTCACGTGAGTCTACAAACACTTTACGATTCTTGTGATTGACTACCAACTAGCGGCTACAACTACGGGGCAACTACTGCAGCGCTAAATCACTCCCCGCATGGGTATCACGCCAGTCCCGGAGTAGGAAGATTCAAACCGTACACGCGATTCGAATTGTGGAAGAGCGCGTTCCTCACAATTGTCACCGCGTCAGCCTCGCTCAGCTCCTTGTCATCAATCATCGTCTTGAGAACCTATATATGTCCATCGATATCAGTTCTATGATACCCTCGAAGGCCCTCTTACCTCGTACATGCCTTGGCGCGCTTGATACGATCCAAGATAGAACGACTCGGGCCACCAACGCCCATCACCTGCATAACAAGTAAGCTCTCGAACATAAACCGGCATGGAAACGAGGGCCCATACTCGACCACATAATTTTATTTGTGGGGCTTAGTTCGAGGACTTGCTGAATAATTGACCGCTGACCTGGACCAGATACAAGGGGAAAGACCTTCAGGGATGGGCCGAGTTGGTAGAGGTGTGGCCAAAAATGAAATGCATACCTCGCTAAAGTCAAGGTATACGTTGGAATACACGGCCGTCAAGTATCCCGCTTCTCGAGTGTAGGGATAGGACGAATGCAAAAGAACGAATTTAGTCTTTGGGTACGCTTTGATCAACGGCTGCATTTCCGCTGGCGAAGAGAGGGACAGAGTAATGTCGTTGTCTCCCAGTCCAGTGTGGAATTGTACTGATTCAATGATAAACCGTTTGCTATTTTGCGGCAGCTACAGGGGCACTTACCAGGTATGTCATGTTCACTCGCCATTTCCACCGCGATCCGAACAACCAGATCATTCAGAGCCTTGTGCGCCAATCGAAGTCGCCCTTCTTCCTTGTACGATTTGAACAGGTCGACCAACGAAGACTCGAGGCTAGCTGCGCAGCTGACGATCGCGACGTTTAACCCTGTACGATAGCAAACAATTGACTTGAATCCAACTACATTTGAATCTCCTGCGCTCTCTTTCAAGCGTTTTGTCAAAGACGCCGTAAAGGCTTCCAAGGCAGCCTTCGTGCTGAGGTTTAATTGGAAGATGTCCTTGAGGATTCCCTTCACCACAAGCGGAGTCAGAATAGCGTTTTCCTAAATAATCTCAACAAACCTACTTCAGCTATTACCTCTACTCTCAGGATCCGTCTCGTTGGACTATTGGTGAACTGATCGTGCCATGTGTAATCCTCAGCGAAGTCATCAGAACCACCCAGCCCATCATCAATTAAAATGCACTGAATCCTCGCCGGCTCAAAACACATCTTACACAATTCCACATAGTTGAACGACGCTCTGGCCAATTTCAAGTCATCCCAAGAAGCTCGTTCATCCAAATTATATAGGCGCCTGATTTGAGCGGTCGCGCGTTTACATGCAACCGTATGGATGGCATCCTGAATTAAGGCATCGCCTTGAGCCTCAGATACCAGTCCCTCGAACGGAAATCTGTCTCGGTGCTCTTCACGCAAAATTGGGTGAGCGTGGCTGTCAATAGCGGGGTATGAGAAGGCAGCTTCGTAGAGCTTGGGATAGTGGCACTCGAGATCTTGTCGCATCTTGGAAGCGCCCATATCACTGTTGTCGGCTGGAGCGGAGCCCGATGATAACCGATTCGTCCAACTTTATCTTATCAGATCATTTCCCAACATTCCTTTCTTTCCTCCTACTTCAACATGCCGATAGATTTGAAAATTCTCGACGAAGCCATTCGAGTGGCACTTCCCGTCTCGCATCTCGATATAGAGGATCAATCGAACGGCTGTGGCGATTCCTATGCCATTGTCATTGTCAGCGAGGTAGGGTCACTTTCCCCCCCGCTAGTTTCCTATGCTGAATTGTCTTCAAGGCGTTTAACGGAAAATCTACGCTTGCGCGTCATCGTATGGGTGAGAGGCGAGCTCGGTTTCTGGTGCAGCTTCGACGACTTTTCCCCCACAGTGAATGACCTGCTGAAGGATCAGATTGCGCAGATGCATGCGTTTTCCCAGGTGATTGTTCAACCGAATACGTGCGGTCCCATGTGAGATGAACTCGTTACCACAGAAAACGTACACCCCTAAGCAGTATGAGGAGTTGAAGGTCAAAGATCCTTCAAATGTGTAGTAGCTTTGCGCTTGTTTGGTCTTCTCTCTCAATTATTCTTGCACATTACGACTCTCGCTCAGAGTCCCTCCCATTCTGATAAATCGAAGGGTATCGCACATCCGACTCGATGAAAATTTCCAACAAGGTGAAATATTACTTTGTGTGAAGCCGAAATATGCCGAATTCGAAGTTCCGTATTTCTACTTTTGCCAAACTCCCAGCATAATAGATAGAGCCACCAAACGGACGACGGGGGAACTCGGCAAGACCTGAAAGCGCTGACGCGTTGATTTGGGGTTGATCAGAAGTGACCAATCCGGGTTTGAACAAGCTTGAAACAATTTTGACCAACGAGCTCATCAAAAAATCTCTGTTCAAGTCAGTCGTCATGACTTTCAAGTCCTCATATCCACCCTACGACCCCACCGATAAAGCAGGGTCAGGAAGTCATGGATCTTGTGACTTTGCGACTTGAACTAACTTGACGATGTGACAGATTCTCGTGCGTTTTGTTCCCGCTGAACCTGGCCAACTCTAGGAACTAAAGATTCGCTCAACGCCAGTTACGAGACCGTGGTCAGGCGTTGGCCTATAATCATCACTGGCGTAATCGATGACGTTCACCAAGCATGCCATCTTCTCTCGCTCGAAGGCCAGAAAGTTAGTGGGGAACTGAAGGCGTCGGACTCGTCTACGAAGTCAGACGAGGGTAAGGAGATCATCGCAAAAATCAGCAAGTTAAAGTATCAGATGGGGAGGGATCACCCTTTAGAGTGAGTCGAATGTGTACCCCTGCGTTTGTTTGAGGTGATATTCATGCTTCCACAGCCCTCTCCCCGACGACGGCGGACCGCATATTACCACCTATAACGATGAGTTAATGGCCTTGGAAAAGGACAAGAAAAACACCTGGTTTACGGCTCCGTGGCTTTTTGCAGAGTACGTCAAGCAAATGCCGAGGTCGCGATACTTTAGCAACAGTTCGCCTTATTTTTAGGTGTTATTTGTTAGTGAATTGCTGGCCAAGTTAATGCTGGTTCGCCGAAGCTAATTTTGCACCAGATATCGCCTTATACGTTCTTTTTTCGCTCAAACCGAGCACTGGGGCTCTTATGACCCTTTCAAAAAACAAAAGGTCAAGACTTTCCAACAATCTGGGGCATCCATCCTTCGTGCGTCAAGTTTTGCTTTCATTGGTGATTCTGACCCCTCTCCAGAAATTGCAAGCTCTGTCTACGAATTGGACGCCGTTGAGGACGAGTTGAAGTCAGATCCCCAGAAGCTCGAGGTACTTTTTACGGAAATGATGCAAATGTGCCTATGGTAGGGCGTCAACTACCTTCGTTTATCATTAACTGATGGATGTTTAGGGGGAATGCAACCGTGAGTCAAAATGTTGCCAAAAATCAAAATCGGGCTCTAACGTCTTATGCGCACCCAGGACTTGTCCTTGTTAACCCACATTTCTCAGGACGACATCAAACACTTACAATCCGTAGGCAAACATGCTCAAGCTGCAAGAAAACAATTCATCCTGAAAGATGATCAAGCTGAAGTTTGGAAGCACGTACAATCTCTGCGTGATGCTCGCGTCGATTTCGTTCTTGACAATGGTAAGATGATCATCGTTCATTTTCCTGTCACAATTAATCAAAGTCTATCTCCAGCTGGCTTCGAGGTTGTTTGCCTTTTCATCCAATCCATTCACTGCTAATATTGAGTAGCTATTCACTGACCTAGTATTTGCCGATTTTCTCGTGACCTATACTCCGAATGTTTCGCGAGTGTGTTTCCAGTACGGTCCCGATATTTTGTACTCCGCAACAAAGTTGCTAACGAAACATCAGCCCAAAACTTATCCCTTGGTTCGTTTCCGATGTAACGCCTCACGATTTTGTGCAAACCTTTGCGTTCCTTTCGGACGGGCCCTTTGCTCACCTAGAATCCACTGATCTTGCTTCTCCCGCGCACCTGAAGCACATGGTGTCACGATGGCAGAAGTACCTTGAACAAGGTATTTTCTCCCTTTCGGTCCCGGTTGATACGCCTCTAGGAGGCTCGACGGATTCTACAATGGCCGAATTCTGGTCCACGCCACATCCTTACTGGAATATGAGGGACTTGGATTCTGGGTTATACGAAGAACTCGTGGGGAGTGGACTGGTCATCTTCAAGGCGAGTTACCTCTCACCCTCACAAGAACCCATATTGATAGATTTATAGGGTGATTTGAAGTACGTGTACCATCTTCGCCAAACTTGGGAGGGCTAACAGCGAACTGTGTCTGAAGTTACCGCAAGTAAGTTACCGGTTACTGCTACGTGTTCGCTTGATTTCTCGGTCACCACTGACTATGATTAGGTTGACAGGGGATGTTGCGTGGCCTGCATGGACCTCTTTCGAATCAGCACTAGGTGTGACTAATCAATGCTCTCATACACATCTTTCTTACCTTTTCCAGGCCCCCTCGCAGGTTCATTCCCGTTGTTGAGTCTGAGGACCAATAAGGCGAATGTTGTTGTCGGGGTAGACAGAAACACCGTTGAACGTCTCGAGAACAGCGGGGAAAAGTGGCGTGTTGATGGAAGGTAAATATGATTTCACCATGCGATTCGTCTGCTCATCAAAATTCCATCGCATATAGATATGCCCTCATCTCATTTCTTCCATCAAAGTGAAGCTCGAGCATTATGTAGGAGAAGATGATACTAGACCGTCAGGTGGCGTTGATTATCGAGTAAGCTACAATAATGCAATCTCCTTGCCTTACCATTACGCACACTCTTCCGCTGCAAAGTGATCTCTACGTATTGCTAACCCGGCAGCGAAATACGTAAGAGCCTCTCCACCATGGAGATTAGCAGGTCTGGGTTTTACTATTTAACAGATTTTGAAATTTTAAGCTTTCTCTACTGCCCCCTCAAGGCGTCCCTCTAAACGACGATGATGCTCATGCGACGCTTATATCCATTCCTGTTAATCGCCATTGCTGGCGGGAGACCATCTGCAAATCCTCACCATCATCAAGTCTTGGTCCTAGGCGGTGGCGTCGCGGGCATTATCGCAGCACGAAGCCTCCACACTAAGGGCGTTGACGACTTCGTTATCATCGAGGCGCGAGATGAACTTGGAGGTCGGATGCGAAGTCACAACTTTGGTGGGATGACTGTTGAAGTCGGTGCTAATTGGATACAAGGAACTCAAGTGCCCGGTGGGCCCGCCAACCCCATCCTTGACCTGGCCATCAAGCACAACTTGAAGACTCGCGCTAATGATTGGTTTGGCAGTATCAGTACGCTCATTGTCTTCTCTCCATTGGTTCTAACGTTCGATGCTTCTCGAGCAGCAACGTACGACAGCAAGGGCGCGACTGATTATCTTGACGTCTTCAAAGCTTCAGTTGATCACTTTTCCAATTTAACGGTTCTTGCAGGTATGTCGAGATACTACTTTCTTTTAGCCTTCCACAGTTAGCAGCTTCACTTCAGGGACTCGCGTTGACAAGAAGTTGGTTGACGTGACTGGGCGAACTGGCTATTCGTTAATCCCGCCGAGGAAAACGGACGACCACTCACGGGCATCGGAATATTACCAAGTGCGTCAGTGGGGTCGAGGATGCACTCCGCTGTCGGCTTACACTCATTGGTGCAGTTTGATTGGGAGTATGCTCAGACGCCTGAGGAGTCGTCTTTGATCGCAGCTGTTTGGGTGATGTTTGCGCGTTTCGATCGAAATCACAGTTGTTGATGAACAAAATTTCCAGGGAAACAACTTCACTTACAATACAGACGAGGGCGGGTTCTCTGATGATAATCAAATGTCCATTGACCAGCGTGGCTTCAAGTACTTGATCCAACAAGAGGCTCAAGAATTCATAAAGCCCGGAAATCTGATGCTAAACGCTACTGTCAAATCTATATCATACTCAAACAGCGGCGTTACAGTTACACTCACTGATGGAAAGAAAGTAACAGGAAGTTATGCTATTTGTACCTTCAGCTTGGGGGTCCTTCAAAATAATCGCGTCGAGTTCCAGCCACCATTGCCGGGTAAAGTGCACTCATCCTTGACTGATCATCACGTTAATTGCGACGTTAGCCTTCAAAGTGGAGGCCATTCAGAGCATGACTATGGCAACATATACAAAAGTGTTCCTCCGCTTTCCCAAGAAGTTCTGGTTCGATACGGAGGTGAGAACCTAGTCTGGCCTTACGTCCTGGATTGCTAAGCCTGGAATCCAGATGGCTCTATATGCGGACGCCGAACGGGGACGCTATCCGGTATGGCAGAGCCTTGATCATCCCAATTTCTTCCCCGGATCTAGAATTCTCTTCGTGACAGTAACTGTAAGTCAGATTCAGTTGCGCCTGAAGTTATATCCAGCTTATTTTGTTGTATTAGGGTGATTACTCGTTAAGAATAGAACACTTATCTGATTCACAAGTCAAGAGCGAGATTATGGGTGTATTGAGAACAATGTTCCCAAACGTCACAGTTCCAGAACCCACAGACTTTTTCTTTCAGCGGTGGAATGATGATCCCTTGTATCATGGCTCATATTCAAATTGGCCCCCATCTTTTTTTAGTGAACATCATGACAATCTCCGTGCTAATGTCGGCAATCTGTACTTTGCAGGGGAGGCTACAAGTACCAAATATTTTGGTATGTGCATAAGTTGCTGGTATGCTGGTTGTGTTCTGAATGATATATCTGTAGGGTTTTTGCATGGAGCATATTTTGAAGGACTTGCCATTGGTCAGATGGTTGCGGGTTGCATTCATGGTGAAGGATGTGTAGGTTTGAAGCAGGTGAACGATATTATCAACTTGCATCCATACGAGATACCCAATGGTACTTCAGGTTAATTACCATTACATCTCTTATCATCTTAGTTCTGTCCATTTTGTTTCCCGTTTTACTTTTGACTTCCTTACAACTTGCACAATTTTCTCTTACATTGTCTTTCAAACCATGCCTACATGAAGCTTGGGACTGATTCACTCTCAGAGACTCTCTTTTTTTGTAGCCGCTTTATCACTAAAATATACTGTCAATATTACCTACATTTATCAATGCTGCCTGAAATTTTAATTTGAGTAACACTCAAGTGAATGCTCAGTTTATAGGAAGGCTCCAAATAGGTACCAATTTTATTTCCAGCACATGCTTACCAGTTTACAAAATAGTGACACTTGATAGCTGTTTTTGTATTTATCCCACCATCAATTTGTAGACTATCTTGAAACCATTTGTAAGTAAAAATCTACATTGCTACTCTGTCATGTTACTTGTATTTATAAACCAATGTGAATAAATGGCACCCAGTGTAATAATTGTGCACCTTCCTTTTTGCGAAGATGTTCAACAGCAATATGGAGTGCTTTTGCTGCCCTTTTATGGTCTGGTTGCTCATCCTTCAAAAGTTCAGCATATACTAAATCAGAAATAACAGGACCATCATCATCCTTCATTGACCACATTGTTGCAATAACACCTTGATATCCTACTAAGAGCATCCCACCTGCCAAATGAACAGCCTCATCTGTCAACAGTTTGTCACCTGTAGCTGTCTGACAAGCAGATAGAAAGGCAAATCTGGCTTTGGGAAGATTCATCTTGACAATTTCCCTTAGTTCTAGGTGCTTTCCTTTGTGAAGGATTAAAGCACTCTTGAGTGGATCATCAACTCTTTGCACACCATGGCAGGCAAGATGTATCCAAGTGCAGTCTTGCATTTCTTTTGCAACACTGTCAACAGTTGCCTGGGATCCTCCCAAAGATATAACAGAAAGTCCCTTGGCATGAGTTTGGATTTTTGCAACTTCTTCCTCAGTCTTTGGAAGAGCTGCTTGTCCTTGTGCATTTGCTTGGGATATAGCCAAGATCTTGACAGTTTCTGAAGAAGAAGTTGAGGTGCTGGTAGACAGCAATGCAGACAAAGTTGGTGTGTAGGAAGATATGAAGTAGTTTCTGATGCAGTCTTCATTTTTATTGTATGATCCAGCTGCATGAAGTGGTAGAAATGCAAATGGCCCAGATGGACACCACCAAATGTGTGGTAGCTGGTGGGGTAGCTTTTTCTATTGAATAAAGGTTAGCTAAATAAGTTAAGAGATGCTTCAAAAAAAGAAACTGACCTGAGCTTTCATCTTCTTGATGATTGGCATTGTGACCTGCTCCCAGAGAATTTGTAGAATAGGTGCAAGTGGATCTTGATTTTTAGTTTCCCCACCTGGCAGCAATTCCCTAAATTTTTTATATCCATGGCCAATAGCATGCTTAGCATCTTCCCATATTCCTCTAGATAGCAAACCAGTGTTCAACAGCAGAGAGGCCAGATCTTCTTGAAGTTCCTTAGCTTTGCCAAGAGTAATTGGCAATTTGATATGATCAGTTGGAGCAGTTCTGCTAAGAATCAAAGCATCACACTGCTTTGCTTGAGCATTGATAATTATCACAGTACCAATGCTTGCTGCAGCTTGAAGTTCTTCCACTTTCTTGGGAAGTAGAAAATTTTGGAATTTTGGAATTTTACGGATTGAAAGCACCAATTTTTCCCATTTTTCTGCCAGATCTTCTGGTGATTGAAGTACATGGTCTTTCTTGGGAACCAAATTTAGAGATCCTGCAAGTGCACTTGAAGATGAATCTTCCTCTAAGGCTAATTTCTGAAGCATGGTAGAGAGTCTCTGGAGCTCAGAAGCAAGTTTGGGCTCCTGTTTCTGAAGGTCATGGTTCTGAGTACGCAGTTGAAGAAGCTGAGTCCAAACAATTGATCTTCCTTGCTCTGACCACTCAACTGCCAGTGAAAAGTCTTTTGCATCTGCAGCAGCAGCCACTGCATCACCAACCATAGTTCCAATCTCTCCCAGTCTTCTATGCTGTTCTTTGATGGGTAAAGCAAGTCCTGCAATTCTGGGCAAAAATTGAATTCCACATTTGAAGGCTTTTAGTGGCTGTTTTTTCCTCAGAAAAGTACACTTGGCCCACTCCTTAGCAGCTTGGAGTCTAACAAATAAATTGGCACTTTCACAGTAGGCTGCACTTTTGAAACACAATTTTGCATCTTCAAGATCCGACTTTGCCTCACTTGTTTTTCTCTTCTCTGTGCGAAGTTCATAGCGATAGAAATATGCAGTACCAAGGTTGGCCAAGTAATGAGCCTCTTGGGTGTTGTGCCCTGATTTAGCCACTGCATCTTCTCCTGCCATGATTGCTTCTGTAGCATAAGTAATGCTCCTCAAGCTTTTAGCTTTCTCTGCATAAGCAGAACACCATTGATTTTTGAGCATACAATAAGCTGGGTGATTAATGGATAAACTAGGAATCACTTTGTTGATAGCATCAATTCCTTTGTCAATATCAGAGGCAGAGTTGCGATTTTTTCCCCTCATAACAAGTGATCCGCAAAGTTCACCAAGGACAATATCCATTCCATGAGCAGAAGTAGTACTAACACCTTCAAGATGGAAGATTGCTTGATTGAAACAATCAACAGAATTGTCAATGTCCTCTGTTTCTCTCATACGCTGAAATCTCTGCCTAAACATAGTCCCAAGAGCATGCAAAGCAAGAGCTTTTTTTCTAGGACTCTTGTTGGTGTACAATTGAACAGCTTCCCTACAAGAATCAAGAGCCTTTGAAATATCAGACTGCTGCCCAAAAATCTCAAAGCGCTGTTCAAGAGCCTTGCCAAGAGCAAGCTGAAGCTCTGGTAGATCTGGATGGTCAGCTGGGATATTTTTGATTGCTTCATCATATGCTTTAACAGCCCCCTCCAGGTCTGTAGCATTTCCAAATTCTTGAAAATGGGCATTATACAAGTTGCCTAAGCGACCAGAAGGGCGAAATCTTCCAGGAAAGTGAATTGGAGTCTTGTTCAATGCTGCCTCAAGTTGCTTGATTGCATTAGCCACAGATACATTATTTTCAAACTCCATCAGCAAGTCTTTGAAAGCTCCAAATCTGCCAGACTGTTTGATGCAAGCAATCTGATATTCCAAGATAGAAGTTTTGATTTCCACTTTTCTCATGACATGGTCTCCTTTATGATGATCTTTCTTATGCCAAAGATCCTTCAGCTGCTTTTCAATTCCCAGAGTTTTCTCCATAAGCAATGCCTGAACTTTAAGACCTGCAGTAGTATCTGCAACAAGTTTTTTGTGATGAACAACTTCTTGTTGAATTCGCAAGAGCACCCCAGATGTAAATTCATCAGACTTTTCTGAAATAGCTTGGATGACCTCTTGTGCAGAAGTTTCTGACTGCTTATTATACTTGATTACTTCAGCCCCATAAGCTAGAAATGGCTTAAAGACTGAGGTAGTCACAGCAGGGGCTGCAACAACAAGATTTCTCATAGCCCTAGTTCCAGCTATCTGTTCAAGCATTTCAAGATTAATTCCAGATGCAGAAGAGCCCTCATAGATATAAACCAGGCCAGCTAGTTTGTGATCTCCAAGCACTCTGTAATTGAACTTGTTAAAAAAAAACCCATATGGCTAAATCAAATTACTTACAGAGCTGCAAGGTAACTTGCAATATTATTCAGAGTATCTGCTTCACCTGCATTCCCCTGGAAAGAGGGCATGTTCACAAGTCGGTAGTGTTTTCCACTGAAAGGTACCACAGCTGAAGCCTGTACACTATTGGTACCATCTATTTCAGATCCAGAAAGTAGCTCAATAAACTATGGAAGAATGATTCAGTAGTAGACAAATAACCAATAAAAAGGCATACTGAGGTTGTTGCTGATTGTGAGTCTCCAAAAACACTAAAAGAAGAGTTAATAAATGGCATCCTGATATTAGAATCTGATTTACCTGATAAAGATTTTTGTTGAAGATGAACTCAACACTAATTCCTTCATCTTGGAAAACTTCTCTTCTATATCAGAAGATGCAGCCAAGCCCCAAAGCAGATCTATCTTCTCCATATGAAGCTGAAAAAATCTATCCTGGAAAAGTTGCCTTTCATCTTGGTTATCCTCATCATCCTCATCCTCTAGTTCTTTTTTCCCTATCTCATCCTTTAGCTTAGTGAGAAGATTATTCTGAAGCTTCAGGCTAGTCCCAGACTTTACAATGAGCTTTCCACCCTCAACAACCTCAGTCTGGAGATGTAATGGAACCCAAGAAACATTGAGAAGAGCTTGCAAGATATCTTTAGCAGATTTAGTAGAGCCATCATGCCTAAAGTATTGAGCACCAGCAGTGATAAATTCCCCCAGATAGTTCCTCTTTAGCTGAAGCTCTCTATTGGGATAGCTCTTAATGGTGGTGTGGCTCCACTTTGGAGTAACAAAGACAGTATTCTTAAAGCCAGATTTATCACAGAGCTTAGAGAGAATATCCAGATTAGATTTAGCTGCTCCACCAATGCGAGGGCTGGCCAAAGACAGCAGATAGACAATACCACGAAGACTTTGCCCTCTCATATGGCTGGAACACAATGTTTGAGCCTTTATAATGTTTATCCATAGATAAACCAACTCACAGAGTAGCAACAAGAGCAGCAAGAGTATTTAAAAGGTCAGCATCATTCTGAGTATCAGAAGCTTTGAACTCATTGATTTGAACAAGTTGAATGTTGTAGGCATCGAGTGGGAAAGGGATTGAGAAGTTCATGTGGTTAACCTGGGTGTTGGGCAACGGGACCGAGCCAGAGGCATCTTTGATGAACTGCAGGAACACATGAGAGGCGTAACGAAAGAGTCAAGCGGAGATTTTACCGCTTTTGCCGAGTGTGAATCACCCAGAACACTACAACACGGTTAGCCGGAAAGATGGGTCGTTGTATGCGCTTACGCAATGAAGATATCCTCGAGAGGTTTGTCTGCGTGCGGCTGTAAGAACAAGGTATGAGCGTGGACGAAATGCGCTCACCGTCAAATGCAGTCGGCTTTGGAATGGTCTTTGTGGGTGCCATGATGGTGGATACTAGATAGGAACTGATTGTAACTGAGTTACGTTATGTTGTCTGTGCGTGTGTTTTCGGAAGAAGCCGTATTGTATCTCACGAGTGGCGTTATTTTCCCACCCGCCAAGAGGGATAAACAGCGGTTGTGCTGGCATTGGTTTTCCCCAGCCAACGAACGCTACGCCAACTAGTAGCCCAGCCAAACCACAGCTTCCCTCCCCTTCCCCCTACTTTTTCTATTTCCCCTCTCATAAATCCTCAACGTGAGTATATGCGTCTCTTGCCATCTCCTCTCGCCATTCCACCTTTTAGCCCGCTGTTCGATGCATCGATAACGCTCTCGAGCTCGTTGCGAACAGTGTCGGCCTTTGTTTGTTTGGCCCCTATGAACGCGTCGCGTTGATGATCGGCTACCCACGCTCCAAACTCTGTAGACGCCTCGCTGCCTGTTCTCTACGCTGTTCTCCTCGTCGTCGTCGCTATCTCGCGTCCATCTTTTGTCTCACCTCATCTCTCTCTCATAGTCATGTACTAATCATTTCCATTTCTTTTCTCCTGCAATTCCACAGATGCCGAAGGAGGCCACCAAGCCCAAAGTGAGTGTCTTGGCAATATCGTTAAGCATCGTCGTCGTCGCTGACGTTCAACTCCCCGTTCCAGCGTAAAGCTGCCGAAAAAGCAGATAAGGCTACATCTCGCAAGGGGAAGAAGGATCCCAACAAGCCTAAACGCGCACTCTCTGCGTACATGTTTTTCAGCCAAGATTGGCGTGATAGGATCAAGGCCGAGAACCCTGATGCTGGCTTCGGTGAGGACGGACTCCTCTCAAAAGCCCATGTTTTTTTCTCAGTTTGTTTGCTACCATAGGTGAAGTCGGCAAGCTGCTAGGTGCTAAATGGAAGGAGCTCGACGAAGAAGAGAAGAAGGTCAGTTTCTTTTCATCGTCTTCATCGCGTATCAAACTTACCCGCCCTAGCCGTACGTCGAACAGGCCTCCAAAGACAAGACGAGAGCAGAAGAAGCCAAGGCTGCGTATGATGTGCGTTTCCCCATTTTATTCTTTGCACAACATTGACAAGAATTCCCAGTCGAACAAGAAAAGCGCAAGCGGCGATGAGGAAGAAGACGAGGAGTGAACTCGTTTGTTGTACTTATTTATAATGATGACCTCTTCTTTTACGACCTTTTCCCGCCGACGGCGTATATCCCAAATTTCTGTTGTGTGCGTGTTACCCCTCTCTATACAGTCCATTCGTATCGTAGTATCTTTTGTGCTTCCTTAGTGTCTTTGTAGGCCAATGTGCTTTAAGCAGGGCGGATGTTGTGAGTTGTAGTCGCAATTTATCATTATTGTTGTGTCACCACAAGTGTTACCCCCTTTCTTATACATACTCCAGTACAATGTCCGAAACAGCAGGAGACGTACGATTTGCTCAATCCTCGTCGTCGTCGCGCTCATCGTCAGACAGGCAGTCCCAGCATCACAGCGTGGCAGCTGGACCTCATTTCTCAAATCGTACGTTCACCAACGATGACGGACTAGACGTATGGACAACTGACCACATCAATCACATCAATCTCCAGCATTGCATCCTTCTCGGGCGACCTTTCTTCTTTGACGGCCCCGCCCTTCATCCTCTCTCCAACATCGTTGACAGAGTTCCCGGGTATGTAGCATTGACAGTCATTGCCAGGTATTCTTGTCTGAGACTCTCCACAGCATATTGGTGTGAGCGCCCTGACCTCTTCGCTGCCATTGCAGACGCCAAGGATGGCGAAGACAGAACCCTCGCCGTCCTCAACTGGTTCATTGTCAGTCCTCCTTTCCCTGATTCGTCAAACTGAGCTTATCGATCGTCCAACAGAGCACCTTGAAGGATCAATACACATCTAGAAATGAATCCATGGGATCAGAGAAGAAGTGCGCACGCTTTTGCTAACGATTTTATATTTATCTTGTCACCTCTTAGGCCTCTTAACCCTGTCCTTGGAGAGTATGTACAACGTTGACGTTGTTTTATTCGACCCTCACCTCTCCGCAACACAGGCTTTTCTATGGCAATTGGCCTGACAAGAACGATCGTGGACTCACTGAACTACTTGTCGAGCAAGTCTCCCACCATCCACCCATCACTGCCTACATCATCGAGAACAAGTCTAAAGGGCTGCGTCTCGTGGGCCACAATGCGCAAAAGACCAGTTTCAGCGGTACGTATATTCACAACTTCCCTTCGTTCTGCATATTTATCTTCCACTTCACAGCGGGCTCAATCATCGTCAAACAAATCGGACATGCGGTGCTCACCGTTTCCCTTCCCTCCGGCACTAAAGAGGAATATCTCATCACCCTCCCCCGCCTGCGTATAGATGGGCTCTGGTATGGCTCCCCTTACATCGAGCTCGCAGAGACATCCTACATCATCGGCGGCGGACACGTCTCGCTCATCGAATATAAAGGCAAAGGCTACTTTTCTGGCAAATCCCACTCCTTCAAAGCCACCGTGACGCCGATGCCAGGCATGGGCGGCCAAGGAAAGAAGGAGACCGTGATAGAGGGCACGTGGCACGAGAAGAGCCAGTTTGTTAAAGGTGGGAGTGGAGATTTTCATGATGTACATGCTGTGAAGGAGCAAGTGTCGCCGATTGGGGGTGGGGAGGGTGGGGAGATGGGCGATTTCGAAACGAGGAAGCTTTGGGCGCTCGTGGCGAAGGGGATTAGGGAAGGTGATTTCGAAACGGCGAGTAAGGAGAAGTCACGGATTGAGGTCTGTTCCTTTTCTTGCTTGCTTTGTTGCCTAACTGACTATGTGCTGTTTGTGCTTTAGAATGAACAAAGACAACGAAGGAAGGACGAACAGGCTGCTGGAACGACATGGGAATTGAAACACTTTGCACAGCTAGAAAGTGATCCCGTTTGTACGTTCATCATCCCCCGTTCATGGATCTCGCTTATACATCTCTTAATAGACGAGCGCCTGGGCAAGGTCGCAAAGATTGTACCTCCAACAGAGGATACTTACGTCTTCCAAGAAAATTGGCCTCCTGTTGCATGAATATACAGAAGATATCCTAGAACACTATCTTGATTCTTGACTAGTTTCCGTGCATGGATTATGACATATACACGATATTGACTCGAGCCCATTTATGGGGAGTAATTGCATCTCGTCAGACGTTTATCACAACCAGGTTTGATGAAAACATCGAGTCCATTTACGAGTATTCAGCTGCTTTCTTACACCGATTGTGCTGAAAGGAAGCGCATCTATCGATTTCTTCCAGACCAGATACAATTGCTCTTCCCCGAGCTTTTGTCGTTCCAAGCTACCATCTCACCCCCGGGGTGCGTCCCAATCAGTGCGTAATAACATTACATCGCATATCTTCCTAGCATCGGAAGGTATTTGTATTGTTCAGCGAAAAAACCCATAGACGGGTTAGTCTTGGACGAATCTTCGTTGTACTCAAAATTTAGGGAGAGTCCGGAAGTGGCTTCCTCGGAAAGCAACGTATACCGAGGGTAGAGATATATGTGGCACATGTCAAGTACGGTTTCGAAATCATCCAAAATATTTGAACCCACCAGCCACTCCAGCCCCCATCGATGATGTTCGAGGAAGACCATTTTTTTCCTTGTGATACCCAGGTTTCACCTCCGCCGCCGTTGAGAAAGGATTCAACCTATAAAGCAGCCCAATGAAGTAAAAATAATCAGTAGACAGATTATTTACATACCACAATATCTTTGAATCAGTGTGGTAAAATGGTAGTGACGGACTTTGCATCTTCCTCAAACAAGATCCAAAAACTCTGACCCGCGATTTTGTTTAAATCAAACATCCCAACCCATCCCTCTGAAGGGAAGAGGTAGCGGTATGTTATGTAAAAAGAGAGTGGTAGACAGGCCTAAGACATGTGAGGTGCACCAAACTCGTGAGAATTTCGTATGCCATCATAGTAGCAACAACTTGAACCCAAATTGAACCACTACTGAGGCTTTCCACTGGCTCTCCCACCTCATTGCGGCGCACTGAAGCGTTTCAACATAGCATGTCCGTTTGTCCGTTTTCTGATTTTTTAAATTTTGTTTAGTCTTTGTTTGGCCTCTTCTTCAAGTCCATACTCGATACCGCAGTACACCGAAGTGTATGGGTCAAGAAGGAGTCTCGTCCCCTTTTGGGGAGTGAGACGCCCTAGGCGTGTTTGCCTAATCGACTCACAGATTTCTCCTCATTTCCATCATGACCTCATCATCTGCAGCCCCAGCCAGTGACTTTGCCAACATGCCCCCCCGGGCGGATCTGGAGGAGACATGGACGTTCTTGAAGGGAGGCATCGACCACATCATGACTAACGTCGAGACGGTGCCCCCCGAAGGCTATACGCGTTTATACTCGGCCGTCTATAACTACTGCACATCTAGCAAAACGCCAGGAAACCAAGGCAATCGCAGTGAGTTTTGCGCGTTGTGTGATGTTGATATTGTCGAATCGTAGTCCACAGCTGGCGCTAATATGTCTGGATCCGATCTCTACAGCAAACTCAGCGAATATTTTGTTGTGCATTCTGAAGGAATGCTTGAAGTGTGTTTTGAATAGCTCAAGACAGTTATGATTGGCTGAAAACGCGTGATCCAGAAAACCGAAACTCTGCAAGAGGTCGACCTCCTGCGGTACTACGCCACCGAATGGGACACTTATACTAGAGGGGCTAACTATGTCAACCGTTTATTCGCATTTCTCAATCGACACTGGGTGAAGCGCCAGCAAGACGAGGGAAGGAAGGTTTATCAGGTGTACACGGTGACCGTCACTTTTCCGAAAACCATACAGCATCCTAATAACATCGCAGCTTGCCCTGTCACAATGGAAAACCCATTTCTTCATGCACATACAAAATGACAACGCGAAACTGGCCGGTGCTGTACTTCGTCAAATCACACGGCAAAGGACTGGCGAGGTCGTAGATGATCAGGGTCTGATCAAGCGGGTTGTGGATTCATTCATATCACTTGGCCTTGATAACGCCGATCCTAGTAAGGAATGCCTCAATATATATAAGGACCAGTTCGAAACGGCATTCATCGCTGCCACGGAGCAGTATTACAAGAAGGAATCAGAGGCCTTTCTAGCTGAAAATTCGGTGTTGGACTACCTCAAGAAAGCCGAAGATTGGCTGCGAGAGGAGGAGAATCTTGTTGAGCGTTATCTACACAGCAAGACGCGAAAAGAGCTTGTCAGCAAATGTGAAGCGGTCCTGATTCGCGAGCACTCCGATCTGATATGGAAAAGCTTCCAACCGTTGCTCGACTCCGATAAGGATGAAGATGTGCAACATATGTATACGCTTGTTTCAAGGTTTCAAGAAGGTTTGGAACTTCTCCGGAAAAAGTTCAAAGCTCGCGTCAAACTATCTGGTCTCTCCGCTATCGAGAATGTGGTTAGCCAGGCCGGCGCCGCTGCTGCGAACGCAGAAGTCGACCCCAAAGCATATGTGGCTGCGCTCCTCGAGGTTTACCACAAGAATTCGGAGACTGTAAACATAAGTTTTAAGGGCGAGGCAGGACTCGCTGCAAGTTTGGACAAAGCCTGCCAAGAATTTGTCAATCGGAACGCTGCTACTGGTGGCTCATCGACCAAGTCGCCAGAGCTTATTGCCAAGTACTTGGACATGCTTTTGAGAAAGAACAACAAGATGGCAGAGGAAGACGACCTAGAGGGTGCTTTGAACCATGTCGTACGCTTATATTGTCGTCACGTCTTGATCAGCGGGCTCAACGTGGGGTTTCTCCAGATGATTCTGTTTCAATATCTGGAAGACAAGGATGTGTTCCAGACATTCTATACCACCAAGCTTTCAAAACGGTTGATCCATGGTGTCTCTGCGTCCGACGAGAGCGAGGCCAACATGATTTCGAAGCTCAAAGAGGCTTGCGGTTTCGAGTACACCGACAAGCTCCAACGCATGTTTACGGGTAAATTCTCCACATTCTCTCAAATTTTTGTTTTGACATGGGCTTCAGACATGAGTTTGAGCAAGGATCTTACGGACTCATTCAAGGATTGCATGTCGCAAAACCACGGTGACATGGTCATCACCTTCAGCATCATGGTCTTAGGAACCAATCTATGGCCACTCTATCCACCACCACACGATTTCGTCATCCCCACCGAGATCGTACCCACCTACGACCGATTCCAGAAGTACTACCAGACGAAGCACTCTGGCCGTAAACTCACCTGGTTATGGAACTACTCCAAGAATGAGCTGCGCACGAACTATACGAACCAAAAGTACATCCTGATGACGAGCTCATACCAGATGGCGGTACTATTGCAGTACAACTGGGCCGATACGCTTTCGTTGGATGAGCTGGTCACTGCTACTTCGATTACGAAGGACATCTTGACCCAGGTTCTGGTTGTGTTGGTTAAGGTGAAGATGTTGATCAACGAGGAGAAGGACCAGTACGATCTTAATCACAGTATGCTCCCCGCGCTTCTCTTGAAACTTCGTGGCTTAATTGTTACTTCGTCAACAGACTTCAAGTCGAAGAAGATCCGTGTCAACCTGATTCAGCCAATCAAAGCCGAAGTCAAGACCGAATCTTCGGATGTTTTGAAGGCTGTTAATGAGCACAGAAAATATGTCATTCAAGCTACGATCGTTCGGTACGTCAACTTATTGTCATCTACTTCTAGTGGAAATCTCATAGAGCTCTGTCGTGTAGAATAATGAAGGCAAGGAAAACCATCAAAAGTCAGGCTTTGATCCAGGAAGTCATCTCTCAGATCTCTCAACGCTTTGCGCCAAAGATTCCTGACATCAAGAAAGCGATCGAAATCCTCTTGGAGAAGGAATACATTGAACGAGTCGATGGTTCCAGGGACACGTTCGCATATGTTGCTTGATCTTCCCTTCCTCATCCCCTCTGTTCGTACTCGTGTTCAAATCCGTATTTTGTGCCCCTCTCCCTAACTGCCGATGTCAGTACTTAATGGGCGGTCAAGGTAAGAGAGACTGGACGGGGCACGAGAAGAGCCAGTTTGCTACAGGCGGGAGTGGAGATTTCCATGATGAACATGCTGCGAACGAGGTGTCGCCGATTGGGGGTGGGAAGAACTGGGAGATGGGCGCTCCTTGGGCTCGTGGCGAAGGGAGGGTGATTTCGAGAGGGCGAGTAAGAAGAAGTCACGATTTGAGCACCTGGACAACGTCGCAAAGATTGTACCTCCAGCAGAGGATACTTACGTGGCCTCCCGTTGTGTAAATATACAGAAGATATCCTAGAACACTATCTTGACGAGTTTCTGTGCATGGATGTTATGACAAAGGTGACTCGAGCAAACACTTTATCACAACCAGGTCTGAAAAAAAAAGGGTATTCCATCTGGTTTCTTTACATCAACTGTGCTGGGCATCTATGGCGATTCCTTCCAGACCAAATACAAAAACTCAGTCCCGCGAGACCTATTTAGATCGAACATACCATCCCACCCCTGGGGTAAGCCTACACGCCGTTTACTGCGTAATAACATTACACGCATATCTTCGTAGCATCGGTATCGGAGCCACGTTCAATGTCGAGGTATCGGTATTTTCCGCCAGCACCTTTGGCCAAGTCACTCTTGGACGAATCTGAGTTGTCTTGAACAATTAGTGAGAGTCCGGAAATAGCTTCCTCGTAAAGCAACGTATACCGAGGGTAGAGATAGACGTGGCTGTCAAGTATTAGTTTCAGCAGTTTCGAAATCATCCAAATTATTTAAACCTACGAGCCGCCAAATCCCTCGTTAATGTTGGAAGAAAGATAATTTTTCTCTTCAAGATACCCAGGTGTCACCGCCGCCTCGGTGGGAAAGTATTCAACCTATAAAGTAACTCAGTAAAGTAAAAATAATTGGTAGACAGATCAAATGGGCATACCACAATATCTTTGACGAAACGCTTAATGTTGGGCGGAGGTCCCATTTGTGCATTTTGCTGTTTGCAAGAAGCCAACTCGGACTTGACATTTTCTAATTCCAAGTGGGTGTCAGTTAAAGCTTTTTGGGCCGTTTCCAAGCCCAAGACATTTTCATGAGACTGGCTTGACAGTTTGGATGCCAGCCCTTCCTGTAATTTTCGAGAGACAGCTAGCTCCTCGTTGAGCTGCATCACCTTCGATCGAGCCTCTTCGAGGTCCTCCAATAGTTTTTCTTTAGTCTCTTGGCTATCTTTCAACTCCGCCGTCACTTGTCCATGCATTGAAAATGCACATGTGAGCTCTGATTTCACTCGTGAGTCGAGAGCAACTCGGGCCTCCTCCCATCCTCGTGAAAGTCGTTTCTCTTCATCGGCCCATCGTTCTGCGCTGGCGCGGAGCTTTTTAACTTCCCCCGTGAATTGCAATCGTTCCATTACCTCTTTTTCGTGTGTTTCCTTCAACTTTTCCAGGGCCACAGACAGACTACAAACAACTGCCTTGAGGTCTTCCGTTGTTTTCTCAAGATGATCCCTTCTGTATTCCGCGGTGGAATCGCCGTCCATTAAACTTCTGATCTGAAATTGACACTCCATGAGCTCCTTTTCGTGCATGACTTTCAGCAGATCCAAATCCCCTTTGAATTCGTTACGACGAATAGCTTCCAGCTCGAGAGACTGTCGCTGTAGAAGAGTGAGTATCGATTTTGGAGACCGGACATCACATAGACCACCTTGGCATCTGTCTCTACCTGTTTCCTCCACGTAACCATGGCATTCCGTAAGTCTGAGTTGTTTTGCGCCATTTCCGCTGTCAGATTACGTTGTTTCTCCTCCAATGTCTCCCTCAACTCTCTGTCCCTCGCATTCGCGAGTTTCATGTCCTCTATCTTCATATTCAGCTCGGACACGTCTCTTTTTTGCTGCCGTTTAAGCTCCTGAAGTTCTCTGTAAAGCTCCACAGCAGCAGAAGTCTCTTCTACCGCCTTTCCCTGGGCAAGCTCCTTCTGCATCTCAACAAAAACGGGGTCAAGTGAAAGAAGGTCGATGACAATAGAGAGCGGTTGTTGAAACTCTCGGGTCCTCAGGTTGTTCGTCTTGAGAATATAATCCGTGACGAATAAACTTGGATCCCCCTTCCACCAGTCCCTTGAAAAACTTGTCCTTTGTTTTGAGTTCTGTTTCAGTCTGTATTCCTCCTTCCAGCGACTCGGTCTCATCCCAGAAAGTGGTAACGACAACGACGTTTTTCAGAGGATCATCTCCACAAAGCTTCTTGAACATAGCCATTTGACGTTGCAAAGAACTTCCGATCTTCGGTTCGCAGATATTGTGCAAATACAAGATGCCAGAGAATTTGCGTTTTTCGTCATATCTGCCGGAAGAGATATTAAATTGTCACCACAAATTTAATAAGGGGGGATGTAATCACTTCTTTTTCAGGAATTCACCGATTTCCTTCAAAATGACAAGATCAGACTTCCCCCCACCGTCGCTAGTATAATCATTGAATCCCGGTGTGTCCGCAAGGGTCACAACTAAACCATTGGGGAGTTGGAAATCGTATTCGTTGATCGTACTAGTTTGAGATTCCAAGCTATGTCCAACGTCAGAGGTTTTTTGGCCAGTGATAGCATTGATGAACTTGTATAGCATCAGGCCGTTGCGATAACGAGTCAAGGTTGATCCATACCGACGACTTCCCGGTCCCAGTCGCTCCCATCACCCTATATCGAAACCTTTGCTCAATTTCGGCAACGCGTGAGAGGATGTAACCCACGCTATCAAGCCAGCAGGCCTGTTTTTCAGGCTAGCTTGGTCCATTCCCTCTTGAAGGTTCAGAGAAAGGGTATTCGAAGGTTGTACACGGATGTAGGAAGTATCCTTGTTCGTCGAGGGCGCTTCGAAGGACGCACAATAACTTTGTCTCCGGACCGGGCCAAACGTGTTTCCATGTGGAATTAACACGGTACATATCTAGTTGGAAAGAAGGATCCAAGGACCAAAGGCCCCCGATTAGAACGCCCATGCGAAAGATTGCATGTGACCGTCGATAAGAGATTTGAATACGAGTTGACAGATGGAACTCAACGAGGCAGACGTGTGTTGCCCAACGTTGACCTGCTATCCCACGATAAATTAGCGGTTTAGAATTGGATCCTAATTCTCATACCTTTGGTATGAACAGGCTGGAAGGCGATTACCGACTGATTTGAAGGGATGCGAGATATACCAAGTGGTGGATCGCGATGATGTTATGTAATGGACTCTGCTGCAGATATGTTATCACCAAACTGTTACATCCATGACGAAGAAATTCTCCAACTCCTGGCATTCGGAAGAATCAACTTTCAAACCCAACGCCATTGTTGAAATACAATTGGCGCATCCTTCTCCTTGTATATCATGTCCGCAAGCTCGGAGAGCATTTTTGGGACGGTCTCGGCCTCTTTCACGTCCGAATGTGAACCCTGCTGAACGGCATCTCCCTCACTGGGTGTGAGAAATTCCGAACCCCATCCATCACCATCCTCGGTATCATCGTCGGCTGGCGAAGTTGTCCCCCACTCTATATCGCTCTCAGGTTGGAACACCTCCGTAGAGGGGCTCTGATCTTCCAACGAGGCATCGTAATCCAGCCTTTTCTTTTCCTTCCCTTTTACCGGCGCGGATTTCATGATTAAACATGAGCACAATCCCTCGGGTCGTTCTCGCTGAGATGCTTGAAGAAGATCTGACTTAATCTTCGCCAATTCCAAGCGAGCTTCTTCAAGTTCTGCGGCTAACCTCGCCTGCACAAGCTGGGAAGATAGGAGGTCAGACTTGGAAGACCTCTCCCCTTCCCTTGCTGTAGCGCAGAGGATCTGACACTCCCGAATAAGGTCGGCGAGTGCTTGCTTGGAGGTCTTGCGTAAGTCCGTTAACGACAGGGATAGTCCTGAAACAGTGGTCGAGAGAATTTTGCATGTTTCCGCGAGTTGCGTTTGGTGGGAGATTGAGTTGGCATGGTCGTCCTTCAGTTGTTTAATTTCAGATTGGAAATCGCGAATGTCCTCCGCATGCCTGTCCTTGAGAAGTCCTAGCTCATTTCTCAGATTTGCGATGAGAGTGGTCTCCGAACTGATATCTTGTGGCTAGTAAAAAATCAGTGCAATGCAGCCGGAAGCAGTATGCCTCAGCCTTGCCTTCGCATTCCCCTCCTGCTGCGTTGTTCCTTCTACGAGTCCCACCATAGGTTCGACGTCATCTGCGCCTGGCAGACCACGCGCAAGTTCCTGATTTGCAGTCAACTCGGATGTTTCCTCCCCCTCCCGGGCCCCTGTTCCTTTAGTTACATGACCAGGCTCCTTCGGCATCACAGAAGAAGCGGAACCAAGCGCAGCGAGGTCGAATAGAATGGATGCCAGAGAATCCACTCTCAAATCCGTAAGCGCCTTGTCAGTGGCATCATTTTGCCATCGGACAAACTTGACACCTGCGTCAGAGAATGTTTTGTAGGTGTACTTCTTTCGTAATCTATCCTCATACTCCACTCCCTCTTCAACTGGGACATCATCCCAAAAAGTGGTGATGACAACGATTTTCTTCATCAGATCATGCCCACAGAGGGTATTCATCGCCGTCAAGCAGCGCTGTGAGGGACCTTTGTCTCGTTCGTCTTGTATGTTGTGTAAGTAAAGGAGACCTGACAATTTGCGGCTGTCGCCATATCTATGAACTCTCTTGAGTACCGTCACAGTGGAAAAATGGTGGTATATGCAAACGTTTTAAGGAAGGACTTTAACTTCGTCATAATGCCCAAATCGGATCGTTTGGCGTCACCGGTAGAATCATCAAAACCAGGCGTGTCAAGGAGTATGAAGGGTTGTCCGTTTGATGGGTGAAAGAAATATTCCTTGACCTCGCTTGTTCCAGACTCTGGGCCATTTGCGACATCGGTCTGAATACCAGTGATGGCCTTGATTAACTTGGAAGGGTTATATCGCGGGTAAAGAATGAGTGGGGAAGAGGGATACCGATGATTTTCCAGCACCTGTGGCTCCCATGACGCTAGTAGTGTGGCATGTAAAACCGAACACACCAAGGAGTTCTGCAGCACCTACGCAATCAGAAAGGCAGGTTCCATCTCTTGTATTATGTTTTCCGTCAAATGGAGGAAACCTCGAAATTTGCGTCCAATTTTAAGTAGTGGAGTTTGCGGGGATTCGCTCAAAGTGTGAACTGGGCGACTAAACGTTCACAAGTCGAACTTATAGGCGCCTAGCGACGCGGAGTCCCCAGTAGTGCATGTGGCGTTTGCACCTCATGGCTTCGATTGAGGCCTTCGAGTGGTAAAGGGTTCTTATTGAGCCATAACTGTGGAAAGATCAGAAGGCAGCAGTTGTTTCATCGTTTCAACCTCGTACCGTGCACCAATCAACGAGGTCATCGTGGAAGAAACTGGAAAAATAAACAATTACTACAAATTCTATTCTTACACTGAACATCTTCAACTTCTATCTATGTCCAAATTCCAATCACATCCTTTCCAATGGCCTGATACTAAGCAATCTCAACGCACTCCCCAACACGTCCCGAGTACACTCGTACAAAAACATCTTCGCCCTTGCTTTTTCTAGGTCTTCTTCACCCTTTACAATGACCACATCCCACGCGCTCGAAATCGCATGCGCCAGCCTAAACGCAAAGGTAACCACCCCACTCGGCTCGTGCGTCTTCAGTGCCACTTTCACTACGTCTGGGTATGTGCCCAAGAGGAAGGCAATCTCCCGGGCTTGGGAATAAGAGGATAGAGATGTGGTGTCGATTTGCGATGGCGGGGGGAGAGGGATAAGGTGTGGGTTTTTACGACCTATGGAGGCCAATCGAACATGTGCGTATTGGAGATACGGCCCTGTGTCGCCCTCGAACGACTTCATTCGGTCCCAATTGAATGTGTAGTTGTTGATTCTGTGTTTCAAGCTTTTAAAATTGACCATATAAACAAGGAAATCCGACGCACCGTTTGGCGGCCATATCCTGGATCTTGACACCAGTAATGCCAATCTCCCTGGAAACAGTTTCTGGGTCCTCAACGGCGTTATACTTGTCCTCATTCTTCATCATCTGATCGTGCATGACGCTTGCCGCCTCCTTGATAATCTGGTCGAGGAACACCACAGTACCCTTGCGGGTACTCATGCCCTGCACCAAGCCATAATTGACGTGCACAAGGTTCTTGGCCCATGGGAACTCCATGAGGTCGAGCACTTTGAAGAACTGCGCAAGGTGCAAGTCTTGTTGGGAGGATACGACGTAGATCATCTTATCGAATTTGTATTTCTCGTATCGTTCAATGGCGCCACCGATGTCTCGAGTAAGGTAGATGGAGGTACCATCTATGTTATATCAGTCACGGATAAGGTGATGATAGAGGGGATGCACCTTTCTTTCGGACAACAGCTGATTCGAGTTTGTACTTTTTCAAATCAACAATCTTAGCACCGTTGCTATCCGCAATGAGACCAAGCTCTTCAAGTCTCTTCAGTGCTGTATCCATGGATTCCTTGCCCACCATGCTCTCTCCAGTGTATTCGTCGAAATGGATATTTAGCCGCTCGTACTCCCCCTCATACTTCTTGACACTCAACTCCCTCCATACACGCCAGTTCTTCAGCGCAGACTCGTCACCATCTTCCATACGCTTGAACCACCTTGCAGCTTCAACCTTGACCTCTGGATCAGCCTCCGCATCCTTGTTGACTTTCACGTAGACGTCAAAAAGATGTTTGATCGCGTCCTTCTCGAGCTCCTCTTGTGAACCATATTTTTCATATCCGGTTGCTATCATACCAAACTGAGGTTTAAATCAGCAAGCAAGTTCATAACCAGAACTGTGTAAACGAACCTGAGTTCCCCAATCACCTAGATAGTTGAGAGAGGTGACCTCCCAACCGCAAGCCTTGTAGAGGTTGGCGAGGAAACCACCAATTATGGTGCTCCTCAAGTGACCGACATGGAAGCTCTTTGCGATATTTGGCGACGAGTACTCAATGACGACCTTTTTGCCTTTGCCTGTCAAGTTTGTGCCATATTCCGGTTGTTTTGAGGGGGTGAGATGGGTGAGTGCATGTACTTGGGTTAGGATATCGTGAATCATGCTCTCGGTATTGAGTTTGAAGTGGAGAAATGCTTTGTCGTGGACGATAGTTGATATCCATTCGTCGGGTTGGAACTGGCATATAAGGATTTAGCCAGATTCGAACGGTGGGGGACTCTTATACCCACGTTTTCAATGACTTTGGCCGCGACCTCGTCTACTTTTCCTGGTAGTCTGAACCTCGGCAGCGCAACAGTGAAGTCCTCGCCCTTCTTCCCGTAATCAACGCCGTCATAAGCTTTCTGGAGCGTCAAAGGAAGAGTCTCCGACAGCCTTTTTGCAATGGCTATTCGGTACGCATCCAACACACAACTCGAAGGATCCGTGTCCGGCAGCTGGGGTATTGAAGATGTCATAGTAGGCTTTAGTCGTGCTTGATACACTGCTGGAGGATATCTGAGGGGATTTGCTCGTCGAGAGAAGGAGCGGTATGATACAAATATGTGTCGAAAGGAAAGAAGAAATGCCAGATTGAGGTATTGATAAGATTTTTGACAATTTTTTTTTGCTTGAGTCAGGAAAACGCCGTCACATGTGCAGTAGACGCGTCAATATTCTCGCGTCCAGATCGAAATCATAAAGCAGAATACACTCAAAGTACATGTCTCATATCAATTACAAAATATCTAACACTCAGTGCTATGATCATAGATTATTGGGAAAAGAAAGGATCGACGATCAGCCATAACGGTATTGTGGAGGTTGCACAGGTGTCCCAAACGGAAATGCGGGACCCTGCGGCATTGGGAAAGAGGGCGATTGCTCGGGCGGATATCCGCCCGAGTAATGATCTTGTTGGTAAGGGAAATAAGGAGCAGGGGCATCCGGCCTACGCCTTTGGGCACGAAGGTCCGGATGTACAGGAGGAGGTGTGTGAGATGCGACGGGTTGTTGACGGGAATCAGACCGGAAAGGCGAGTGTGGTCGAAATTCAGTTGTTCTCCTGGGCCGTGGTGAACGTGCAGTTGTCATGCTTGAAATCATATCCGTTAAAGACGGAGGAGACCGAGGAGACGGAACAGTAGATGAACGCTGGGGAGGATGGATGTGGACTTCTTCCTCGACTTCGCCCCCTTCCGATTTATCGTTTACCCCTGGGAGTTTCGCTGTCGCATAGGAACGAGGAGATTCCCAGGGCAAGGGGGACGATGCTCTGGCTTTGACCAGCTCCAAGTTCATCCGTTCTAGAGCACTGAGGGATTCTCGCAGGTCCGACTCTGTCTCCTCACGCCTCTCATGAGCCGCACTCAACTCTGATCTCACTTTCTCCAATGAGAGACGTGCCTCTCTCAATTCTGAAGCTGTACTGTCCTGTGTGTTTTGCAATGCGACGAAATTTCTCTCCGTGTCGGCAAGGGCGGCACGAAGCATGTTGAGCTCTGATAGCGTCTTCGCCTGAGTAGTGGCAGCTATATCTGCACTATCCTCGACACTCGCCAAAGTCGACTTGACTTTATCGAGCTCAGACACAGTCCTTTCTTGTGCTGCCTGGGATGCCTGCAACTGTGATTTCAACTGAGCTATATTCGACCTCGCTTCTGCAAGGTCGTCCAACGTCTTCCCATGTGTCGCCGCGTTCGCGCGGAGTTGGTTACACTGTCGCATCACGTCGATGCGTTCCACCGCCTCCCTTTCATTCGTATCCCGTAGCCTGGTCAGGGACAGAGATAAATCAGACACAGTGGCTTTAAGATCGTCGCAGGTTTTTTCGAGCTGCGTTTTTCTGTAGGCATCTACAGAATTGCCGTCGAGCAAAGATCGAATCTGAAATTGGCATTCTAGGAGTTCCTTTGCATGCAGAGTTTTGAGGAGTTCGATTTCGCTTCTCAGCTCAGCTTGACGGCTGTTCTCCAACTCAAGATCCCTTTGCTGAGTAACTTTAACAAACGCCCCCGTGATCATAGAATGTGAGCGCACCTTGACCGAAGTTTCCTTCTCTTGTTTTAACTGGGCGATAGCGGCGACCCACTCTGACCTACCGGAACGCACTGCCAGGTGTAGTTCATGCTGTCTAGCCTCCCAATCCTTGATTTGGTCTCTCAGAGCCTTGCTTTCGTCCTCCAATGCCTCCCTTGCTGCTCTGTCCTTAAGGTTTTGGGCTTTCATCTCTCCGATTTTCTGGTTCAGATCGATGACATCCTTCTCTTGCTGGACCTTGAGCTGTTGCAGCTCCTTGTACAGCTCCGCACCAGCAGACGTCTGCTCGACAGTCTTTCCCTCAGCAAGCTCCTTCTGCATCTCGACAAATACGGGGTCAAGCGCAACGAGCTCACTGACGATAGAGATTGGCGGCAAGAACTCTGGGCCTGGAACTTCTCCCGGGGGGAACTTGCCATATCGGACAAACTTAGATTTCCCTTCAACTAACCCTTTAAAAAATTTATCATTGGTCTTCAATTGTGTTTCGGCTTTGATACCCTGGACAGGCTCAATCTCGTCCCAGAAGGTTGTGACGACGACGACATTCTTCAGGGAGTCAGGTCCGCATAATTTTTTGAACATCGTCATGTTGCGTTGCGAAGAGCCGCCAACTTTGGGGTCACAGATGTTGTGCAGGTATAAGATGCCGGAGAACTTGCGGTCCTCATCGTACCTAGGCATTTCAAAGTCAGAATTACAAATAATAACAAGGGAATGCTTACTTTTCTTTGAGAAAAGCACCAATTTCTTTCAGAATGACGACGTCAGATTTACCCTCAGAGTCATCGAAACCCGGCGTGTCGACGAGTGTCACATGAAGGCCATTCTTCATCACGAAATCATACTCTTTGATGTCGCTGGTTTGTGATTCCAATTCATGTCCAACGTCCGTGACGTCCTTCCCGACTATGGCGTTGATGATCTTGCATAATGTAAGATGGCAGGCAGAAGTGGCGAGACACTACCTTACCGATGACTTCCCGGTCCCCGTTCCTCCCATGACGCTGTCGACAGCACTTCGGTTAGGCGTCCAATGCGAAGATGTCCGACATACGCTATTAAACCGGCTGGCTTTACTTCCTTGATAACCATTATTGTCGCGCTAGAGTTTTGGAAGAAAAATGTGAAAAAGAAATGGATAAAGTGGTTCTTCCGGGGGGATGTCGTTATTAAAGATCAGGAAATGAGGACGTGCGTGTTTTCTAAACTCGTACAGGCGCTTAATTGAAGGGGCGTTGGTCCTTCCTGCCCTTTCGGATCGACGGGCGCTGTTCAAAGCCACGCCTGCAAGCCACTTGACCTAACACGGGCCGATTGAACAATATGGTGGTTTCAACGTTCCGTCAAAACCTCCGAGAATCAGGAGTGAGATTGGGTGCTAAATGCCCAAAAAGCAACATTGAACGGCGTTATCGATGTTATCTGGTCAATCCAAGTTAGAATACGATCAGCGTTATTTGCTCTGGCTTCACCTCCCACCAGCCAAACGCTGAGAAAGCTCAAAACCATGGCATGAGCGTGGTCTACCACTGCCTTGAGGCAAACAAAGACATTCAGCATAGATCAAAATTTGGGTCGTGGAAGCAACGTGTAACTCCAAAGCTCGACCTCATTCCCGTCCAATACTCCATAAGTGAACCTTTCTGAGGGTAAGAGATTGGTGAGATGACTTGGCTGTAGTGATGTCAAAGTGATGCAGAACACTAAATGCGGGGTTGCAGCGGAGTTGAACCTGAACTTTTCCGATTCCCCACAGCTTGCAGATCCCCTGAGAGATCCCTTGTAAGCGTATTTATGGCAGTCCCTTGCTCGTGCCTTCCCAGAGGCCAACATTGCTACCTTGAAAAGTAAGTTTTGCTTCTCATTATCAATGAGGTCTGAGGCGTTTGACACACGAAGCAGATACATCATTTTACAACTAGCAGTGACCATCGAGAATTTGGGAGACTATGCCTTCGGGGTATTTCCTTATGAACTTGCACGACGAATATGATGCTCACATTTATTGTTATATAGGACCGTACCCCGTCTTTTTGCCCTTATCATAGGCATTAATGTCTATCAGGATGTAACGATTCCCGATCTCAAAGGCGCCGTTCCAGACGCGGAGGCAATCCGCAAATTTCTACTCAATGAGTTGGACGTCCCGGAGTCCCAGATGACAATTCTACTCGATTCTCAAGCAACGAGGAGTGCAATCGTTGGAGCATTCCAACATCTGGCTGATAATTCTGCGATTCAGCGAGGAGATCCAATTTTGATATATTATGCTGGTCATGGCTCATGGGCCACGGCTCCCAAAGATTGGCATACAGAAGACGGCAAGATTCAAATGCTGGTCCCCGTCGACTGTGGGATCAAAGATATACATGGTATCCCTGATAAAACCATAGGGACCTTGATCACGAAAATTGCGGATAAAAAAGGAGATAATATTGTATGTGTTTCATTCCTCAGATGGTGATAAGACACAGAATTACTTTTTCGCAGACCGTCATTTTTGATTGCTGTCATTCGGGCTCTGGTACTCGTGGGGATTCCTCAGTCGTCTCAACGCGCGGCTTCGACTACGAAAAACAGCTTCCCAAAGATCTCGACGCCAAGCTCTTAACAGGGGATGGTAATACGCGGGGGGTCAAGCTGGCTGCAGGTTTTCTAAACCATGGCCTTGAATCACATGTCCTTTTTGCAGCATGCAACTCTAATGAAGTTGCTCGTGAGGCAAAGGGACGTGGCGCCTTTACCACGGCTTTGCTTGCAACATTGGCCACGGTTTGCACCGACAAAATATCTTACACTGATCTTCTTCGTCGGATCGATGCCTTACCGATGTTAGCTAAGTTCTCACATTAGAACACGACGTCCGTCTAACGCGCATTCAGGCAAAACCCGCAGTGCGAAGGAGTGAAACAACATCGTTTCTTATTTGACTCCAAAGCACCTACCCGCCGGCGCACAGTGTACAACGTCAAAACTCAAGACAACGAACTCAAAATCGAAGCAGGGGTTATACACGGCATTACGATTGGTGCGACGTTTGAGCTTTGGGAAAGCCACGAGGCTTACGACAACAAGCTGGAGTGTCTGGGGGCTGTGGATGTCTCTCAAATTGGTCAATTTCATTCTAGCGCATCCCTGCTTTCTCATCCAAAGCGCGACAAAACCCCTACCTTGGCGGTCCAGGTTGGCTGGGGTAAGAAGCAGGTCCTCCGACTGTATGCGCCAGAAGAGGTTTCATGTGTTCGGGAGGCCGTTTTGAAGCAGTCCGCCGTCACTTCTTCTCAGCGTATGGAAATCACATTGTCCGATCTGGGAGCCGCAGAGATCAGTGCGGTGGTTGTGGGAAACAAGATCGCATTCGACACGCATGATCCCAGAGTTATGCAGTACGGGCTTACTCGACTTCCGAAGACCGTCGATCAAGACGTCGACGCGATCCATTCTGTTCTTTGCGGCATAGCCCATTATTCGTACCATCTTCGTCGAACTAACGTAACACCCCCCAAGTTCGATGGGGTACCACTTCGAGAAAAAATCGTTGTAGAGTTCTTTAGACTCCAAGAAGGTGGATTTGGTGAGGACGGGACCCGTCAAATGGTGCCGGGTGCAAATCTCAACGTCCCGGGTGCTGGGATTGATTTGGTTGTTGGCGAGGCCTTGTACGGATTCAAGATCGTCAATAACAGCCCACTGGACCTGTACCCCTACTTCTTTTTCTTCGACAATTGCGATCTTAGCATCTGTGAGACGTTTTCTCAATCATTCAGTCGTCGGTACTAAGTGAAGAAACAGCGTCCTTATATCAGCCCCCTTCCGCTGGTGAGCACACGGTAGACCCTCCCTTAAAGAGGGGACAAGAGCTCCCCATTGGTTACGGCTCAGGGGGACATACCGCTCGTCGGTACACGATCGAAGACCCCACCCAGGATCTAGAAGTCGGGTTCCTGAAACTATTCATCTCAAGTCAATATGTCGATTTCTCTAAGGTTGAACAGAATTCACCGTTTGGAGATGCGTCTCGTGCGATGAAGAAAGCGAAGGTTTCGCCTCCTCGCTTTTGGGATGCCATATTCATTCCCTTGATTCAGCGCAGGCATGCAAAACCTGCAGCCGAGGCTCATGAGGCTGCGTCGCCGCCAGCAGCTGATGGTGCCTCCGACATCCGTCGTGACATCGACCTTTTCAAAGTTCAGCATCAAGAAGACATGCGTAAGCTCAAGTCCGATCTGGAAACGTTGCGGAAGAACAAAGATGCTGCTCGCGAGGCTACTAAACGATTGGAACGAGACTGTCAGCAAATTCAGCAAGACGTCAAGCGCTGTGCACAGGAGCAAGGGGTATTTGAAGAGCAGTTGAGGAGTAATCGGCTAGCTTGGAAGAAGGCGATGGCGGAAATAAATTAAGGCTGGCTCGGCTAGTATTTCTGAAACGCCCAAGAATGTGTTCTGTGAATGGTACGATATGAATGGGAAGAGTTTATGAGGCGGTTCTAGCGACCTATTAAGAGTGAATCATTCGGAAACGGTTTGACAGACGACGAGGTTGACATTGATTGGCCGCATGTAGTTGTACGTGAACACGGAACGGTAGGGAACAATCCGTGAAATCCAGGGTCCAGAGCATCCCAATCTACCCTACACGCCAGGGTCCTGGTTCACTCTTCACGCCTTGAGGCACTGAGTTTATAAGGTGCGGACTTCTATGATCCAACCACACTTCCACAACTACGAGGACATCCCCAACCGTGAACCGACGCTAAACAAGCCACCGTTGTTCGACTTGCATAACCTTATCGCCCAGAGAAACAATGACGCAAACCGTACATAGGGGTACTATGAGCACCAGGAGGCCATCTGCTGGTCAGATCGAGAAAGCCAAAGCGCCACCAAAACAACCCGTAAACGATGAGGAAATTCGTATAATGTGCGTATCATGTTCAATCGCTGAATCCATGCTAAGTCGTAATTCCAGAGTGATGGGGAGGAGCGGAGCAGGAAAGTCCTCCGTATGTGGAATTTAAATTGCAAGACCAGATCCACTCAATACTGAAATTAGTTCATAAACCTTGCGAGTAATTCAACAC